ACTGCAAGCTTTTGGGTGGTTCAAATATTAAAACATTTGGCACATCGCGAGTTTTTCCTTAAACAATTGGTCTTTTGTAATATTATAATGTATCTGGCGATCATTTCTAAGGGGATAATTATTCAAATTATTACTGTTTTTAGATGTTGACGTAATACCCTGACGTAATAAATGAACAATCGATAACCATTGTCGATCGCTCTACATCGCAACAGATGACGTCGATTTCAGCAAAATATGCTCCTTTTTTAAGGAAGTAATTCAAGCACGAAAGTTAAGGCTACTGCATTAACAGGTCATTCGGACGAAGTACAGAAATGCTGACAACAAATTGGATTTGCGATTGAAAAAGGCCATAATGGGATCCAGACAACGTGTCTCAGGATATAATTGAAGTGCTCAGTAGTGTTCTTTATAAGTAATGACACACTTGATAATGATATAAATACATTAATTTTTCTACCCTACTTTCTTGCACAGAGCTATAGGCTGCGGTGCCCTCGATTTAAGCTCTTTGGCCCACCTTCGACAATCTCATCACGGTATGGCCGTACTTTTGATATTTAAAGAAGAAATTCTATGGGAATATAATTTCCAGATCACACCCTAGCCATTAAATGAGGAAATCCCTGTTGTTAGGGTAACAATATATATATATATTTAAACTGTGCATGGAAAGGATTTGATAACGGAAGGCTCCATGTAAGTGGTACCTGCAGAAAGTGGTCCTGTCATTCCGTCGCTAGGGTACTTAGGTTCATGAATTTACTATTGGGTCACGAACCGTGGTGTATCAAGTGGAAAATATATGCAAATGATAAGGAAGCCGAGCCTTCATTGGAAAATTTTCGAAATCCGAGTATCTGTATTTGCATGGGGACGATATTGATTAACTGTAATATGGTGTGAATGAGCTGTACAGCGATGATTTTGCGTGTAATTGGTTTTTCGATAACATATTAAAATCTAAAACATGACAGCTCAAAAATTATCAGATGTTCGAAGGAGTTTTAAGGAGATATTCTATTTCGTTCATCCCATGATTTGTACCAAATTTCCCCGTCTCTTAAAACCTTTTTAATTACACTAAACTTTATCGCCGGCTTTCAATTGGAATGTAATGCTTTCTTTCAAGGCCCGTATACAGTCACCTTTCGTGCTGTCACCTCGCCATTAAACTAGTCATTCCTCTTCCCCTTTTCTGGCAATAAAATTAAGCGCTTAAACTACCTAATCTGTCAAAGTTAACCTGTGTGACACTTTTTAGAAATATTTATGACCTTTCATATTACTTTAATTGATTCACTTACATTCTGACGTCACATAGAACCGCACACAGATTCACTTACCGAAACACCCTTAAGGTTAGATTTCCGAACTCCGTGATATTTTGGTACAAACGATTCCCATAATTCCAGTTATTCAGAGAATGACATCCATCTTAGTGTAATTCCAAGATGTTGCTAACCGTCTGCGGTTAATTCCTGTGGGCTCCACTTAGACTACCGAGCAGGTCAGGCCGACGCGGAACACCGGAATGGCGTTGTGTGAAACGGCAGCACCAATTCTGCCGTGGTGCTCCTCTCTCAGACGGCTTACCGTCGTGTGGCCAAAGGTTTGCTTAGGAGGCCTCCGCGAATCCATACATGTAAGATTTGATAACTTCATGTCCCAATGAGCATTTTTTTGATATTCCAATGTAAAATCAATTCAACCACTTAAATTTGCTAGTAATCGAATCCGATTCATACAGAAGATGGATGCATCTGCATTGTGGGGATCTGGAACGAACCCCTCTTCGAACGTCAGGCTAATTAATTTGAGGAGGAACGATCCCGAAAGCAATGCGGTCAGCAGGTCTAGATGCGTCTGAATGTTGCTTACAAGCATAAAAGATAATCGCATCGTTTAGGGTAACCCCGTGGGCTCTAAATGGTTGTTTCGTCTTGTGCCAAACTCTCTCGACAAGTTTGACGTAAAATGGAAATTCGCGTTGTTTTATGTATAAATGCGTGACACTATGGTCTGATTTAAACTGTGTAATTTGCGTGCAGCCTCGAAACCCCGGAGTGGTATTTTATGGCTTTGTGTTAAAATGTAAACTTCCCCGAGTAGCTTTGATTCCGTCAGCGTCTTTCGTGCCAAAACGATTGGCTGTTGATTTTGTATTCGGTAAGCTATCTCCGGCTAATGTTTTACCCAGTTAGTCTAGATGACTTTAGTATTCAGTCTCTTATGAAATCTTGCCATAAATGGCGGGTATTCATGATCAAAATTTCGCCTTCGGGGGCCACCTTTGATGCGTGAAACTTGAGTCTGTAGATGTCTTCTGAATTCAAACGCTGGTGTGTGTGCGTAGGAGCTAAGGTAGGCGAAAGCAGAGTACTAAAACACGCCTTTACTCGCCCACTTTGTGATTTGCCCGATCTGAGGTGTATTCGTTGCACAAACTAATGATAATTCAATGTCATTACCAAACGTGTTCTGACCCGCAATCACTCCACCACATGCCTCACTACCTCAGTAATAACAATGTCATTTTTAATTTACTACTGAAGCCACTGCGGCGGCTGCGCAGTAAAGGGGACGCGATTTATGAGAAATCGTCTATTTACGAATGAGCACCTGGGCCTGCCCAGAGGGGCGGGGGCGAGGGTGGGCCACTTGAGCTCGTTGTGTCTGCGCTGTGCGGGAGCAGTAGCTCGGCGGTGCCCCGCCGTTGCTGATTAATTCAAGTCGTCGTATACGGACGTGGCTTTTGTGCGTGTTCGGCCAAGAATCCAATTTTATATTTCAAAACTTACTGCTCCTGGTAATGAATCATCATCTCTGGGGTGGAATGTGGTTACGTTTACTTTGTGAATGCAGACCCGCCGGGAACTCAAGACCTCTCGTACGACAAATTCGACTCGTATAATAGCAGCGGCTGTAATGTGACTCTGAAGCCTGTCGAATTCCTATGTTACTGCGTTGTAAGGAGCATTGCCATGTCATGATCGATACTTTCATGCTTCAGTTTTAATCCACCATTGTCAAAGTCCCCTGTTTTCTTCTAATTACAACATGAATAAATTTGCACAATCTTCTCTGCTCTGCAGACTGTCAACGAAATTGTTCTTTACTTAACTTCAGCTGAATAACTGAGGTATAAGAATTTCATTTTGGAAACTTTCTGCTGTCACTTTACCGACTCCCGACACGTGGATTTGTCAGGCAAGAGGGTTAGCCCTAGATTTAAAAAGACAATCTTATCACGTAAACAATCTTGGGAAACCGACTACGGCGATAGTGCAACTAATCACTCGACTTAAAGCGTCTGTGGGACGCTGGCATCAGCGGGTGTTGCGAGGCTTGGGTGAAGCCGAGACACCCTTCGACCTGTCGCCCCCAAACTGGTGGGTGCAGCACCACCTCGTGATCAGGGACATCGGCTGTCCCCAAGTCATTCTGCCTCAATTTGATGGCGTACGGTCTCTTATGAACGGCACGAAACACCCCATGGACTCCGTCACTCTTTGCCCAAAGTTAAACTCAAGCAGTTTGTGTCTTTTACTAATCCTAATACAGGAGAAACAGTTTAAGTTTGGCTCGGTCATTTGGTAATTTCTGGTAGTAATGTTGAAACTGCTTTCTTCCAGCACATGTCCCACCAAAATTTTAGTTCTATGATCCGATTTTCGAAGAAAACATGTGTCTGTTGTACAAACCAGCCCGCTGAAACAACAAAGGTTCAGTTAAAGAGAATCAGAGCTACATTTCAAGGCGTATTCATGTAATCAGACTAGACATTTCTTTTTTCACAGATTATGGAAGTGAGTTCACTCGACAGCTCATTAGTTATGTCTTAGCCTTACCTGTAAAAGACAGGTGATTTGGAGCATCATCCTAACTTCCGTGCTTGAATATTGGCTGGATTTAAATATGATCTGGAACAGGTGCCCGAACACGAAAACTCATGCAGGTGCATCAACTCTCGTTTGGTAGCACCCATGTAATAGTACTGAAATGTAGTGTCGATTCTGTCTTCCTAAAATGACACAAGGCCCACATAAGTGTAGCATTTGCACATTCCAAATGACCAGGGAGAGCTTATAAGGAACCAATATAATATCTTGGTGGAGATGTGGACTTAAAGTGAAGAGTTTTGCAATTAGGGTCAAAATAACGATAAAATATTCCTGCGTTTAATGATGCACTCAAAATTATCGACACAACTGTTTTCCAAATGTCATCAAATATGCTAACTTGATCATTTTACACTATTTTTTTCCTGTAGCTACTAGATTCTCAAGGCCGCGTTATTCTATTTACTCATAACACCCAAATGTGAACAAAGTTTTAAATCGTAGTTGCTAAAGTAGTCACTTACGTCTCATTTACAAATAGAAATAATTGCAATCTTTCCTGCCTGAATTTAATAGGATGGACAAAAGAAAATAGAATCGGTGGGGCTGCAGGAAAGGAACCAGGTTGGTTTTTTTAATTTCAAGCTAGTTCTGAGTAGTTACTTGGTCGGAGGTACCGAACTTTTCTCAAAGCCTGAATATTCCTGCAACTGGTCACAAATTGTCACTTACTGGATACCGACATCAACTCAATAGGTCAAAGGCATTTGCTGTGCATAATATTCGTTTACCAATAACGCATCCAGATGATTAATTTGCGATTTAAGCAATGCCAAACACTCATGAAATCACCTGCTTTGGTGTTCATTCATCCTTGTTATTAGCAGCAGTAATTCTGCAGTATTATATAATGGAAGGCAAATATTAATTAAAAATTGATCTCAGTAGTAATGGCTTAAACAGTGCAATAGAATCAACACCGAGTGCCTACACTGGAAGTACTTGCGGTAATAAATATCAAAATTACCCGGATTTACTAAACCAAACTTTGATTTTTACTCAAAAGAAACTACCTCTTCCCAGTAATAGCCAGATCAGTGTTACGGTTTCTAGACTATAAACTCATGGGCAATTATGTGCTTCCTGTTCAAAGGGCTAGTAATTCAAATAGTTCATCAGACATCCACCTGATTTATAAACACGGTTTATCTGGTCCTGACATTGAGCAGGAGTAAGCAAGTCGTCGGAGGCGAACGTTGGCAATTTGATCGGCTTTGGGTGATTGTGGTGACGATGTGTTGCTGTGATACCAACGGATGCCCCCATTAGCAAACGGAGATTGCGCTCAGTGCGCTCAGAGGACTTGAAGTGCCGCACCAGCCGCCCGGCAGTCCACTCATGGTCCAAGCTTTCGGTGCCACGGGTATCGGCTAAGGCAGCATCAAGGCCCAGTGGGGTAGTCGTGTCACCCACTGTCCCCGTCTAGCTTGTATCGGAGATTCCGGCTTGTCAAATGGCCATTCGGCTTCTCTTCCATGTTATTACAGCACCCCATAATGCTGTCCATCACAAGTGCTCTCGAGTATAATTCATGGGATCAAGTGGCTCAGACTGGATGGAAAACCAAGTTGACTGTTCAATTGAAGTTGTTGGCTCTGTGGATGCAATATTCCGAGTAGTTGACAAGAGAAATAAACGGCCGCATGGCTGTCAGTGGGTCGAAGAGTTGCGTGACCTTGCAAGAAAATCAAGTCAGACGTGAATAGAGGCCCACTTAAGACGGAGATGAACCGTGTTATAGCCAATAGGGAAACCCAAACGCCCGCGTGCATGTGGAAGATTGTAATCTGCCTTAATCACCAGGGATTATTGCTGCAACGTGCACAAAACATACTAACCACAGCGCCTGAGTTTGACAAAACTAACCTCACAAATGAACACGAAGCCAGCGCGGCGACACTGAGGCTGGTACGGACTACAACACTGGTCCTGTCGGAGCATCCTATTCGTCTAAATCAACTCCGGAATATAGGAGGTCCCTCGGATCAACAGCAGATTAAATGAGCAAGTGGGATTCGTAATTCAGTGGCTTTTAGTGACTCTTCGTTTTGATCAGAATGCGGTTGTGTTCAGTGAACAATAAGCCACAAGTTCTGTTTTACCATCTAGCATATGCTAAACATACTGCAATTTTCCCATAGCTCGAAGCCAGACATACAAAACGATTCGGTGGTTTAGATACACGACAGAGCGTCCAAATAGCCGCACATGTAGGCACAAAATTTTATACTCAGGACATAAACTTGATTACTATCTAATGCGAGTATCGCTGCCACGCGTCAACTGACAACTGTTCACGCGAGTGTGTGTGTGTGCAGGCAGAAGCAGCCTTTTCTCTCGTTGCTCCTGTCACCTCCAGATTCTTTCGGCCGCTGACTTGATGATGATAACCGCATTGGGAGGGAGGCAGGGGAAATCTCTTCATCAACTTTATGGTATTGCTAGTAGGGCATGTGTGTGCCCGTAATTAGGTCCAGACACAGCTGTTTTACGAATAATGTATTTCCTAGCAGTTAATCTCCACCAACAAACGTGTCACACCGGGTCGGGAAAAAGGGTCTAGCAGATGAAGCATGCAGTTGCGCTTTTTCGCTCCCCTCCACCCCCTTCCGAAATAACCGCAAAAATTACCACTTGATACATCCTCGTATACACACATCCGTACATGCTTCTAAATTTGATTCAGACAAGCAACTGTCTGTCTCGTGGGGGAATTCGTCATTCCGGTAACCAAGCGACCGCCGCCGGCCGGCTTCTATGGTTATTTGATAATCTAACCTCCAAGCCATTTGCACACACCAACTGTCATACTAGCACTCTCGATTAGGCAAATCCATTTCGCGGCAGTAGGCGAAAGCCTGTCACCAGCCAGGCTCACGCACACGACACGGGCTGTGGCCGGACGCATCTGATGGGCTGGCTTGATGACCTTACAGGGCAAAGCGTTATCATGTACGAAGAAAATTATTTACGCGTCGCAGTCCTCCATGGGGTCATTTCGGGTGTCAAGGATCTGGGGCGTGTTCCGTGCACGGTTGACTTGTGAAGGTAATTTTATATCCCCATTTAATCCACCTGTGCCCTTAAAATCAGACGCTAACGTTGCGCAGCATAGGAATTATGTGTTAATAAATGGCTTCACCCCCTTCTCTCTGGGCCTAAGTGCGCAAGTGTGCACATGCGCGCGATACACATCATTAGCCAATTATTGATAAGGTTCTGCGTGCGCACCTAAAATCAAGTTAATTCGACGAGCGCGTGCCTGGCGTTAACGCATGCACATGCGCGAGGGCATCTGATTGGTACAAATAGAGTAGACCGTCCCTTTTAGTCTGGGCGCTTGGACGGCCGAAGAGCAAATTCGCGAAGCAGTCTCCCACGTTCATTTGCTGATAGGACTTCGGACTTTGGAACCCGCGGCAGTTTTACACCGGAGTAAGTCGCCCACATTTACTTAAATTTTTTGGACTTATGTGAACCTATGAAGTGTTTTCAATGTAATCCCATTTACAAGTCGGTTTTGAAAAGTTTATATTTCATCTAAGTTTTTTGGTAAAGTGTTAAAAAATCTAACGCCTTATAAATTGAGCAATTATTTGGCAGAGCAATAGTGTGCACTTAAAGTATGTTTTTTGGTCCATTGGGAAATTCGGGTGACTTTTGAACAAAACCAATTACATCAGGAACCATGGTAACAATGTGATTAGAACTACGGATGTTAATACCAATTCTTTTCAAATAATTATAAGCCTTTAATGGCAACTAGTCTAAGGCAGTCTTTGTACGTAGTGAGCAAGCTCAGACTCCTCATTGGCGATGAGGAAGCAGTGCATTCAATATTCATGTCATGATACTCGAAGTGGATTGTGATCGATGAGGATGAGGCCACAAAACACCGTGGGTTCCAAAGGGCCAGAATGGGGAATGCGTTTTCACCGTATTGTAGCAGTAGTACTCATCCTCTTCACCACTAGTTGACGGGGCTAACGCGAATGACGAATAACGGAGCGGAAGCCTCAGTATCATCCCGGGCGTCGCGAGGGCTGAGTTAGTGAGTCAACCACAAAAAAGCCAAGGCATTTTGACTGATTCGACTGGGTCACTCGAGGGAACAGGATAACGCGTTGTTTTGTTTCTAGCATTATGGTGGTACCCTTTTGTGTGTTCGCTTCTCTTGGTGTTTTGAAACGGACTTTGTGGCCGTCTTGCGTTTGACAAAATTTATGGTTTACAAGGGCATTTTTCGGTTTACCAAGCAACTTCTAACATGAATTCGCTAGTAATGTTTTATCGTACAAGCTCTATTCAGTCACACATGTTTGGTATGATTATCGTTTTGCGGAAACGGGGATGGTGATGGAACATGTGACCATTCACAGGGAGGTCCCAATTGCTCAGTACATTGTCCAAATAGTTTTTACATTTGAATGCATTAAATAGGCTGATTCATAAGCTCACTGCAGAAACCCTCAATAACCTTCATTCACTTCTCAGCCTGGTGGCGATTCTCGGAACTTTTGGGGCACCTTTGGAGATCATGTAGACTTTCCGAAAATCAGAATTTTTTATTTGGCTTCATTCTAGTTGCATCGAACATTAGAGTTTCTAAGTCTTGTTGACTAATTTCTTACTACCACGAAAATGCATGTCGAGTAAAAGGTTAGGAAAAAGCATTTACACTGCATTTGCTAGGCAAAATTCCCTTCGATGTGCACAAATGTGGCTTGGAGAAGTCTCACACGTCGAAGCACCCGAGCTCAACTGATCTCGCCCAGGACCAGCCCAAATATGTTAGTATGGTTTTTAATGGATTACTTAGTCATGGCGCAGATATTGTTTGTGGCGTAATGTGTTACATGATTTTTGGCATCTTTCTAACATTAGTACAATTTAACCACCACTTGAATCACTGACATGGTAGTGAGATGAATTGTCTTCCGGTCAAAATTAGCGTGGCTCACTCTGGACCTGGTAGTGCCTTTCAGTCAACTGTGTACTCGAAGTCTTCCCACGGGCGTTTATTCACTTCGTGTTCGGGCAGAAAAAAGCATCAAAAGTACCCAACTAGAGTCCAGGTTTTGGCTACGTAGGCGGAAATTTTCTATGACAGTTTGTTAAAATTAGTCCGTTTTTTATTCACCCATTTTGCGTGTAAGCGCTACTAACGTATTAGCCATGGCAAACGGATATATCCACTCCTGTGTGTGAGATAAGCATTAATTGAATGGTAGTAAAAATTAAGGTCGGGGTGTTTTATGACCCAATCGTGCCCGTTCGTGTCTGAGGCGGGGAGATATTATCGAAGCCACGGTTGGATAGGCCTCTGTCGCTAGGGCAACTGCCCTGGTACACTCGAGTGCGCATGAACTTCACGTTGACACGCTGATATACATTAATCCATCAAATGCACTCGGTTCCCTCTGACTCGAAATTAATTGAACATGAATTTTGACAGCCCCGTTGAAGTAAAAGCAACTTAGGAACCTTCTGCCATAATAACCAACTGCGTGGCAAGTTTGGCTCTATGTTCACCAGCGATTACACCCCACAATTGCAAGTTTAGTGGCCTCGTAATAATGCCGTTCGCGCTAAATGTTAGAGAAATGTGACCGGTTTGCGTGTATCGCAATTCCTTCCTCAAAGGAGCTCAAAAATTTTAGACTCCTTTCAAGGAGCTGAATAAATACCTACATCGGAGCTTGAATTCACATTTTAAAACGCGTCCACAAATTTCCAAAAGCCAACGTTCCTATAGACCCATTGACAATTTTTTTTTAAAAATGTGTCGCCTACGGATGCGTTTGGGAACATTCTACTACATACGGTCGTAATGTACATGAATCTGCACCGCATTATGGAGTGTTGTTGTAAAACGTATTTGTAAGGAGTCATGATTTCTAGACTTTAATTATTTGTTGTCATTTCTCATGTGTTTGAACTACCACATTCATTTTTTACATCGCCAGTTTCGAAGCCTGGGTTCGCTAAACCCCAAGCTTGGGCTTCTGCTCCGGCTGCAGCTGTAAGCTGGGAGCACACCACTGACACCACTGGTTGCCTTGAAATTTCTCTTTGAACGAGTATAACAGCGACTGCCCCCACGGCTGTACTTCCTAACTCAGTCAACTCAGCTTTAGGCGGATCTATGGTTGTTGCGCCTTGGTTTGGAAACAAACTGATTCGCTGGAATTGGTCACTGAATACTGGGGTTCATCTGCCGTTTTCAAAGCTCAGTATAATTGAATTAACGCGAATGTTTGCTCCTCTATTTGGTAATAAAATAACCCTGATTTTTACCTGGGCCACGCAATAAGGGCTATAGAATCCAAAAAACGAAGTGTAAAATATGAAGGGTTTACGATGGATGTGCACTTGCGCCCCCTTCCTTTGTCTCTTCTTCATTCGCAGAAATTTCAAAAAAATCTGTTCTGCAGCTAATTCCTCTATGTGAAAAAAGCGCGCTTATCACATTTGCCTGCACCCCCACAACCGGCGTAACGTTTTACGGTGCATTATACGGGTATTCAGGTCAAATAACCGCGGTTGCACGGCCAATAAAAACGGTCGTGAAAGCAATAATAACTCGCCAATATCAGGGGATATTGCGCATGAATAAGACGAGGTCACACATGTAGCGCATCAGAAAAATGCGCATTAGACCTAAAATGCATTTCCGTGGTCAGGCTTATAGACATGCCTTGGAAGGCGCTTTTAACTGATTATGGTGACTCCCAGAAACTGGAGCAGTTTGGGCCGTCCATTTGCATTCACAAGCGCTTGTGTGTGGGCGGTTCTGGGACAATGGGGAGGGGGGGGTGAGCCACTTCAAACCGCCCCTCCGAGCCGAGCAGTTGGGCAGATTCCGGGTTCAGATAGCAAAATATCCCAACCGCATCTTGTGCCACTCGAAGTACGGTTCAGTAATGCGAATTTAATGTTGACATCTTGATGCCGGAGTTAGTATGGACAAGGAAACGTGATCCACTTACAAATGAGTAGCCAGTCTTACTAAGATGGTGGTTACTGAAGCTATTGAGTGGGGTAGATTGTTTCATGATCAGACTTCTTTAGTTCCGTAATTTTAATTGTGACGTCTTGTGGGAAGCTGTGGGACTACTTCATCCCATCCTGTGTCGTCTCCTGTGTAGAGATTAGTTTTCCTTCGGTCTGCGGTTTGTGTTTTTTACTGCAAGGCGAATATCGAACGTCGCACAGCACAAATGGATACCAAGTTTCAGGGACCTCTGCCAAAAACGTCTGTGGTCACGGAAGGTGTTATGTCATCCAGGCATTGTTAGGAGGAAAACACGTAGAAATAGACGTCGACGCGCAGTTTTTATTTAACTCGTTTAATTTCCCTATAACTTCTTGTCAACCTCGTCTCCTTCAGTGAAACTTCCATGTCAAGTACGTGACCCCTTCTGACTCTAAGTTCGGGCTAGTTACGTCTCATTAAACCAAATAAAAGGCGAGCTGGACTGCCTATATAGAAACATCACTGACATTGTTCTGCATTACTCAGTACTTAGCATCTCCTGTGCGTATTTATACGACCGTTAGCCGAGACCTTCCCTCAAAAGCGAGAATGAGTGGGGGTGTTTGAAGGGGGAGAGGGGAAGGAACCGATGAAGAGGATTTCCAAATCAGGTTTGCCGCCGGTTGTAATTGGGTGAGATTTGCTTCTACGGCAAAGGAGCGCAAGCGCTAATCACGTATTCACAAGCACCCTAGTTATAGTTGATAAAAACCCAGGAAGTTGTTGACTATGCTGTGGTACTAAGGAATTCTCACCTTCCCCAGAGAACACAAAAGAATCTTCACTGGGGTTCATCAACTCCAAATGTGTTTTATTGGACTACTGAGGTTTAGTTTTGATGCGGTTTATTCCATTTCCTCCTCTTCAACTATTCAACTACACTTCTCCAAAAATGAAGTGCCAATTCCCTAAAATGAGAGTGGCCTCGGTAATTGGTGTTCAGGATGTTGTCGAATCTCGCTAACATTCACCCTCCATATCCACACGCTCCTCGCGGCGTTGTTTTGACGAGGGTCAAATTCACTTGAAAACGGCATTACCAGATGTGCCTTCGGGGTTAGCGGGGAAATTTATTTCCCCATAAGTATTTCAGGAGCATCGACATTCAAAAGTACAAGGCTGCAGTGGGAAGCTTGGAGATATGGCTCCATGTGGTGAGGACTTTACTGATAGGCGACGAAGTCAAGCGTCGGCAGTGAGTTCTGGAGCTTCATTGCTGTAAAATACTTAAATTAGGGCGAGTTAGAGTGCTAATTTATTAATCGACTGCTGTCAAGTTGTCAAAGACCTACGAACTTTAAGGCGTAGCTGCATTGTATTGAGTAGAGCCCATTAAGTCTAAACATACGTGTAGGGTAGGAAATAAGGACCAGAACTGGTGGATGTTCTTAAATAACTCGGTTTCAGATGTTTTTTCGGCTTGTCCGTAACAGCAGCGTATGCAAACAGTTGCAACTACACTCGTGACTCAAAGTATCGGCGTTTTAGGCAGTCACCTTGACCGAAAACGGTGCCATAGTAAGGCATATATTTGTGTGCCGGTATGGAAGACTGCATACGTACGTTTTTATTGCAGTTATCATGACGGGCTCTCCAATTCGTGCACCGCTTTCGAACCTGATATTTTCGACACCTGCGGAGAAAGATCAACTAATGGTAGGTGGCGCTCCGCATAGCACCAGTCCACTTCTGCCTGCCACCACTGGGGGGTCGCCGTCATACCCACGTTATTCTGAGGGCTCCCTCTGTGAAGATGCAGCGCCCCCACCATCTCCACAGCCTCCGATGAAGAAGCGCTGCATGGAACCGCAACAGCCGTTGTCGGATGACGCACCAAACATGGCTGAGGCAGAAGACTTTGCTCGGCAATCTCGTGAATTCAGCAGCGATTCTCCCCATACAACTGCTAGTCTTTCACCGAAAAAGGTTCGCGAGTTGTTATACTTTTGCTTCGAACACATCGCTGATCAAGTATATTTGACCTCTGAGCCTAGGCTAAATACTGCAGTGCATACGGACACCATCACAGAGAGCGTAGATATTTGTGTGTGTCAGTGATGATAAACTCTAGTCTAGTGTTGTGGCATGATTAATATCGGTCTTCCGACGGAAAATATGCAACATGATGTACTTGTGTTTCTTAAAATCTTAAATTCATGTCAATAGCAAATTAACCATTGCACCTGAAAGTACAAATTCGTTCACCATTCGAACAGGAGAGGTAACTTCTCCATCGAGATGTGGTGGCACACTGCGTTGGAAGTCCATAAACAATACCAATTCGCTTTGCTTATTATACTAGGTATCTAGTTTGTACCTTCTTGCATCTCTTAGGTCGTACGAGATGACAGTGTTATACAAAGTACGTGATAAACATGTCTGGTTGATGTGAATTGCGTGTTGACTGCTATATTTCCGACTGGAAAAGTTACAAAGCGGGATAAATCCAATCAATCGATTGACTTATAAACGAAAATTCTGGGAATTGGTGCTGATGCTTAAAGAACTTAGGCAGGAAAGAGAAAATCCATCGAAGAACTTAGGATCAGCAGGCGAACCGACTGCTTCAATGCTACAAACGCTTTCCATCACAACTCCATGTATGCGGATACGTGTTTGCGTTGATTTTTAAGAAAACAGAACATAAATGGAGGAATTATGATGAAGAAGAGGAAGAGAAACAAAGGAAGATGAATCTCTAGAGCACATTTACTTGTGTTAATGGCATGCCAACACCAAACAGCCTCGCGTTTGTGCATGTCATCTGGCGTCGCAAAGCCCACATGCATTGATAAAGCTCCCAGTGAGCTTTTTCTTTTAACACATGCATGTACAAACACTTCCATTAAGATAACGCAATGATGAATGATGTGTGTGTGTGAGAGAGAGAGAGAGGGCGGCGCTAGCGTGTGGAGAGGGGTTCCATGTGTCCGCTTGTGCACCCATTCGTGCATTCGCGGGGGCAGGGCGATGCTGGCGCTGGCAAGTGCGACCCGCCATCGCCACCGGCACCGTATGAAGAGGAGAAATTGACGATTTACCAAAAGCAGTCACCGCGAGCGTACACTGATCTCTTATTGCCACTTACCCCTCTATCGTCTCTGCTGCAAAATACCAAAATTTCAGCACTCTGTGGCAGATGGTTAAGACGGAAGAAGAAGAAGCAAAAAACTAGACTGGTTGGTGCAGCAAAGGCACATTTTATTAAACTGTTCCATGACAAGGGGCTGCGCGCAAGAATCACTAACGAACACACTCATCCAACCAATTTAAATGACATTTAGTTAAAACAATGCGTTCTCCATAGAAATTGATACAAATGACTGCAAGCAGCGAGGTGATGCAGCTTAAGTTGTTTTAAAACATCATCCATCTGATAGTAAACACCCCAACATCGTACGCCCATGTTCTTTGTAAGACCTTTGTGAGAAAATCGAGAAATTGCCTCTCGCTTGCAATGACAACGCAGTACCAAGTCAAAGATCTGCTCAGGGTTTGGTGTGAACGCGGGTTCAATACCAGCTCTCTAGACAGACAGTGGGAGGTGGCAAGGACGCAGCAAAGATGTACAATGCAAGTTCAAACGTCAGATCGGCGTCAGTGAGTAGTCGGATGTACATGAGAAAATAATGCCGGAAAACTGGATGGTACTCGAGGATGATGTTGGACATTTTTGGAATTAACAAGTGTTCACAAAGTTAACCGGAAAAAGGACACATCAACTACTTATGATAGCGTTAGGAGTGATTTCGGCATATTTGCGGAACGCTAAAGGACCTAGTAGAGATGATTTTAGAGTTTCGAAGACATGGGCCTCGTGAGCTTTCGGTTCAGCAAAAATGTTCATCGACACAATGTCGTTATGTTCGGCTGCATGTCAGTGGTTGTCATTGCTGTGCTCTGCTCGCCCAAAACCATAAGCAGAGTGATTATTAGTTCACGTTTGGTGACTAGGTTGATGTGGAAGGGTCGGCCAGCAGCAATTCTCGAGGTTGAGGCTTCAGTTAGGTGGTAATGTTTAGTTGACTCTTGAGTTCTGTCTCACGTGACCGACAGGACCCGACAACTTGAAGCCGGATTTCCACGTCGTTTTGTTAATGGCTGGATTGATTGTTGCTAGTGCAGAAATACAGCACTTTTGCTTGGTACTGTCACAAATATTTAAGCTAGACACTTAGTAAGGTAAACAAACTGAATTATTCTGTTGATTAACTACTTTAGGGAGAGGGTAAGGTAGGAGAATTTGATCCTGGAAGACATCTGAGTTTTCATTAATGTGGTACGTACTAAGCTGTTAACATACTTATTCAGGCTAACTTTGACGGACTACTAAATATCCTCGTGTTTGATTAATGCCTTATGTGGTAGACCAGTGAAAGTACTTGCACATAATGTTTGCATCCCAATTCACTAATTTTCTTCCAGTAGCGTCCATGAACTAAGCCCTCATCACTATTTTGCTGGGTTGATTGATACCTGGCAAACAGTTGTTAGCCATAAGCTAGTGGGCTGGTGAAGGCATTAACCTTCGGACAACGCAAACAACTGTTATGCAACGCTGATGCAACTACATCTGTCTGATTGATGATAATCCGGGCACAGCTGCTGATGGGCATCAACACGCTTGCCTTATCATTAGGTCTAATTAACGGCTCTCCCTACAGGATCGCACGCATGCCCACCGGGGTCACGGTTGTACCAGTCGTGAATTTACTCGGTGGTATGCCAGCAAGTTAAAACGAGAGGAACCTTAATAAAGTTTGAGTGTAAGGTTGCTCTAAACATAAGTGGAATTACGTTATTTAGATCTCCACTGTGATGAGGACATTTTCGATTTGTTTCAGCCAACAGAGAAACGTTACAGTAGTTAATTTGAAATGGACAGAACAGACGCAAGTGCTTCGATTTGGTTTGATAATTCTCCTGAAACTTCTGACTTCACCTCGTACAGCCAACAATTTTTCGCATTGACTTGGCTGGTTTCAAGATCCTGTGTTCAGCTTCATGTGTCATGGAAAGGGAGCTCATTTTATCCTAACTTCATCGGTAGTAGTGTCTTTGTGTAAAAGGTTTCTGATGTTATTGTTTAAGGCAAACCGCGTGGATGGGTGAAGCCGATAAACATGCAAAATGGATGCATCCACAAACAAGCACTCATTTTTTTCTTTTTCCGCGTGATCATAAAACTGTTGTAAGGAGAAATTAGGTAGTTCATTGATTGTGAAACCTTGGTAGCATCAAAAGTGCAGTTGTGTGGTGCCACTGCTTAGATTATATCCATTGAAACAATGTATATGGGATCCGAGAGCCTCTGGTACCCTTGCTGTACTCTCTTTCAAATAAAATTGAAGTGAAATAAATGATTTTTGAGATATTTTTTTTCTAATAGCCATCCCAAGTTCCACTTCGAAATGGAAGTGAAGAGCCGCCCTCAGGAAAGCAGGAGGATTTCGAATCCCCGAAGGACTTGTCGCAGCACCAACAACTTCCAATTTGGGGAAGCATTCTACCCGATGCTGCTTATTCCCGTTTCCCCGTGTTTCCAAAGCACTTTCCTCCCATATTCCCGCCAGGTTGCTCAACAACCCTGCCAAACGTCTCAGCTGCCGCTGTAACCACCAATGGAGGGGATCCAGTACCCCTCGGAGCCAGCGCATTGGCAGCGGCCGCCGCAATGGCGATGAGTCCCCTCTTCCAACAGTCACCGACAGGTCCTCTTGTGCCCGGGAACGCAGACAGCCCCTGGAACCCCGTTTTAGCTGCAGCGGCTGCTGCAGCCTTCGCATCTGGTAGATTTCCACCATCAGGTATATCTCAACGACACCATGAAGATATCGACGGTCAGGAGGAGAAGGATGTGGACTCGTCCTCAAGGTCAGGAAGCCCCTTGCCTCTCTCTGGTGCCGCGTCTTCGATTGAGGGCATCGAGGCAATTCCTGATACAAACCAGGGAGGACATCACTGGACTTTTCAGGAACAGTTTAAACAGGTAAGTAATGGGTGGTGTGAGAAATGCAGACAGCCACTCAAAGTGTCATATAAGGGTTGTTTGTCGGATGTTTTGGCCCTAGGACCCTCATCGTGAAGCTATCAATTATACCCCCGTTCGAGACCTCGAGTCGGTTAACAGGCCAAACTGATGGTGAATCACACACGCTACTATCTATCACCTTCTGTTATCCTTATATCGGAACTTTGATTTTCAGATTTTTGGCACTCAGCTTGGTTTAAGTTCATAACGAACAACTTGCAGTGGTCGTTGGGACCAGGCTCAAGTTCGGTTTCCCTAAGAATTTGAGAAGAGACACCAAATTTCAGCCTAGACGGTAGTTGATTTTCTTCATGTTGCTCGTTCTTCGTGTTCAGTTGATGAATGTTCGCGCTTCCTTCGGCACACTATGCGCCTTGGCATGACTTGAAATCATTCTATTATTCATTAAGATCATCAAAGAATAGTGATATTGCCCTACCACCTACCCCACCACTCTATCCACCTAACCCTAGCTAGAAGCTCAAATGCTCCCATAGGATTGATCAACGCAGCAACGGACGGTTTAGCATTCTACCGATGAATTATGCAGATTGTGCCTTAAGGTCTGGCAAAAAAGAACACCATACGGATGAATGCATTCAAGTCGCTCCCTTGGGACGACAACTCCAGACTCTGTGAGTGCACGTGTGTGTGTAGTTTGGCGACATAATAATTTCCAGTGTAAAAAGATTAGGGTTTGTTGTAGGTGAAAAATGTAACACGTTTCATGCTCCAGTAATCCCACACGCTCGCTGGACCACTTGATTAATTCTGTGTGATAAGATCTACAGAAGTCGTTGTGTATGACCTCGACCCCGTTAATTAACGTGCAGTGAATCGTCAGAAGCCATCATTTGAGTGCGTCTGCTCAGACGCGAGCTCGTAGTCCTGCTGGAGTTCAGCTTGCTGCTACGCCAGAGTGCCATGCGGCACTAGGCTCTATGTCGCCATTTGGAAAATACGTCAATCATTACCATCAATTTGAGCGATTCCAAGTGCTGAAGCAGAAAGTTTGGACGGGGACCTGGCAGCACCATTTCCCTGGCAATGAATGTTACGGACCTACTGTGTCATACTGCATCACCTGAATGTGGATACATAACAGTCCCACCGCAAAATCCCTTTTCTGCTACAATTTCGCTAGCGAGGATTTCAACAATCCTTTAATTAAAATCAACACGTACGTATTCCGAAATCCCAGGAGCCTTGTGTACATTATTAATCTGGGAGAATTGAACTTACTCCCTTCCCGTCACGAGGGGAGGGTTGTTTTCGCACTTGACTTAATTGGAACCTCCTTCACCAACCCTCACTCCAGCCGTGACAGAATTAATTTCGGTGGGGTGGAGGCACGCGCTTGCACCCCCAGGGGATACCCAGTGCGCGCGATTGAAATATTTATCCTCCCCTCCCCACCTCACTTCAATTCGTTGGCGAAGAACTCCCTACTTCACTAAAATCGCCCCGCTTCTATAAAGTGGAGTCTACATTAAGTCGGAGCAAGGGCACACGTGAAAACGCGGTAGTGGAGAAAACCAATCACCGTTACTGCTTTCCAGACTCCCGACAACTTCGATTTATTAGAAACTCGAACAAAGGACGAGGGCCCCCCCCCGTTGAACCATGTAAAAAAACTAACGTGACAGACTGTTCGTGGGCTTTGTTATGAACTTTTTGTGGCTGCACATCAGCTGATCGTAATTAGGTCAACCAAGAGTGCTTGACGTGTAGTCGCATTCGGTCGCATTTTGTTTAAATTTATTAAAGTTCTTTTTATTGTTAGAGTAAATCGATCTGAACTCGGGTAACTATTGTTAAAGTAAAGGCATTAACCCTACTCCCTTAAGTGATCTCGTGTACTTGACAGCAGTCTTTTCTGAAGGCTAATTTCGTTACAATAAATTCTAACGCCATCGAGATACAGAGTAGTTCGGAACTCCAAGCTCGGTGCATTAACTCTAAAGGCAGTTGTAGATTCATTAAAATTAAACATATATGATCTCAATGTATACGCCTTCATTTCAGCTCTATGAACTGTCGCCCGACCCTAAGCGGAAGGAATTTCTGGACGACCTTTTCAACTTCATGCAAAAAAGAGGTATGCGTTCGTATTTTCCGACGGCTCGAGCAGCCCTGGCCCTAATTAGCTCCGAATTCGCATCCCATAGACGACACTAGCAGTTAATGCGAAAAGCATGGGCGACGTAATCACGTGTACAATTCGCATATCATTCTGCTGCCGCATGCGTATGTAATAATGTTAATCATTTCACGCCTCATTTTTTGTCTATTCCTTCACCCCTCGGTCGGTTGTAATTAGGCGTTGGTGTGGAGGCACATTAACAAGCTGGCATTTGGATAGAAATCACCACCCATACACGTTAATTCCTAATAGGGAAAATTCTTCAACCGGTTTATCTACCTGGCAAGTTTAAGAAACACCAACGAAGAGGAATCTGCTTCCATCTAGTCGTTAAAACAAAAAGTGATTTACTGAGTTCGAAATTTGAGAAAAAGGCCTAAATATACGACCTATTATCGTTTAATAAATTTCAGACGATACAAGAAGATATTACCAATTTATATAGGATCCACAATGTTGAATCGAATAGCCCACAGCCTTAATCCGAGATCCGTGGATGAAGGTGAATAACTAAATGAGGATCAGTCATTTGAGTCGATGGGAGTAGTCATCCTATTGTCACAATTTTTAAAAATTTTCAATCACCTAACAGGTCAGTTGTCGTGGCGGTCGATTTGAGAGTAATCTAGTACACTCAAGTCGATAATTCACGCAACACTTGAGTAAATTTACCTCTTTATCTGAGCATATTTGCATAAATTCGGATTCACAGTCTGTAGCAAACAAACACCCTTATCGTATTGTCAATCATTTTCCGCAGCAAATATGCATTACCATGTTTCATTGGTTCTTCCCCTCCAAATCGTTGGTAAATGATCATGGTCAGAACCCAAAATGTAGAGTTCGCCGTTTGAAAGTTTGGCATTGTCTTCACGCGAATAAGCTCACACTGTTTAAAATTCGTTGCATTTATTTGTAGGTTCCCCAGTGAACCGTATTCCAATAATGGCCAAACAAGTTCTTGATTTGTATGAACTTTACCGACTGGTAGTCACCAGAGGAGGTCTCGTTGAGGTGATCAACAAAAAACTCTGGAGGGAGATCACCAAGGGCCTTCATTTGCCTTCTTCGATTACCAGTGCTGCGTTTACTTTGAGAACACAGTGAGTAGCTAAGGTTTGAAGTTGTGTAATTTTGTCCTACAGCAGCGGCACGCTAGAAAGTGCGACCATGTGCTTCTGTCAATTATTGCGCCCAGTGTCCTTCGGGCACTAGGTTGAGGCTTCGCATGAGCTTAGTTAGATTAAATGATTCACAGAGACACGTCTGTCGCATTCATCCATTGAAAGGCTCGGAGGCGTCCCAGTAACAAATTGATTGAATTAGTACATTCTTATGCTATATTAAAACAAGGATATCTCTTAACCTAGTCTTAAGTATAATGCCTCTAAGTTTTTTTGCCACTGTTCCTATTTGCATGACCTCGCTAACATGCAGCTACATTGTGGGAATTGAAAAGGGAACCGCTGTAGGGGCTCAAAAGCTTTCCATGGAAAGTAAGGACCAGACATTTAATCAGCATCATAGGTGATCTTGAAACTGTTAACCGACAAACGTTGTAATGGAAGTGGGCTGGCCTCAGTATAGTCTCACTGTCTCGAATTATTTGGTCTTTTGAAAATGCTTGAATAACACTGAATAATGGGATTCGGAGGCTGACAGTGAACTCGCCGTAAATCTCGGACATACAGGCAAGCCTTACAGCGAGGCGGGTTCACCAACGCCCCACATTTGTAAACAGCACCCTAAGTATCACCATGGTCACCGATTCCAGCACCAGCGTGTATCTCGGGATTCTCAATTGATTTATATTTGTAATTGAGGAGGGCGATAGTAGCGGTTTCTCCTCTTGACCCCAGAGCCACAAATGGCTCTTCTCATGAAGTAGTATTATGGGTCCAGACCTTTGTTCTCCTGGTTCCGACTTCTGTTTTGAAGTGTAGATTTGTGTGCACAATCATTCGTGGACGCATGAAGCAAATAAAAGCGTTAATGAAACTGGTGAAAATGTTGGGTGCATAGCGATGAGCTGATCTCAAACGAAACAGCTCACTAGAGGATCCTACGTGTCTTTACTGGGCAAAGATACTACTAACAAACAGGACAGCAAAGAATGGAAACATGTTCCAATCTATGAGCTCTCGTCACCTCCATGCACCGTGGTTGGGAGGCACGTTGAGATACTAGTTTCCACATTAACTTGATGAACAAAATAGCTATAACAGGGGGCGCACTGGTGATACTCAGCACTCGGAATTGGATCTAAAATCTGTGTTCAGAGAAGTAAGGCAATATTTTGGACATGGGTAGACCACGAGTGAAGCATTTATTTGCAATTGTTGCAGTAACTGTAAATGCACTCAACCGTTTTGGTGTGCGAATTCGTAACTGCTGGAGACTTCCATTTCCACTAAAACTCAAATGGCGAGGAAGGGCGAGTAAATTTTATCCTTACACTCTCTTCAGGAGGTTTAGCACTAACCAATTGCAGTAGTTTTCAGACTTTGGAGGATGCCTCTTATGGAACTGCCTCTTTCTTGATGTTCGATTCAATTAATTTATCCTGGTGTTCTCCGTTTGGGAACTACCCTTGTCTCACTCATGTGAAATTTTCGAACCACTTCAATAGTGGCAAGTAGGCATTAACCTGACAATAAAGGCGTGCGATAATAAAGCCAACTACAGTTGATTGAAATGAAATCAGCTGTGACCCAAAGTAAGCAAGCACAGTGGCAATTATTTTAAACGTCATTACCATGGTGGATCTGATTTAGACATTTTGCTGACGCTTGGAACACAAGAAAATTGACTCAAGTACATTCTCTTAGCAGTTATAATTCCCATGGCACGACAGCTGTTGCAGCCATGTCAAAAAGTGTGTACGGCAGTGGAGGCGCACAAATTCCCCCAAATTATACGCCCCCCTCCCTTGCCCCCGCCCGGATACACAAATTCGGATGCAAATGCGCCATATAGTCTCCGTAATCTAATGGACAGGTAAACGTAGGGGTGTGTGCACAGTGCGACTGACAGCTGAATCGACTTAGATGGTGTGTGGTTTGTTCTGCTCCACACCCGGGTCACGCAACAGGATTCAATCGCATACCGGACACCATCTAGTAGCCATTGTGACTGAACCTCAGAGGACCTCAGAGAGCAGAAGATCGCGGGCAAAAGCGGGGGTCAAAATGAGATCAATGAACTGTCGCGACTTGTTTTCGCTTTTTTTAATTAACCACATTGGAACTACAAAAGTCTAACATTGAACCGAAAATAGACAAAGCAGGGTGGGACAACGGTGACCCGATTGCCACTGTCTCAATCTAGAAGGCACAACCGATCGTCAGATCATCTCTTCGACAAATAATTGTACCCATTAGCCAACACGTTTGTGTGTCTTGTGTGTTTCACACTACTACCCGCGCATAATGTGACTATTTGTTTCTACACAATTATGCCATGGGCTTCTAGACCGTGAAACTGTTGGTCTAGGTGCGTAAAAAATGGGACTTGGGACACGCAGAACCCGAACGGTTCTGGCCTACTCCGCTACTCACGACACCCAACCAGCCAGCTAACCCATCATTTGGCACCCAGCTCCCCCGAAGATATCTGAACACGATGTTTACGGCTTACTCGGAGCTTGCAGCATGCATGGGGGGGGGGCAGAAACTGAGTCCCAATTTTGTGTTAGGGTCGGAACGGCTTATCGGAAGAGTTTGGGTTGAGGAACATAGATAATGGCTGATAAGGGGATAGCGAAGTCCTCGAAGGTGGCTTTTGTGAGATTTGGAGCCGATATTCACTACAGCTTGACACGCTTTAAGGTGAGTTCTCATCACTTGTGCCACTGGATGCTCAATGACACTTCGCTTTGAAGCAGCCTCAAAACCTACCGCTTGGGCATTGCCCAGCTCCTTGTCTCGAGGTGGGATGTGGCAAATTCTTGCAACATTTTACGAACAGGTAGAATGTTTGTTGCAATTTTAAACATAGAAACAGAAAAAACACAGTTGTGGCCTTCGTCGCACAGCGGGCGCAACTGTTGCGTTCGGGTGCATTCGTACCCACATTAAATTCAATTATTAACATGCCAACAGAAATTTGATGCGTCGACCACAGAAACCACACTTAATGACTCACTGACAAAAACAGTTGTGTACGTTATCTCTCTTCGCCAGGTACATGAAATACCTCTATCCTTACGAGTGTGAAAAGCTGGGTCTCAGCACGCCGAGTGAATTGCAAGCGGCGATTGATGGCAACCGACGCGAGGCTCGCCGATCCTCTTACAGTTTTGAGTACCCGGTAATGATGGGTCCGGGTCCGAGTTCCAGCGTCTCTGCCAGCACAGGAAGCCAACAACTTCCTAGTGCTTCTCTTGCAGGTGGCTTTTCTCATCACCCTCCGCCTCCTCATCCTCCCCTTCCACCTCACCACCCCCTCCTTCCCCCACCTCCCAGTGGTGGGGCACCACTGCTCCCGCCAGGGTTACTCGTGCCTCCCGGATTCCCTCAGCACCAACCAGCCTCATCCAGCAGCTCTAGGAACGGGAGCATTCTCCCCGATTCCGCTTTCTTTGGCTTCCCGAGCATGATGACACCAGCCGCTGCCCCTTCTTTACCTGCACTATCACCCTCGGCGCCATTCGAAGCAAAGCCCTACATCGATGGCGACCAGTCACCGGTATGGATGAATAAATTCTATGCTATTTAACATTATGAAGGTTTTGAACGTCAACAAAGCTTTTTTTACACAAAGAAGCACAAGCGAACAAAATGTCCTCAGCGATGTTTATCGTCATCCTCGGCCTCAATGGTGACATTTGCCACAAGTCCAAAACCTCGGCCCAACTCCAAACCGAATTACTCTTCTCCCGCAACACTCGAAACCGATCCTTCTAGGGACAGTGAGTTCTAAGACGCCAAGTGCTTTTTTGCTAAATCATTGACACTACAAATCGGTGTATAGCCATACAAATATTTAAGTCCGGCAGTTAGGAGAAGGCACGGGCTAGAGGTGGTGTGCATCCGCAGCGATATCGTGTGTTCACTTTTCCATTGTCCAAATTATTTTCGGTAAAACTACCAAGCGTCGACTCATCTCGATGTACAGCTCATGGACCACAACGCAAAAGGCAAATACCATGCGTGTAGTTATCGCGGCCACTGCCGCCGTACCCCTGTTGCTATGACAACAAGCACGCCAACCGCACCGGGTGTTAGCGCCCTGCGATGTGGGACGCCAGCACAGGCACGCAGGAAGGCGGCTGAACCATTGGGGTCTGAGCAGACCCGCAAGGGTGACAGACAAGTCTGCCACTTGTTGGAGGGCCCAACCAAGCTGCGATGCGTGCAAATTTGTGCCAGATTTTTGGTCGCTCACACGATAGAGTGGGACTGCAGTGGCTGAGGCCTGGTGAGGTTGTTGAAGGCCATCACGCCACCCTGCTACCCAAGGAGATGAAGCAGGCCGCCGAGGGCGAGGCACGACCGTTTGCCACATAGCTAAACCGAGTTCTGTTGTGTATTACAGTCTGGGTGAACTGGTAAAACTGCAAACGTCTGAGTGGTCACATGGTCAAAGGGAGTATTAGTGGATCATGCATGCACAGGGGTGAATGGGCAGACGGTCCGCATGGCTGGCAGGCACGCCGTGAAAGGGAGGTGGTGTGGCTGAGGCTGCGACGGCCGGGTTAATTGACGTGAATCAACACGACTCACTTCAGGGTTAAAAAAAGGTATGCCGTTAAACCAACCATCGCTCGGTTAAGCGTAGGTGACAAAAGTGCAAAAGGTGAACGAGAAATCGGACATGTGTAGACGGGCCTGACAGACGTGACTCAGCACAATTTACTGCGGTTGCACCACCCCAGTGGTGTGAGGATGCCCAAACTCAGAGCAAATCCAAAAGTAGAGGGGCAGATTTCGGACTTTTTAAATCAGTGTTGTAATTTAAAAATGAAACAACTTCAGGTCATTTTTTCGCGATTCTTTTGAATCCGCTAGAACAGCTTATTTGTGCTTATAAGAGGCATAACCTAAAAGTGGTTACATCCATCTGAATACCGATATTTGTTTTTGTATCACAAAGACAAGGTGACACACTTTCCGCTATCCTGTTTCAATTAGCTACTGCTTAGCGGACTGTCGAAAAGGTTAATATTTTTCATGTTTATTTTCAGCTAATCGACACAGCAAACCAATAAGGTTTCCGCCGTTCCCCAAATGCACATCGGCTTTCGACCTGGATAAACGAGGATCACCGCAAGCGATCTCATCACCACATCTCTCCCATACCTCTTCTGCAGAGACTGGGTTAGAAGGCCAACCAAGCACTGCAGCTCGCTTTTCTGAATTTCTGAAACACCGTACACCGCAGCATGATGCAACGATCTTTCCCAGTTTTAATTTGGCAAGGAGTGAATTAGTGCAGGCGAGTTAAAAATACCGTTTACTGATATAAAGCAAGTAACTAGTGTCATTACTCTATCGAACATTGATGTAAAAAAGACACTTGTCAATTCAATGGTACCCCAATGCTCGTCGATACTGTGCAATAACTAATAATTATTACCGTTTTTAGACTCATGGCACCTTTTTAAATCTATCCAAGAAGTTGGTATCATTTTAAGGTTTCCACCACTAGTTGGGGTTTCCCGTGTTTTCGATTGGCAGTGCTTCAGTGGCTTGTGAAGTTAGTGTGAAGCAGAATCCTTTGGCGGGAACCTCACGATCTTGAATTCAGGCAACCGCGCCAGCAATCCGATCACGCCACTTATGTTAAGAGCGGTTATCGGTTGTCGCGTGTGCCGCGTGTCAAGATGGATGGTGGTAAGGGAAGAATTCCAGCTAGAAGAAAGGACTGTTAAAGTGCTTTAAAGACGTGGTTTTCACAATTATGATTGTGAAATATTTTGTAGCATGCTAAACTCTATTCAGAAGTTCGTTCGAAAGTGGTGCCTTTGTACATCGTAATGTTCAGTGGCAGCTCCACTGTAATCATGGACTCATTGCATTGTAGAATGCTTATCGCCAGTTCTTGGGTGCTGCAAGCCACAAGTTTGCATCCACAGAAAGGAAGGAATCGATCAATGGGTGCGCGGAGGACCGGAGGCAGTTGAAGTCGACGGGCTGTCGGGAGAACCACGAGGAACACGCGCACAAAGTGAACGGTCAAATGGCTGGGGAGCACCAGCACTCCACAATGCAAGTTGCCTCAAACCTGAGGATCAGCACACAGGCAGGTAGGAGCAAAAGCTTCTCAGGATTAACTTGTTACTCACTGTTCCCGGCGAAGGGAAGCACCCTGATCGATAGTAGCATTAAAGACCAAAAGTGCCCTGTAAAACAACCAGAGCTGGAGTACATAAGGCTTTCATCGGTTCGTGGCGTGCAGGTTTTGAAAAATGCACATTTGGGTACATTAAGGAAAGGCACCAGCCCTATTTCTCTCAGTGAGCTTGGAGCGCGTTACTTTTGTGCTTAGCCACCTAGCGAACCTAAGCACCAAAATAGACCATCTGAGTCTGTAAGTTGCGAGCAGCGGTTGTGCAAGTCTTTAACATAATTGTCTTTCGCACTTTAGGCAGCCAACTCGGCCTGCCGGATAACACGCTGGTGGTTTGCATGGAGGTCACGGGAGTGGTCTATCAGGGCGTCCTCTTCGGCCAAGTCAAGCCGCCCTCGTAGAGGCCTTCCAACACACCCGAACCCACTGTACAAATCACTCCCATTCACTGACACACCTCCAGGCTGTATCTGCCTACGTCCCCGTCCCCGTCCTCAACCACAGTCTCAAACTAAACCAGCGTGTTGTTTTCTGCATTACTTACTTAAACCTCCGAAACAAATACACACATGTCGGTAACTCAAAACCGAAGCCCCCACTTCACATGATGGGAGCAACATCCTCGTTCGCATCTTCTTTGTGCTTAGAACACAACTGGGCATAGTTCTAGCAGTATTAATAGTAGCTTGTGTACTACGCCATATTGAGCGGCAGGGACATTGCCAACAAGTGCATTACAATGACTCGGAACGCTAGTCTACAAACTCACAATTGGCAACAAAGGTCGTCTCTCCTGCGGACCTCACTATAATACATGAGCTATGGACTTCGTAAAGGCACAGACTACGACTTGGACCCTCACTCGGTGGAATCTACCAACGACGAGCCAGTTGGTGTGCTCGGATGTCCTTGTGGGTTGTCAAGTTTCGCTGCTATTCGAATGACCAGTACGACCCAGTAACCAAAATTGGCGTAAGCCCCGATTTTCTACGCACCCATTAGAACTAAAACGGGAAGCGTTTAAAGTGTTGACGGCTCAGTGATTCGCATCCCCCCCCCCAATCCCATACAATAAACACTTGTGCAAAGGCTTGTTTATTAGCGTGATTACACAGTGACAATATTATAGGGGCATGAGACATTGGCGGCTTTGGAAAACTATGTAGTTGAGGCTGAGAAGGCGCTGAGTGAGGAGGAAGTCTGAGAGAAGTCGGAAACTTGTATTCATTGGGCGGAGCCGAGATTAGACACCGCCGGCGCTCCTGTGAACAGGAATCTTGGGACGATTGAGCACATTTTTCAGCGAGTGGTGCGGAACGGTGCCCGTCTTCAGTGAGCTCATGAACTACACGGGGAGGGGAGGGGAATGTAAACGCGCATTACCAAGGCTGTGGTTTTATCACATCGGTAAAGTATAGAAGACAACTGAGGCCATACATCCACTAGGGACCGGCAGATGATTGACTACCTTCAGTTTAAAGGCAAATCAATCACCAACAAAACTTCGAGGCACATTTCGATCGCGCGTTTTGCGGGAAACGGTAGTTGGATCGTGCGCCGTAACGCTTGTACAAATTATTTCAATTCGTGGCTAACTTCACACAATCCAACGCTACTGGTGAAGTCCAATCAGATAATTCATACTTGCGTGTGCACTAATTTGCATTGAGGCAAAGGAAGACACATGCACACAACCTCTCACGAAAGTACACTTGTAATCATAGTTGTTGGCATTTTGCAGTGGGTCGACGCAACCCGCACCAGTTGCAATATGTTCTAGGAAAGCAGTGTTGATATTTTAGCTCACGTCATCCTCGGTATCTGTGGCCTAGTTAACGAGTTGCATTCTTCTAAGTTCAATTTTCTAATTGGCAAACTCATCTATAATATGGAGTTAAACGATCGCAAAAAGAGACCAGCATAAAGCACAAAAGTGGCAACAACTTGGGACACAGGTTCTGCGAAATCAAACAGCACTAATCTTCGTTAAAGGCTCTTAACATCAAAAACCTAACAGGGCTACACATTTATTCTGATGAGTTGATGGTAGTGCCTAACTCCACCCTTGACGCTGATAAGCGTGGTTCGCCGTGACTTGTCATTGGCTCCCTAATAACCAACTCCTCATTGTAGTTATCGCTAATTTGACTACAGCAAAAGTGAGAAAAGTGGAGAAGGCAACACTGGTCTTTAGCTGCTGGTATTTTCTTCGTCAAGACCGCGAGTGTCATTCCTAAATGAAAAAAAGTTAACCAAAAGTATTGCCACAAAACGGAGACGCTATGGACGTTGACGAACGCGTCGGGTCACTGAACTGGTGTACTACAATACCGGCAATTAGAATTTCCCTTTTCTTCGGTCATTTTTGTATTGAAAAGCGTTGCTGATAGGAAACGGGAGAATCGATAAGTGCAAAACAGCGCAAGCCCAATCGCTTGGTTAAACATTAAGTGTAGTGGTTCTTCGCTTTCCCCTTCAGCCAACACCCTCACTTTCTGTGTTCGAACCCCGTCAGTAGGGAGAGACATCAAGAGCAGAAAAAGGCTCGAATGAGTGACCCATAAACCCGAAACCATCACGTGGCCGTGGGCCAATTGAGTTTGAACAGAAGTTTGGAAGATCGGGTGTTAGGCAGAAACATTGTCAAACAACTTACTTGAAGAAACTCATCCTTGTCGATTTCACCGTTTCTATTCAAGTCGAGGTCGGAAAGAATGCTCTTCAACGTCTCCTCGCTGACAGTTTCGCCTTGGTTCTAAAAAAGGCGAAAAAGTGGAGAATACAGACAGACTGATAAATTATTTGACTCTTAGTGACTTCGGGTCTCAGTCTTACACTCGAATTCGTACGCACCCTGGCGCTACGACGCAGGCTTTCGCGGTGGTGTGCACACCTGCTCTGGTTAGAGCTATTTGGCGAATCGGATCAAATCAAAGCCCTCTGACAAACCTAACTTTTCCCGGTTAATGCTTACGTTCTCAACAAGCCCAGTAGTCAAATGGCGCACCCACAAAAAACGAAATTTCGCTCAACACAACGCCTTTGTCGGCAAATGTGCATTCTAAGTGTGAGTAGAATGAGTGCGCTCGATTTGGTTGAAACACGCATTTGCAGCCTGAGAGAAACCCCGAACGAAATGCACTAGTTGTTAATATCGCTTACATGTACTGCAGAAGATAACAAACGAGAATCCCGCGACTGATGATACGCAAGTAAGGGAAAATGTTATTTTGGATACATACTGACACGTATTGTAATAGGTAAAATCCTGGAGGACATGACGCACCTGGGAGCCTTTCACCCAAATGCAAATCAGTGCAACTAATTTCTGAACGAGACCTCCACAAAATAATGTTTGAAAACGATGGCGCGAGGTGTTTATTAAAAAAAGAAAGCCTACTGCGCAAATTTTGATCGTGATGCTACTTAATGGAGCCTTGTGTGTTAACGCTCAAGTGTCAGGGCTGAAATGTGCAACAACCCAGTGAATACACAAATAACCATGTTACGCAGAGAATGTGTGCAAGGTGGCTGTGAATAAGCACTCAAAGGCCAAATCGTAAGTGCAAATATAAGTGGATACGCGGCGGACCCTTAAGAGACCACTTCAAGACATCACGGATACACGAAAGACTCACCGTGAAAAACTTGCGGAGGTCCATTACTGTGATGTAGCCCTTCTGATCAACGTCAATTGAGTTGAATTGATGCTTGATTTTTTCCACCTCCTCGGGGGAGAAGTTGACCGGAACAGGGCCGGTGCGTTTCATCCCGAGACCCATTTCAGTCTTGAGGAAGTTCTAAATAAGTAACAATTGAACGATTCAGAGGTCAACTTCCTCCTTTATGCCCCCTACCAGGAGGATGAGGCCAGAATGTTGGCCGATCAGGAACCCATTAAAACGCAAATCCGGCATTCTAGTTATAAAAGACCGGAGGATGCTACTGAAGCCACTCAGTGTCCGACGATTAATTTTCTTTGCACCGAACTAATTAAGTTATTGTGCATAGGAAAGTTGAACTAACCAACACCCAAGTAGGACACTTGCTACTATGGCCCTCTGGAATTCGTTATTTGTAAGAACATTGGACAAGGTGAAATCGGAAGAGAGCCTAGAAGGTGGGTGCCAAGTGGATTCGCCAAGGCGAGCTGGGAAAGTAGGCACGGAAATGCCTTACCATTGCTAGTTCGTGCTCCTTCTTTTTGCGCAGAGGACACCACTTAAGCTCAGCAGCCATGAGGTCAATCACTTTCGGCAAAACTTCCACCGCTACACCGACGTCGAGGAAGGCCAGACGGGAGCGACGGGCGAGGAAGTCGACCGCATTACAGGCGTACTCACGGCATGCCCAGGTCACCTTTCAGAGAGTAAAAGATTTTAACAGTCGCTGAAGACCAGACAACGTAAAACTGCCAACGCTGAACCTGTGACCTGGGTTCGGTAACCTATCTACAATAAACTGAGTAGGTTCGGTGAACTACGCGGATTTTTTGGATGGTCACTAATACGGTTATGAAACAAGGTTCTTTGTTGAAATCCCCGCACCAAGTCAATACTATGCTTGAAAAACGATCGACTTAGTCAAGGCAATCTATTTTTGGAGTGCGTGGCAATTGCGTCAACCGTTGAGTGCCGAAGCAGGTGGGTGTGGTGGTGTTAAATGCATTCGTCAGGTAATAGCTCACCTCAGATTCGATGATGGGGAAGTCGGGATGGAGACGCCGGCCCACGAGGGGGTAGCGCAGCCCGGTTAGCTTGGCCTGTTGGGCAATCTGGACGGCCCGACCGCCGTAAGTTGAGGCCAGGTGAATGGCCACATCCCGGTCGATTCCGTACTCTTGTGAAATCTGGATGAACAGGTTCGGAGACCATCCATGTGCGCCGTTTAAAAGGAGACCTGTGGTGCGACACCCTGACTTCGGCTTAAGACCGCATACCTAAAGTGAGGGGAGCAGTAGACAAGGAGGAAATCAAGTGGGAAGGGATGAGCCAAAGTGGTGAAAACGAAAGCGGAATCTTGTGAATCAAACCACTGCTAAGGTATGTGGTAAGTCTGCTGAGTGAGTCAGTGTTACATCCGAAAGCAAATGAGCTCGAATTAAGAGGGAAAACTTGACAGAAGTAGTAATTTGCTAGAGTATGTGCAACACCAGAAGTAACCAATCACAACCAGGGAGGGATGGGGGGACCGGTCACGACCACAAAAACCAGCCAATAAGGTGCAGCAAAACACTCACCTTAACGCACTTGTCGACAGCCTCCTCCGCCATTTTGCGATAGGTGGTCCACTTGCCGCCAGCAACGGTGATTAAGTTGTTATCACCCACGGCGATTATGTGATTTCGCGCGATCGACTGCGTATCCTTTGAGTTGGGGTCGGAGACGAGGGGACGGATTCCCGACCACGCGGAAAGCACATCACCACGGCGAACTAACAAAAAAGGGGAGAATTCATGATCGAAATCGACACTTCGGTTATAGTGAGCAAGCACAACATGGCTGGAAAGAGATGCCATCAACCGGACTGAAGTTTAGGTTTGCTTAGATCCACACAACGTCTAATTTCCTTGCGCCTCGTTAGGAAACCGACGCATCCCACAGGAAATGTTTTCAGTTGCAAGGGGAAAATAAGTCCGAATCACCCTCACTAATTTTCTTCGCACAACGTGGGCGGATGCTCCGATTACATTTTTGAGTCTTCATGACGTCCGAGCTGTCCGCTCGCTTCGATACAGTCTCACGCGGGAAAAAACAAAAGGTGTCGCGAAGGCAAATTGCCAAGCACTTGTTTTTTTTTACAAAATTGACAACTTCATCGAATTCCTTTCAGTTTACAGGGCTGTAATTATGAAATGGCACGAAGAAGCCAGGTTTGGGGCAGAATACTGCAATTAAAAGCCGTATTTTTCAAGAATGCACTGATTAGAGTTACATCAAAACATGAAGGGATTTTCGGTGGAAGTGAGAGTAGTACTTTTAGGTGGAAATGTCCCGAAAATTGCACTAAGATGGCATGTACTTTTGGGCATTGCAAGCGTTTACTGGCTAGATGGGTCAGTGGGTGCGGCAAGGCGATGTTATGCAGGCTCGGCCATGGTCGCTCGGACAGTGCTGCAAGCAGTGATGCAGTGCAGTCATTTGTCCACACGACCAAAGCCTACATTCGCAAGCATGTCCCCCTAGGATTTTCTTACTCCGGCTCTCACATTACGACTCGACCTTAACACTATTTGAAAAAGACGTATTTTTTTTTATCACAAAGGCGATCAACTTGCCACTTATTGGGGGTTTTTCCTTACTTAAAGGAATTTGAAAAAAAGATAACGTACCTTCCCCAAAATCGTAATTCTTCGATAACAAATATCTTACATCAAGCTATCGGCTACAGACGATTCTCCATGGTGCATGTAAAAGCAAACTTTTGACTGATTTTAGAGATAAACAATTTTGTAATTAGACGGATTATTAAATTTAGCCGTCCTTCCTTAATATATATAAAATGTATTTATTATAGTATTCTTGACTTTAAGCTTTAAAAGAATGCCCTTTAACTGGAGTGCTCGGAACATTGATGTTAAATTACATCAGTACAGTCGATCTTATACCACTGGATAAGTTTTGGCCCAATCTTAAAGGACGCAAAAAAGGCTCCCACATTATCCTCGGTCGCTGTTCAAACAACCACCTCACGCCTTTTTGGGTAGCCAACGAGACGAGCAGGTTCAATCGGATTCCTTAATAACACACAAGTCAGCAACAGCGTGGCGGATTCGAACAGGCCTCAGTGAAGGCCGGTGGGGCGAAGATGGCATGGCAGACAGCAGTCGCCATTCGCAGCTCTGTGTGGTCGAACCCAAATCAACCACGCATTTAACGCCAAGTGGGACAGTGTGCCAAGAAATACCCCCAGTTGGATTCGTGGTCATCTTTATTCACGCTGGTTCCAAAATGCCTCTGACTAGAAGAAGTAGCATTTGATCGAACTCGTGAAAACATGGGTCTAGATATTTCCTGTTCCTAAAACAGGACCATTAATGAAAACTAGGCACGTTCCGAGCAAGTCAGAAACAACACGAGATCCATAATACCTGAAGGAATTTGACTGCCAGCTCGTAATGTCGTGTGCCTTGTTTAGTGATTTACTAACAACGTGGGATGCACCTTTAAACGCACGCTCGCTAAACTTGATACGATGCCGCCAACTTATTCATCCGAAGTGGGAGCAGTGTGAATAATCTAGATGATTATCATCATACCTGTATCAGCAAGCACCGAGAAAACACAACATAAATGGCCAGAACTGGGAGACGAATTGGCGTGGTCAGTGAAGAGACGTATGAGAAATAATGCAATAAAAAATACACACACTTTTGAGGTCCGGAGAGAGGTAGCTCCTGATCTCGGAGAGAATGAACTCAACGTCCTCCTCGGAAGGTTTTGGAGAGGTGGTCACCTCACAGGGACGGTCTGTAGTCCCAGCTACGACATGACCAAGCCAAGGTAGGAAGAAGATGACACGCCCGTCAGTTGTTGAGGGATCCAAGAGGCCCATGTTTTCAGGACTAACAAGTTAATCGAAGGTTGTGGTTACTAGGGAAACCAATTTGTATAACTAACATTGTACGTTAAAAAGCATCAATTTCTCGAAAGTTTGAACAGTTTCGGCAAAAATACGCACAGGTTAGAGTCTGAATAAATTGGGAGCTGAATGTTTGGGTTACATGGAAAGCTCCTTCTGCAAAAAGGAGATAGGCGGCTTCGCATACACGCAAATCCTGCATTTGTTCAGTACTTCGTTCGAAACTCACCTGTAGTAATTTGGCAGAACAATGTGGACTCCAGAGCTTGGTTGGCAGATGGAATTAACTTTGTTGTTTTCCATCTTGCGGATACTGTCGGTGAAAGGGCCAGTTGCGTTGACAACACAACGGGCACGCACAACGAACTCCTTGCCCGTCAGCACATCACGCATGCGGGCCCCACTGACGACTAATTTTGTCTTGCCCGATGCGTCCTTCTGATTTGGGTCTTCGCAGGGGCTTTTTAGAAGTTCGACGACTTCCACGTAATTGGCGATGACAGCGCCATGGCGACTGGCAGTAAAGGCGACATCAAGGCACATCCTCGCATCATCGTGTTGACCTGCGTACATGATTTGAACATTGAACCTAGTTTTTTGCCCCCACTCACAGGCACAAGACATTCATTTTAACAATGAAATTAGAACACACAGGTAATGCGCTGGTGTGACTAGATGAGTATTTAAACAATTAGCCAGGAGAGTTTCAAGCAACATTCTTGTTGCGAAAAAAATGAATTCTAGGGCGAACTCGAGCATTACTATCAATATTAACAGTGCAATTTTCTAGTGAGCCACGGTGAAGGGACCACTTGGGACTCGTAAATAGAAACGAACTTTTACAACCCCTAGTATCGACTTGCTTTTAGGATAAGTGACTCTTCATGTCCTTCCTTTAAAACGGGGACCTCATTGTGAGCATTTTTCCGCGCGTATAAACACAAACGCATAGTAAAAACCGGACTTAAATTGCGCTTGGAGTCTGCGGAATACCTTTATAGGAGTGATTGCACACAAATTTGGCCGAAATCGCCGCAGTGAACAGTGATTAAATGCCCAACACCAAAACCCTTCAGCACGCACATACGACGGAATTTCGAGGCAATCGTTAATAGAGTCGGTAAAATCCGAATGATGAAGAAGTGACAACGCTGGCGCACGCCAAGTAGCGCACTCAAGCGACACTTTATTGTTGCCTTGTGCAACCAACGTCGGACTCTCTTGGGGTCGTTAAGGAAGTTCTAAGCAAACTTGGAAGACACTGCAGACGTGTCATGAATGACGAAGAGGGCGGGTACACGTCACACAAAGAACATCCTGCTAAGCTAAACAAAGGATGCAACTGCATTGCAGTTTATTAGAGGTTTTAAAGTACATCATTTCGGACCGGTCCGTTGTAGACTTGTCTGCCCAGTCATGTGATTTGGCTTACTTAAATTGCACACCGTGATGAAACGTACCTCAGCGAGTAAACAAGTTTTAGACATAAACTTGGTTTCAAATAACAACATGCTACAACTAGAAGCTTTCAATGTGAATCTGAGGTGGACATCCACATGAGAACCAAATCATTCACAGTTTTCAAATAAAAAAGCGGAACGTCTTTGTGCTTTGCCATTAAGGAGTCCTCACCACGGTTGACGCCCCTTTGTAGGGTAGAGACTGGGTGAATCTTTTCGCGAAGGTCTGCCAGAGACAAATCATGGTTTTCTACATAAGAGGGCCGAAATTCAAGCTATATATCTCTACCGAGCGTGTTGAAATAAAAGTCTATTCAGGTGTGAGAGGTTATTTTAAGGCGTCAAATCGAGACCCGATCGAGTTCAGAAAAAATTTCTCATTCAGGAGTCCCTTCATTTCACCAAACCGCATGACCATATCGATTAGTATGCTCTGTCAATAGTGCAAGGTCAGTTGTAGCAGGTTAGAAAAAACGTCTGCGTGAATGTGCCACTTGAGTTCAGTTAGTACAAATCCACTGTGCTAGCAAGAGCACGGTTGCCCCTGGTCTCGCACACTAGCTTTAGCGAGTTGATCACCGTTTCATTACTACTAAAAGTAGCAATGATTTAGCAAATTTGATCTTCCGATACGCAGGCTGCTGGGTTTAAATTCGGACTGGCCTTTATGCGCTGTGCGCAAGGGGACCCCATTCATTAAACCTGTCTGTATATATGTAATAGACTGGGAGATCAACACCAGGAATACAAACCTTAAATGAGATCAGCGTGAGCACACGCACACCCGAAAAGAAACCCGTCGCACGTAGAAGGCTGTAAAGCACCTGCAGCCATTTCGAAAGACATAAACGCTTGACCTTTCGTCAAAGAGTGGCAAAAAGTGCAAAATTTTATTCCGTTTTGAGGAGCGTTGCATCCTGGTTAATGCAGGTTCAGTCAGTCGACGAAGAACGCACTAATTTGCCGGTGCAACGAATGCGCCTTTGAGCGAAAAGAAGGCCTCAAAGCCTGTTCGTCATCGGAATGCAATACACACGGCTGAGGCAGCCGTACTAAAACCATGCCTCCACGTGCTAATAATGCGATCGAATTTCTACGACGCCGGCATGACAACACGGCGACTGACCAAGACATCATCTCGTTAATTGAAAAGAAAACCCCAGTCCTCCTACATTGTATCGGAATAACATTGACGCTATGAGTTCGAGACGTAATAATGTAAAACTATTGGCTTAAAACCACCCGAATAAAAATAAATGATAGACAATTTACGACAAGTTTTTAGACGGCTACATTTCGCGATTTGATTGGCAGTTGGTGAGGAGAAAAGTGATTCCTGTTTTTATAGGATTTCGTTCGATTGGTTTTTGCACAAGTCGTGGTCACCTTTTAACGCAAACGGAAAGATAATATCATAGATAGATGTGACTTGTGGATATCTACTAGGGGAAAAGCATACACCCAGCCTACAAAGACAGTACGCACACAATCTTAAGACAAGTTAAGTTAGTAAAGTGCACAGGTTCTGGGAAAATTCCCACTACTACAGGTAAACAAAGAGTAGGCTGAGAGGGGAGGTAGCACATGTGAAAAGCTCACCATCGTAGTAGACAAGGGCTCCCTTCAGTTTGTCTTCCTTGAGGTGGGGGAAGAGTTCGAGGGAGCGTGACTTGTTGAGGAAGTAGCTCGACTTGAGAATCTGCGTGCCGGAGACCAGATCGTACATCTTGATCCCCACCCAAAAGTACGGCACCTGCCACCACCTATCAGGCACAACAGAGGTTCCATCCGTAAAACATGGCCCACACTTTAGTGGCTAGAGTTTTCTGTTTGCTGGTCGAAATAAACGTTTTTGACCTCTAGCAGATCTTTTCGTGTGGTCAATAATGCAACTCAGTTATGCAATTCAAAGAGTAATCTGGTGTAAACCAAACTGGATAAATTGTCGACCTTTCAATAACTCGTAAATTTAGGCCTGCAGAGGGCAGTTCCAAGTTGCCTACGCTTCTGTGGATTGTCTTGGTCTATAAAATCCTCATATACCGAACGCGAGCATTTTTAACTGATCATTCGACAGCAGGCGTTTTAAACGAATTACTGATAAACTACCATTTGTAGTGACCGTCTTGATTTCATATACCGCGGGATGATTCAATTTGCACCGAATATAGGGCGATCTTTAGCACATCCGGTATACACGTTACCCTCAACCTTTATAGGACAATAAACTGTCTAAGCATCACACAGATTGGGTCGAACTTCGCACAAATTGAATTTGGAACCACCAGTTTCAGTTCGGTTTAATGACACTAAGTGAAATAAAAAAGACAGTTTGGTGAAGGTGGACAGGGTCAAGGTCGATTCAATTTTTAGTTAAACTATGTGAAATGTCATGGAAACTAAAGTACGAATCCGGTGTTTTAGATTGAGTAAAATACGGAGCCACTTCCATCGGACTGAGGGAGAGTTTCTAGCTAGGATGCTTGCGTTTAGGTTTCACGCATGTTCAAAGACCAAGGGCTCTAAAACTGTCGCATGTGAAAACCCATCAATCCCGACGTAAATTCACCTGGTTAAGACTTTCTATAGCCGCACTTTTGTGCTTCGGGGAAGGCATGCCAGAAGGCACACTTACAAAGGTATGAACGAGCCCAAAGTTGCCTATTGGTGGCGTTCTTAACCAAGAAAATTAAAGCGCTATGCAACAGCCTCTTGGCGATTTCATGAGACGTGAATTTGAAATGTGAAAACCAGAACAGTACTGGTGCTTTGTGAGGCCCACATTAACAAACACGCGTTAACGAGACACAAAGCAGCGCCAAAGACGTAACGAGAACAAGTAGCCACACCCAGGTGCGACGTGTGCGCCACGCCCATGTGTGACGCGCAAAATCCAAATCAGCTGATTTGAATCAGGCTGGAAACCAAACCAGAAACCGGAAAACGTCGCCAATACGCTGTGGCAAACTTGTGCGTCATCCGCAGTGGTTCCAACGCATTATCGTCAAACAAATTGACTACGATGATCAGAGAATGGCCATTAAGATTTCGTGACAAAATAACTTCGAAGGGAGTGATTGCGGCAGCAGAATCAGGACCGATGACTGGTCATCGGAAGCAAAATGATGGGGATGGCGCACCACAACCATGAACATCTTCGAGTAACCGTGCAATACTGTTTGGTGAAAATCCAAAGCTAGGTCGAATAGGAAACATACCATTAAACATGCGCTAAACGAGACACCCTGACTAATGAAGGATGGATCCGCTTCCGAGAGAACATTGCGCAGTAACAAAACCACCAACAACTCACGAATCGAATGTTATTTTTATGATTTGGAGAACTGTGACAGCAAAACCATGAAAACATATAACTCTATCATTTGTGGAAATGAAAGCGTTGAGAACCGACTGTAATGCGTCAGGTGTTAAATAATTCTTATTGCAGAGCAGTGGCAACAAAAATATGCTTTGTCGACTTGCATACATTCATTTGATCGGCGTACAAATACATTTTTGTGCACCTAGCTTCCACTTAAACTGGCTTCGCCAAGAAAGAAGAAGAGCTTTTCGATTTTGATAGGAACAGGTGTGAAATTTCCATAATGGGGAACTAATGGGACAGTTTCACTCACTTGTAGACGGGCAGCATAATGGGCAGTGGGTGGGCAAGATGTGGTGCAATGTGCAGGAGATTGGCGCGTTCACTCAAGGCCTCCCTCACCATGTTGTACTGTTCAAGATCGAGATTGAAAACAGCCTTTTGAAGGTAGCGCACGCCACCGTGGATGAGCTTTGTGGAGCGACTCGATGTACCAGAGGCAAAATCCTGCTTATCCACAAGGCAGGTGCTCAAGCCTAACAAGCAGTAAGTAACTTGCATGAAATAACGCGTTTGCAGTCATTCATGACTTTGCAGCAAATTTGTGTACAACGTGGCTGTAATGGAAATTTAACCTCCGGCAAATTCAACAGGTACAAGATCAAATTGACATCCAAAAACCTGAACGAACATATGACACTGGTATTTTTTCTAGTAAACAAAATATTTGCTGTAAATGACCACAATTTAATAATAGCGGCTACGAAAATTATGGCACACTGTTGTAAAATCAACGTCAATTTGTATCCCTTATTATGGTTTCACATGTCACAATGGATAATTTACCCCAATAAATTAAGGGGTAGGAGGCTTGAATTTGAAGACGTGATTCACCGATTCCCTAATCAAATTAATTCTTGTTAACACGTAACTCACTAATCACGGATCTGAATTAGTTCCTAGATAAGAGCACTGTGTGTCAAAAACAACTGCACTGCTACGACTCCAAAGGAACCATCACAATTATGGGCGTAACGCTTCAGGCCAACAGACAAATGTCTCGAAAATAAGCCCGTGTGGCGGAAAATCCAACGTTCTGGCCAGAAATGATGCAAAAGCGTGAAACACGCCTTCTAATCGAAAACACGACACTAACGTCAAGGGTAATAAAACGACCTACCGCGAGTAACAGAATCGAGAGCTATTCCAGTGCCTGTGGCCCCTCCGCCGATGACCAAGACATCGAAGATCTCGCTGTTTTTCATCATGCGTTCAACATTCTGTTCACGGGTTGTGAGAGGACTATTGAAGAGGACGATTTCCTCCATCGAAGGCGGCGGACGGAGACGACACGCCTGAGTGGAATAAGAGTGGCATGCTTTAATGAAAACGATAATCTTGTTGCATGAGGCTTAGCAACACCCACTGCTACTCAAATGCCTCAAGGCTTGTCCATAAATACACAAAACACCAATGTGTAAGTCTATAGCAGACAACTGGATGCGCGTCAGGTACTCAGGTAGGACAGTGGAGGTACAGCACCAGCAGAGAGCACAAGCCCAGACAGGTGGGCTGACAAATAACATGCACGGGCCGAGATGATAAGTCAACAGCAATGTCGAGAATACAGTGATTATAATACATGGGAAGAAAGTCGTACAACCCCAGTTTACATAATTCTTAAGTGCCATGTTGATAAGAAACGGTCCTGGAAATCCAATATTAACATATTTTGTAAAGAAACACGATCTCATGCGAATTTCCCATTTTTCGATAGCCCTTGCACATTTAACGACACTAAGAACAATTCAACAGAAAAATATTAGTAAAAAGTCCAACAGTGCAGTTACAGTTGAGAAGAAAGACCTCCACAGTCGGATGACAACATGTTTCTATTTCCTATTGTTCGATGATAACGGTTATCCGTTAAGTAACTTTAATGAGACTAATCCCAGAAAATTCATTTCGCCAGAGCAGAAAATGAAGAAATCACCATGTAGAAGAGGCTTGTAAAAGTATATTCTTGCATATTCATCATTTGGGCTGCTAGACTGTTAACAGTATGCGTTATGGAGCTCATAACAAATACAGATGTAAGCACCAAAAAAGCACAAAGTAACCACAAAATAAACTAAAGTGAAGAGGATGCGAATTTGGGCAGTGGAAGAATCTGCGTGGGGTTGACACGGAGACACAATTACGTACGATCGAGGCATTTGCTTGCATTATTCGTTACAGGGTTTAAATCACAGCAATTGGAAAATATGCCGCGACGAAATGTTAAAGTATGGACTCATATATGTATAGGATGTGTGACTCATTTTTCAATTGTTGAAAATGTGGACACTGCTGAAGCATTTTTGAGAACACATGTCTTTGATTTTTAAGGATACTGACGAAATAGTGGAAGTATAAATAATTGTCAAGTCCATAGGACCGTGAACTGCCAAGAAAGTGGACAATTCAGATAAAAATCGTCTTCTAACTAGAAAATCCTTGCATTTTTCTATATGCCCGGTTAAATACAACGATATGCCGATGCTGAATAAAAAAGCAACAACTTGAGGACACGCAAATTGTGAAAAAAACCACCAGCTCTTAACAATAAAATACGGATACATTAAAACGCGAAAGCGACCGGTTCAATGGCGTCTTCGTTAATTTCATAAGAAACCATTTTCACTAACGAGTTCTACACCATAAGCAGTCCTCAACAAATATGAACACGAAGGAACGATTTCTGACAAATTTTGAGTAAAGAACACATTGAACGAAGTGCAAATTAGTGGAGCATAAAAACATGACGAAAATTTAGAATCCACTCAAAGAACAAGACTAAACACATTTCTTACAAGGTATGTTCCCAAATTCCACTTGGGGTTTCAACAAATTTCAGTTTTTTTTAAAGCAGGGCTGATTTTAGATCGATTAGGAAAGCTAAAGGTCATTTCACCATTTAAACATTTTTAAAAGAAAAATTGTGAATATACACCTCAGGACAGTACGTAAGTAAATGCCCAAGAACCAATAAACTTTAGACGATTGCATTAAACGCACAATATAGCCTACGCATTTACATTATGATACACTAAAACAGTATGGACATAGAGATGCCTATACACATTATTTCTAATGCCACCCACTCAAACGACACTAAATCTAAGTGCAATCAGAATTAACAAGTAGCGAAATCATAGCTTACACGCATTCTTCGGGCTTCCAGCAATTTTGGAGCACACTCCATTATTCCCAATGTTCCAACACAGGCAGCCGTACCAGTAACAACAAGTCTCTTCCACGTTAGCCGCACTCCAAATATTTTCAACACCATTTTCTAAAATGTTAAAAAAAGAGGTTATTGGGGGTCGAAAGTGATAATCGCAACAACTAGTGATGGAAAAGGAGGATAAAAATAAGCAGAGAAGTAACTACTAAACAATCCGACACGCTCATTAACCAAAACAAATATAGCAGCAAGAAATGTACTGAAAAATAAAAGCCTCAAATAACTCTTCGCGATAATGTTTTCACGAAGCACTTTTAAATCATACATTGGAGATAAAAAAAGCATCAACATAACAGAGGATGACAATGGCAAATAGGTTGCAGATAAAAACGCTTATCTACATTGCGATGTAGCAGGAGTTGCGGCGCATGTTTACAGAAACACTACCACAGAGAAGTTCAGCCTCGATTTGTTTAGAAAAATGAGGAATCAATTTAGGGACAACCTCAGTACCAGCGTTCAGTAAGAAGTAACTAATCACGAGGATATACATCTATTTTACAATATTCAAAAAAACAAGGTCTGTGTTTTCAGAAAAATAAGACTACTCCAAAGCCAAATCAATGAATATATTTGGGAGTTATCGTGACTGGAAAATAAAGCAGAATGGTCTGAAAAAAGAAAAAGGGGACACAAAAAACTACGAATCAATGCTAAAAAATATAAAGGCTCTCAAAAATACATAAGTACCGTGTATTAAATAAAAACCACAGTTTAAAAACACAAACATAGTCGCAAATACACAAGTATGTGTACGTACAAGTCGAACAAGGCCACAGAACTGTTTCAGCCGCCAAACGGAGATATGATAAAAGAAGAATGTCTTAGAAAATTTGCTAAAAACAAAAAACAAAACCTAATATACCCATTAAGATGCTACTTCTTAAAAAAATTATTATTTTGCACGTCGTGGTCCATTAAAATATTCTAAGTTAGGGAATGCAATGAGGAAGATTTGTTAGCATGGTGTGGACCTACTGTTTTGGTACATAGAAGCAATTAAAATTAAAAAAATTGACAGTTGCCATTGCATTAAGAGTTCATGATTTTAGGTTATGATGGACTCTAAAAAGTTTTAAACCTAAATTCATGCGTAATCGAATCAAATTTGTAAGGACATTGGAAAAATTGACTTTCGTCTTTCTCGACAGTTTATACAAATTCACAAGAAAGCAAAATATTTTTTGACACATGATGATGTCAACGGAGTTAGCAGTGGACAGTTGATATAAAATGACGAGATCGAGGCTTGTGATTTGAATGAAAAGGCATATCAGTTCCATGTGAACGAAAATCATGCTATGTGTTATCGTGACCTAAAAAAAAGAATGTTGAAAAGATCGAATCACGTCAAGGAAAGCTTAGGCTTGTTAAACTTCAGGCTGTTTTTAATAATCTTTACTTTGGAACGCTTTTTCATCATATTGTGAGTAACGGTATTCTGCAGCACAAAATTTTTATATTTAGGCAAAATTTGTGTTTATTTTTTCCTGAATTCGAGGTAGATACATATTCTCCGGACAAATAAAATGGAATATTTGTTCGTCAACTATATCTACATTCACGCGATCTATAATATGAAGGACGTTTTCGTTCAAACGGATATATAATTTGAGCTTAGTTTTTTCCAAACTTTAAGTCAAGATTAGGTCTACTGTTGTCAGACCATCCACTGATTCAGTTTTGGGTGAAATCATTTTGGCTGAGACTTGGGTTGGCGAGATACAATTTAGCTCTCCTTCCTAAGTAGTACCACAGTTGTATGAATGTTTTTGCTACCTACTCGCCTAGCAGATTAATATTCCATTTTTTCAACAATGACTTCTGAGCGAGTAAAATCTTGTACTTAATTGAACAGGTTAGAACAAAAAGATCACTTTATAATAACTTAATCCGCATTAAGACATACTTTGCGATTATGGTAGAGTATTATTATGAAAAAAGAACAACAGCACGTTCTACAGTCTATACCTGTACAGCTGTTATTTATCACCTGAGTTCAGATATTACAGGTGTTTCTTATCCATTATTGTCACTAATTGGCCGCTGTTGTTCCTTGTTTATTCACAAAGACGATTGACTGAGCTCTAACTGCGACATAATATGAATGCAGCCTAAATCAATAATTTTCAGATTTGAATAATCTAGATGACAAAATTAGCTCTGTCACATGGCTTAAACTTAGAGCTTAATAGTCCTGAATAAGCCGAGTTCACTTTACTGAGTCCCTTGGGGAGGCATTTTTTTATTCTGAATGCCTGTTTATCGTCCTCGCATTTCTTCAATTTTATTCATATTTCACATCTATCCTTGTCTCTGATTGGCTGCTAAGGATTATCACAGACCTCTAAGACTCACAGGGAGGATTGGCTGGGCTTTTGGCGTAATCCGATCGAACCTGCGGCCATTATTGGTGCGCGAAGTAACGTGTTTTCTACATTCCACGTGCATCATCAGCCGAAATGGTGTCATTTATCTTTTTATCTTATTCCGGTTAAATTTAGCTTTTCTTGTTCCATCGGTAAGTTGCAATTAGTTATCTTTGTTGGTTTAGACCCTAATATTCTTGCTTCTGTAATGTTCTTTCGAATTAGTATCTTTTCAAATCTATTCTTGGGACGAAGGTCCAATTGCGCTCCTTCAATCGATAAACTGAATGTTACAATAAATTTAGAGGTTCCTTCCACCCCACTTCAGAAATCAGATATGGTCTGTCCCGCGATAAATCCCCCGTTCCACAATTGCTTGTTGCTTGGTTTCTGCATGGCGACATGCTTCCTTAACAACTTTTTTTCCGTTTTAGAATTTTCGCTATTGATTATGCAGAAATACCAGTTAGATTCTGATATTTCTTGTGGCCATGGTCGTCGCAAAATTGGCTACTACTTCGCACACTTAAAGTGGGAGCAAATGGTTGCTGGCGTCGCCGGTGGTGCTGTTACCACTGCGGTGCTTCACCCCTTAGATCTGGCCAAAACTCGGCTGCAAGTGAATGAAGGTAATGCGGTTGTCAAGGCGCGGTGAGTCCATCATTTGAGCGAATATTCCCTCGACTTCTCTCATCCCATGCCAGTTCTTTGGAAATAAATAATCCTTTTTAACACTCCCAACCATAATTTTTTAAGGAGATGTTGGCACTATTAATAAATTAGGAAGGATCCTGTGGGAAGAGCATACGGGGTATAGCTTTTGACCTACAATTTCGCAGCTGCACTAACCTGGATTCGTAGATTTGTAAGGTTTGTGCAATCACCTTTCCCGTCGATGAAATCAGCCCTTGAATATGCATGTTTCTTTCTGCATTTTCTTTTTTCTCACTTAGACCTCGAAGTTCTCGATTTAGTGGAACCCTTCTTGAGATCTACAGAGCAAGGGGCTTTTTCGGTTTCTATCAAGGTGTAACGCCAAATCTTTTGGGAAACGCGGTATCTTGGGGACTTTACTTTTTCCTGTGAGTGTGTAATTGCTCACCAATGTAATCGCTTGAAGTGTTTAGTTACTTTTATTGTCGGTTACATTCAGCCACTGGTTCAGTCTATATTTTCTTTATCTGGTTTATGAATTTCTTCTCTTTTATCTCCTGTAGTTATGGTGCCCTTAAGAATTACGCTCAAGGAGGCGACCCATCTAAGAAGCTGAGTATAGCTTGTTATTTCGGTTATTCCAGCATGTCAGGTGAGTTAAATGTTATGGTTGATTTTATTTATGATTTAAAAAGCCCTGGTACCGTAATGCTTATTGTATGTATTAAAGGAAAGGCATTCTGCAAATAGGAATTTTCTCCATGGTTGTCCAATAACCTAGAGGAGTGGCGTGTTGAACTGCCGTCTTCAATTAGAACTGTAGATGAGATTCAGCATCACGAAGCCCCTCTATTTGTAGGTTTTGTTGGCCTACTAGTATCAAAATCGGCTAGTTTTCGGGCCACGATTATTGGTCTTGAAAATATCAATTTGAGTTATATGTACTTTGTCCTCTTGTTTACTAGGTATAGCGATTTTGTGGATGACAAACCCAATATGGGTTGCTAAAACGCGTATGTGCTTGCAATATGAGACGCTGGATGCACCTGGTCGTCTCACAACTTGGGGCACCTTGAGATCCATTTGGCTGACGGAAGGACTTCGAGGTCTCTACCGTGGCATGGTCCCTGGCATGGTTGGTGTGTCCAATGGAGCTCTACAATTCCTGTTCTATGAGGAGTTTCGCAATTTCTACAATTCGTTTCACGGGCGCCCCATCGATACTCATTTAGTGCGTGGCTAAATGTAATGATTAGAATATTGGTTTTGCAAAGGAGTTGCTCTTTTCGAGGTCCTCTGCCTAAGATAAAACCCTATAAAGACTCTGCATTTTAGAGTTGTACTGTGAAGCGTTTTGGCCGCGCCATTTGCCTGGTTTCTATACATTGAGAAGACTGACAATATTAGCCGTATCCCTGTGTATCTTCCTAGGCAGCTTTCTATTTAGGCCATTTAGACGTTAATCTACTAACGATAACATCAGGAACTGTCATATACAAAAAGCGGTTGGTTTGGGGGAGTATGGTGTACATTTACTTGCGCTGAAACCAGAGGTGTTCGTTGTGCATTACGTAGACTACATTTCAATGAGGGTTATTCATCGTGCATTCTAGCCGTAGGCTTAAATGTGTAGTGATCTGCAGAGATCAGTTAACACCTAGAAAATTATCTGGATCTCTATTTATATGGAGTTTTTGACTTTGTGAACCTCCTAATGACATTCGCTTGTTTTTGCCTTGTGGGAGATTTTATTTAAAGCTAGGTCAATGCTTGCATTTTAGAATGTTCCCGAGTACCTACTTATGGGGACATTGTCAAAGACACTTGCTGTTGCTGCTACATATCCTTACCAAGTTGTGCGAACTCGTCTACAAGAACAACATAGGAATTACGGAACCATGACGAATTTAGTGAAAACTATTTTCAGGTAACACTATTCAGCTAGTACTGTTCTACTAATTTCCTCTCAGTAATTATTGCCTTCTCGTTACTTTTGACTTCATATTTCGTACGTCTACTTCCCTAATACCTGTTCGAGCTTTGCACGAATTCGTCAACTCTTACATGTTACGAAGTTAATTTTAATGAATTGTCTGCTTTAACACAAGTTCCCTTCATAACCCGTCTTTTGTTTTTCAGGTATGAGGGTGTTTTCGGATTTTACAAGGGCCTTTTACCGAATATTTTACGAACGGCACCTGCGTGTGGCTTGACGTTCGTTGTCTACGAAAACTGCTACAAATGTCTGAAGGCGTTGTGAGTTGCTCTCGTGCATTCTACGTAGACTCAATAATTGCTCGAAGAATTTGCAGCAGTACACATGCGACACGCCTCCCCCCCTGCTGCTCCATCTTTCGTATCTGTGATTCTGATTTTTTTAGTATTTTTTGAAGTAGATGTTTGAGCTGTGTACTGATACTAATTCGACTCTAGTAAGTCATGGTTTTGCAACTCATACGTCATGTTATGTTAATGGGCTTATGCCATTTGCAAGGTCCTTTTATAAGGCTGGCACCTAGGCATGTCAACATTGCCGACTAACAACTGAGAGACATCCAAGGTCTTCGCGACGGATGCTCTGGTAGAATATATATAAACACCAAATCAGTCCCTCACAAGATTTGCGCGCAACTGGAGCATGCACATCCTGAATCGCCAGTGGCAGATTAACTAAATGAAGAATGTACTGTAGAGCAAAGAATCTAACAATAAATTATTAGGTTCGGCTTGCCGCTACTCAGTAACAATATCAACATCCTCAACACTGCGATCGCCTAAGCAATATTTTATAATGTGTTACTTGTCCATGGAAAAATAGAGCATGTGTCGAATTGGGATGCACCTCTGGCAGCGGCGAGTTGCCGACGCGAAGGGTGAACTCCAGGGGTTGTGCGGCTACTTGGATCATCGCATTGCTCGGCGCGTCGACCCCAGAGCTTGGGTCGATGGTTGTTTTGGAGTTACAGTTTTTGAATGTGTGGATACGCTTAGACCAAGATGAAACGTAGTGCGTTGTGTTTGCCCTTATGGCAAGCAAATTAATTCCCAATGTTCAGAAGCCTATAGGTCAGTCCACGAAGGTTTAAGAATGATGCGAATGTGTGACCACCATCTCATTGCATTTTTAAAACTGCATGCTTACTTGAAATACAAATACAGTTGCACGTAAATTTGGAGAGGTGGGTGAGGACAAGATAGTAGAAGTTATCACAAGATCTAGTGGGCAGACATACGGAAAAATATCGTGCAAATATATGTGTACATATATATAAGGTTGTTTAAATGCTGTATGGTATTGCCATGGTGGGGGCTTCTCATCCTATTTCTAGACATGGTCTTCTACCTCGGTCTCTTCCTGGACACTGGAGGTATTGGGTAGGAGGTGTCCTGCTGACTCGAGGTAGGCTTGTACAAATTCCGTGTAGTATTGACGCTCATGAAGGTAATGCTTCAAACAGTCAGGCAGTGGTAAGAGGTCAATGTGGTCCTTGCGTACTTTAAGAAGTATTTCGAACCGACAGAGGTGAGCCAGCGAATGAACCACCAAGAAACGGGATACGGGGTAGAGGAGGCGCGCCTCGACGTGCCGATTCTCGTCTTCTGACTGGTCGCTTGTTGTTCCGGCCTGCTGATTGGCGGAGGTAGTTAGGGCTGATTGGCGCAGGAAGAAACGAGTGCGACCGCGTTCTGATTCGGCAATTACGTGGCTGATAAACTGAGCGATGCTTGGTGATGTGGTGTCAGCGTCTCCTTGAACAGCAAAGCTAAATTTGCCTAAAACAACATTTATTTAAGGGATGTGGTGCTATCGAATAAAAAAACACTGGCTTAGCTAGCCGACATTCAGGCTCGTTCGGCGCGGCTTGAGACACATGGCGCCTCCTGAAATCTTTTTGCACTGATAAGTCTGGAACTCTAGAGGCGGTTTGGAAGAAAGTAGCTTAGTGACAACCTATTACATCGGTTCAGAGGGACGGTGCCTCGGAGAAAACGTGAAACTGGGGTTCCCAGAATATTCCACAAAATACACTCGTCTATGACTAATAACACTTCTTCGGCAGTAACGCTCGATAAGCAATGAAAAATTCGAAGCGCAGCAGCAATCCTTTGAAAGGTTTCCACAATCAAAGATACCTAATTTTCAGAGAAGAAATTTTAACGGGGCTGTATGTAAGTGGTTAAGTGTGTTCTAGTGAAAAATACCAATTATTCTACGCTAAAAGGCGATTGTCACTCATGAGGCTTTCACTCCGATAAATCTAACATTGCGTGCGTATTGTAAGCCTGACGTGAAAATACGGTCGACTTGGAGAAACGGCTACGAAAGTTGTAGTGCCCGTAAACATTCAGACGGGAATCTTTCTGAAAGCAGACGCATACTCCGTCTGACTGGTTGTGGTGGCGCTTTTCGCGCAATGACTTCATTGAAGTACAAAGAAATCGTCGCTACTTGACTGTTTTATCAGGAAGCCCCTACAGCCAGTGATAGCGTGTATTTGATGATTGTTAACGCGAGAAAGTGCGACCAGTCAATTTGGGCTTCAAAAATCCAAATGCAATTTATTTAGATATGGCCGCAAAAGGGAATGGCCCGATAGTAATACACCTGCTTCCACTTATATCACCTGTACTGTGTTTCAAGTTTCCTTACGTCAATTAACGTTTTTCTCAGTTTCCTCGAAATAACTAAAAAGCAACTGCTTGACTGATGTAAGTCTTCACCTGAATGTCCTACGGCGACAAGGCAATCCACGTCGAAGTGACTGACATCGATGCCTACTTAGTTAAACTACACCAGTTGCACATTACTTAGCTTCTGGTGCTACCTTTATCCCGCTTAAGGTGCCGTTTTTTGCTTGTTTTGATAAAAACAAAATCCATTAAAGCATTAATGTATCATTTTCACAAGTGTGTTTGTATAAAACGACAGCCACGAAAACCTTGGCTTAGCCGTGACAGAAGTCACAATTTCCAAAAATGAAATTAACGTTTGCGCAAAACGCGAGTAACGGGGGGGGGGGACGGGGAAGTCATCAGTCATAGCTTGACGGGAAATCGCCAGCTTTGTATTACTGGCACGTGGATGCAGAGCCTCATGATCAGGCTTGTAACTCATTACGCATCCTGTGCAGGAAAGTGTACTGTAGTGAACTTTTAGAGTTCATTACTGTTGGATTTTCAGCATCCCCATGACTATATCTTTCAAGCTTTGAACATTTATACCTTTCATGTAAACCTCGTTTATGCACACCAACTTGTATATTCATATCGACCGCCGCCTTCCTATTGGTCCGCTTACCCGTGAATTCACTACTGCTTTTATCCACATTCAAGGCCGCCTACGCCGTATATAAGTGGGCGCATGTGAATGCGCACTCGGCCTTTGGCTGAGGCGGCAGGGAAGCTCCGCACGAAGTCTTACCCTGTGTAGCAGCATGGGGAAGAGCTGAATCCTGCATGTTTTGTCTGAGTGTTAGTGTAGTAAGCTTCAGACGTGTTAACAAAAGGTTTAGATTATCTGTGCATCTTTTACCCATAAGTCGTATCAATTACACTAGAGAATAAGGAGAGGGGGGTGAGGACAAGCATCGCCGTTTATACAGTAGGGAGATGGAGTATTTGTTGGCATTTTGGCAAAAGGTAATATACGATAAAATTCGATGCATAGTTTGAAGTGCGCCGTTTTAAATGGCACAGACAGCTATGTGAAATTTCACGCATCCTGAAGGCCTGGAGATACAATGCTAAAGAGATACTTAAGTCCTTTATCCAACCCAGCAAGACCGGATAATCACTTACCGCCAGTATGTTCGATTCGCGTGTGGTAAGTGCGATTCTCGGCGCGGAAACTGACGCTCAATATGTAGAGCTCGTGGCCACTGTCGCGCACAAGGAAGCTGCCGTTTGGTCGGTCTTTCAGCAACAACTCAGCTTCTTCTATCGTCAGCGGGCCCCAATACCAACCAGTCTACAAAATAGTGCAAATTTCGACAACCCTTCAGTTTAGGATTCCACTACAGATGCACTCTACATGATATGACTATCAGAGGGCGAACAAGTCACTGTTTGCTAAATGAGAGGAGGGAAAAACCTCCAGTGATCATGCGGCTGCCCCAGTGAAAGTGGCAAGTGTAAAGAGAGCATACTACTGTTATTAATGGTGCCAAAAAAATTCTACGAGCTAGATGTGAAAAAAAAGTAATCTTACTCGTTTTAGTTGGTTAATGTTTTGCAAGAAGATCCTTCTTTGGTCCATCTGGCTCATGTCCACAATAGAAGCTGTTGGAGTTGGAGTAATCACCGTACCCTTTTCTGCCGCTTCTTTCTCTCTCTGTTCTAGCTCATCAATTTTGAAATTTGGTAGGGTAGAAGATCCAGTCGGTGTTTCAACTTTTGCCGATTCAATAGCCCGCAGAGCGTCCGACACTGGAGCAGGCGGGTCACCGTCTATTGCCTGCTCAACTGTTGGGCTTCCCTGTCTGGGTCCGCACTCTTCTCTTATCAGAGGCGTCGCTCGCTCCTCCGGCACCGCAGCGGTTGGTGGCCAAGTGACGGAGAGTTTGATGAGGGGTGACGAGGGCCGCGAATCCGCCGGCTCCGTGGCAGACGGTTGCTCGGCCTCGCAGTGATAGTAGTGGTGGAAGTGATAGTGATGGAGCATGATATGTTGTTTGTGTTGTCCGGCACAACATCCAGAGAGATCTTCGAATCCACAAAGGGCTGATTCGATATCAGATGAGGCAGCGGCGGCAGTAGCACAACAGCAAGGTGGTGGCGGTTCAAGCTGGGTTTGGACCTCAACGCTCCGAGTAGGGGGTTTCGATTTTATGGCGGTGCTTCGAGGGGGAGGGGGCGGGGGCACCTCACACCGGGCTGAAACGACACAGAGAGAACCAGAGGGGGGTGGGGAATGGGAATGTTTATGGTGAGGACCGCAAGGAAAAAGCCAACGCGGAAGACGACTGCGATGCTGATTGTCAGTGGTTGTGGAGGATTGCGAAATTTGCTGGGTAGTTTGGCGGTATTGGTGGTGGTGACTGCAGGTACAAGGGGCGGGTGGAAGTTCTCTTCGTCGACTGGCCGATGTGGGAAAACGCCCATCGGGAGACACCAGAGCGTCGGGTCGCTGGTGTTGTAGAGTGCTGTGGAAATAAAAAAAGAGTCACCGAGGTGTTGTCTAGTCCAACATTAACAACTAGACAAAGAGATGCGCGTTTATCACGCTACAATCGAGCTGGTATCACAATCGTCTCTAACTCAGATGGTAAATTACGGAGGAATGGTGTTTTATCAGAACCTACTTATTAAGCAATTCCAGTTTTCCAGTTAATTGGCTTTATGCGTTTCACCATCAAAACGTTACAGGTTTGGTTGCTTACACTCGCGCTTTCCATTGTTTCAATTGCCTTTCACGTTACTAAGGGAAATCAATGTAAAGCAAGAATGACCCATGACACTTTAACGAATAGGTTTCCGAGACGTCTTAAGACGTACGTTTCAACGGCTAGAACTGGCCAAAACCAATCAAGGTATTGGTCTGCTTTCTTGCAATATTTGGCGCATGACTAAAGGAATCTTCTTTGAAGCGTTGACTTGTCATTGACAGTGCCTCAAAACAGCCTAATTTGCAAAGTAATCATTCAGTTTGGCAGTGACCCGTTTCAAACATTAAACAAATTCCGGTTCCGCCAGAAGCGGTAAAATTTGATCAAAGCAATGGTGGATTAGAGCTGTGCGAATCCACTCTTCAGGAGGTTTAAACAAACTACCCTAAGAACCTTCGCGAATTTCTGTCGATGCAAACGGTGGAATTTCTCCACACCAGTGGGCGTAAATTGGTCACGCAAACGAAAAGTATGCTTCCGTGGTGTAAGGGCCCGCAGTAAGAGATAACTTGGATGTGCATTCGTTTTTTGTTAGGGACAAACGATGTGGGATTATCTCAAGGCACGGGAACGCGTCTCCGCATTCACGGTGAAAAATGAACGATGAATCTGTTCATGTTAAAGGAATGTCAGTTGTTCGTAAAATCGCATGACCTCAGCGAGTGTGAAACTGATCTTACATATTAGCTCGCACAAGCTAAACATGACACCGGCGTTTGCGAATGGCTGATACAGCGCGCCCTGAAGTGGCACCTAGCAGTAATATTCTGTTTCTCAAAATAAACATGCCATTTAAGGGCATGGAAAGTGCTCCAGAAGGACATTTAAGAAGTCAAAGCTTTCTGGTGAAAACAAAATCCTATTTTTGCTTCATGGGAAAAGCCCCAAAGGGTTCGTATTAAACATCTACATTCGGCCAACACCAATATTGTCAGCCTTCACTTCACAGACGGTGCAAATTAAATTCGATTGAGGAACCTCCTTTAGCTTAATGAAAATTTAATAAATATAATCTACTCGAAAAGCGCGAGGAATTATACAATTTGTTTTACTTCTGACTTAGTTAACCTGATACCTCGTGACTTAGAAAGGCTCCTTTCATTTTGGAAACTCGTGTTCATTAACCGATGGTTTGCATGCAACCGAGTATTCCCATAAAAAAGCACCTCCACTTGACCAAAACTGGCTCCATGAGCTGGAGGTGTCCGTTCAACACGGTTATCATTACAACATTGACCACTGTTCCTACAACGATAACAAAATAACCCATTTGATAAAGCTTTCAGAAAACACCGACAGGTTCCACACCAGACAAAATAGCTAACTCTCTGAAGCTATGGTGAAAGATATGGACCGTTTGGGTAACACATAAGGTAAGCTTCTCCCTCTACGTTTGATCTGAACCAGTTGTTTAATTGTTCGGATTTGTTTATGAAACAGCTTTGGCATTTGTAGACTCGGCCGGCATGACAAGTGTTTATACGTAGTATCAATTGATGTTGTGTGTGTCGATCTCATTATGAGAATCACAGTTTAATAAACAAGCATTGTCTACACACAGCACATATCAGTTTCTTTTGACCAATAGTAGTGATGGTGATATGCTTTCAAACATGGGTGCACAATTATGCACATTTTTGACAAATTTGAATTAACCTTAAAGTTTGAGGCTTTACATTGGGAGGTGAATAGGATGCTTTAATAAAGAAAAGCAAAAAATAGAAGCTGGGAAATGAAAGACCTCATTAAGGCAGATAGGAAGACTCAAGCACCCACTCTTCAAATATGATGGAGTTACGAATTTCCACCGAATTAACAGCACATATAATGGATAGAAATGTAGTTTGATTTTGGTGATTCTACGAAGCAGCCAATGGTAATCCGAACGGATTGCAAAAAAATGACAACAAAGCACTACCTTATGCAATGACATCTGTTTGAATCACAAAGGTTGAAATTGCTGCATTGTTCAGCACTTACCCCAAGCTCTCCAGTGGCCATAAGACCTAATTTCCCAAATCTTCAAAATGAATGTATCTCGTGTGGAGAAAAAGGTGGGTTTTTTCCGCTAGAGAACAAAAATATCATGGGAATGACAATCACAGTTTAAGCATTTCATCAATTTAAGTAAAGACAATTTAACAACCCGGCGTTTCCCGTCTACAAGGTAAGTTAATATTCGACTCAGATCAGAAAAGGTTTGAAACACTAGATTATTTTGCCGATTTTATGCAAAACCATCAGATAATACATGAAATAGACCGCGGGCCTGATGAGAAGGTGAGAACGCAAATGTCAGCATATGTAACAAATTAACAACCAATTCAATGAGCCTGAAAATTTTTTGGAAAACCAACTGTAAAAATGAATGCACTGAATTATGCAAACAGAAAGCACAATAATTTGTGTTATGGCCCAGTAGCCTGATTACTGGTCACTTGAGAATGTAAACGATAAAAAACTAATTAATCGAGGAGGAAACAACTTCTACTCCCACAATCCAATAGAATCATTTGCTTAACAAAGGCCGTTTGGCTTTACACGAGGTGTTACACAACAAGCAAACATTGAGTAACGCTTATCTTAATAGTATCATGAGTAACTAGGCATTTATGCTGCCTGTTACAGAACACTAGTAATCTAGTTGTGTAGATAAATACTTGATCAACGCAGATGCATGATTTTTTGATGGGATCGGCGAAAAGTAGACACCTAATACTTATGACTGAGAGATCATCCTTTCCTGGTTACACAGTTGGATCTGTGATAGGGGCTTTATCATGAACAATGCATACGGCTAGAAGACGGTTTTCATAATTGATCCGGACAACTGATTTTATATAATTCGCTTATGCAGTAACACGGTAGATGTCCTGGTATAACCCAGCTAACCATTGGACATACAACACTTAATAATCACACAAACTAGTACATTCTCAAAATGTTTAAATGTGCACACACTTGAACATTTCTTGTCAAAACGCACCTTTTGGGGAGGGTAGTTTTAATGCCAGTGGACATCAGCTTGTTAAAAAGAAAAGTGACGCTGCAAAAGACAAACGTCCACCTGAGGGGTTTTGAGCAAACACTAACCTTTCTAATCATAGGCTTTTTTATTAAATCTGCCCTTTAAATAAGGAATGCTGCTTAAGACATATTCTCTCTATTAAACGTCTGATTAATGCCATTAATTTTGTGCAAATAGATTCAAATTCAAATTTTGTGAGCTTAAGTAAAATTTAGGGACGCCCGTAGAACTTTTCCATTGACTGAAAAAGCTTCGTGAAATGCCGACCCGGAAGACTTAATCAGAGTTGACTCAGGAATCAAAATACCATCCACATATTCCTGCCTGATGCCGGAATTTCGGCCACTCCCATTCTGGTCCTATGGACTGTCAACCTAGGATCATGAAACACATGCAATGTGTAATAGGAAGGAGATGTTGCAGCTAATCACTTATTGATATGCAATGCTGAGGTAAGAAAATTGTCTTTGAAATTGGGCCATTGTTTGAACACATCCTGGCCGAACAATTTCCACATTTTTATTGAACCTACACAGGCTTAAACTATATTGCTTCGAAAATATTTTAAGAAAATCATCCAACCAATTTCGTGTAGCTTGCGTTCGGAACTACTTTACCAAGTTGACGTAACCGGAGCATATTTCAAAGAAAGGGAAAATTTGAAAGAAACTGTCCGGTAAAAACTTGAAAGTGCCTGCCCTTTAGCTCGCCTTTCGCTAATCTTGCCTTACTCCTACACACGTTTGATAATTCACCTTCTGACTTTTCAAGACTGCCTTCTTTGACACTCCAGGAACGATATTTTGCGCGGTTCGTTTTGCTTAGCACTGAACGGTTACCCAGTCTGTCGTTTATTTCAGCCGCTCCGTACAAAGTAGACTAGTGATTGCTAGACCTGCGAATCCAGAAGCCCAGGTTGGTTTTAAGTTTGGCTACCACCACCTTAAATTAATGACGCTCAACGTTCGAAGTAAAACTGTGTGACTGCTTTCATGATAAGTGGAACAGGCTCTCTCATAAATCCTTGGTCTTGTGTTCTATTAAGCAATGTGGGGAAAAGAGAACCAACCCATTGCGTTTCGGCACGTTGGTTGCATTTGTCTCAAACGCAGCCTGCATACACCTGGGATCGATTTGCACCACCTGAATTCGCTGGTGAAGCTGAGGTGGCTGACTTTTGCTCCTGCGCCTGTGAATTTGAGGATGTTCCGCAGTCGGTTCGCGGCCGCCGCCACCGCCACCGCCGCTGTCCCCCGCCCGGAACCACCTGAGGAAGCGGTCTGCCAAATTATTGGAGAAAGTGGAGTCAGGAATGTTGGAGGCACCTCGGTGTTGGTCTGGCCCACTGGACTGGTAGCAGCTAGTCGTAGCCAATCGATAGTAGATGGAGGGGTCACCCGGGCTTAAAGTAGCGGCACGCTCCGACACGAAACTCACTACAAAGTAACGCGAGGAAACTGTGACTGGCTTGTGCAACATCACTGAATGAACCAATATTTTTTTGGGAAACAGCAGATAAAATCGTTAACAGGCACCGGGATCATTAAGTTAAAGATGTACTACTCCATCTTGCGAAAGTATGGATTAGTACGGTGAAAAATCAGCAGACATTCATCTTCATTAGGCATTTGCAAACTGTGCAAAAGAATAGTCGTGCACTTTGACTGACTGGTGGTCATAAACTATCAACATCTCAAGTTTGACAAGTGTGATAACAATCACTTTAGAATTGTACAGAGGAACCGGCTACAGAGGTAGTGCCAGGAGGTGAGAGTAGTGAATAGACCCTGCTGACGGTTTGTGGCCAGGAAGCTCAGACTCCGGCTGAAGGAATTCGGATGGCCGGCGTTGTGCACAGGCAGGAGCCAAGTGCGTGTGCAGCAACAATGGCAAAACTTAGCTCAACGAGGACGCTCCACTCGATTCTCGTTCTTTTCTCAGACTCGTTTGTTTCCAAAGCCCAAAGAATTTTAAGCGACTTTGTTGTGTATTATAATACCACACGCCTAAAAATTATGGAAATGTAAGTTTGAGGGAAGTGACATTAACCACGACGAAATTGACCTTGATAATTCACATTTGTGAGGCAAAACTTTTTCACATGGTATTTTCAAAGTCCTTAGCGGATCGACTAAAGTAAAGACAAACAAATGAGCGTGACTCTAATACTTATGACTTCGCAGCGTCAACTCACAACTATGCAGACGGTTAGACTCAAAAAAAACGAAACATTTATTGGTCAACCAAATTAAGCCGTCTCATGGTTTTCTAAGCTAAGTTCCAAAGCCAGCAAAATTTTTTTTAAATACAAAAAAATCGAAATAACTTTCGGTGCATTGCAAGTAGAACATGAAAATAATCTCAAACAAATACGGCATAACAACTGAAAATTCGGAGACACAACTGAGACGGCACCTCACCTAACATTCTTGGCAGATTCTGTTTTTTATGCACGTAAAAAAACCACTGAGGGTATTAAATTGCTGCGAGCGTGGATAAGTTATGGAGAAGTGTGCCTGATACCGTAGAAGTGTTCGAAGGAATTTTTAGTCGAACAGGGCGACAAATCTGAGAAGCACTGTAAAGAATCGCTTTAAATAAAAGAACAGGATAAAAAACGACCTACGAGGACAAACCCCTTGCAAAAAAAAATTACCAAGTCAAACTCAACTGAAAATGTAATGCTACAAACGAGTGGAATAATTATTTACTACACGGAACATGGAGAAATGTATTGATGTAGGTCCTTGGACATGTGCTAAATCACGCTTCTGGGTCTCAGTAAACAGGTAGACAGAAAGTAGTATATTCATTAACGCGTTTCACACACCTAACTAAAGCAGGTGTTGGAAAATATTTTGGTGTTCAATGACAAGGGCTTGGATGCGCACGAGGACATCTATGCATGCACACAATTATTGCTAGGGTATGATGGAAAAGTGACCCAAGGCGCTGCCTGATAGGGGCATTTAGGGCAAACAAAAAGCTGATACCTACTTATCAACTCAAAGTTCTCCTCGCGGCTTATCAGAAGAAAGTGCTTTTAAACGTTTTAGATGAGTCTAACATTGGGAATTGGTGGGCTTGACATAAAACGCTTCTATACATTTACAGCACCTGGTGGTAAAGGCCATCGATAATGTTTTTAAAAGAAATCGGATTCAATAAACAAAATACTGGGGTTAATCAATGCCCAGAAAAGTGTGAGCATATTTGGAAAATTTTTGTGGCTACCAATAGTTGATAGGTGCATCAAAGGCTACTCGAGGCACACAACCACACCACCTTCGCCCGTAGGAATCGCACTGATTTTTCTTCGTAATGAAGCGATAGGCAACAAAAGGTGACTATGACGCATAAACTGGATCTGCAAGCTAGCAAACGGTTGATCTGTCCTTGCTGTTTTAACAATTCCCATTCCCGTTCTTCTATCTATATTCAGGTAGACTGAAAGCGTGAGAATTATTCGGACATGCTGGATGAATCTTATCGAACTCAGTAAACGAGGAGTGTTGAAATGAAGTAAAAAAAGAACTTATTAATGAAACAGATTTACGGGGACGCTAATTGGTGCCTACGATGCATCTGGTGAGTGGACCTTCCAGCACTGTTGCCGATTCAGCAACGCTAAGGCAAAAACAATCCGGCAAAATTTATTACTAAGGAATACGCCAGAGCGCTTTCTGTGGACCAGAGATTTGTTGTAATAATGCAGAAGGAAATGTCACCTTCATTGGAGTAAAGGTCACTGTTCGCCCTATTTGTGCCAGACTACAGCATGTGCACGAATACAGCATGGCAAATGTGTAATATAAAGAAGAGGATTCAAGGGAACAAAAACCAGTTTCAAAATAACCTCCCTGGAAGGCTTAGTCGACTGTGTTCTGGGCTTCATGAGTCACAACATCACACACAGAGGCCTCCCAATGCTGTGTAGGCTTTTGCGAGTAAAACGTGCCCGGTTGTAGTAACACAAAATTTCAAACAAGACTGAATCTTCCTGTCTGCATTCGTACACTCGTCTGTCAATTACCAAATGCTTTGTTGTATTTTCATTTACGCCACCTTGAGCTAAGTTGTCCACAATGGCAGTCGGCCTTCGTGAAAGAAGACTTGCCGATGCGACAAAATACAATGGATTGGCATGATTTCACCTCATTTTTCTCTATTATGTATATTTTAAGGTCAATGGTAACACGGAGTGCAGAACGAACATTTCAGCATGAGGCTTGTGGTGTCGATTGCTTAACAGAGCGCACGGGTCAAAAGTGGCATAAAAATCCGTATTGGAGATTTTTTCACTCCAAGGTAACCAATGTTGGTGAAACACAAATTAAAATCATTACGAGATTGGGTTGTCATGTAACCAAGTGATGAACGGCAAAGAGATTAAATACTTCGCACATGACAATTGAAAATTGCATGGAGTGTCTCGAGCAAGCTAAGGAAACTGATTCCTGTGTTAAGCATGAAATGCGGCGATGCATCAATATTTGTAGGATGAAATTCGAACGAGGTAGAGCTGTTACTTTATCGAAACAAATTATCAAATGGATTACCCACAATAACATCGGCCAAAAACGATTATGGTCCGAGAGTAATGAAATAAAACCCTCCACAGTGAGGGTTGAATTGCATTAAAAGACCATCTCTTTTAATTGATGGGATTCCAAAGCTATCTCCAAAGCACCCCACAATCAATTTATATCTTTGTTGTCAACAGTTCATGAAACTGGACTTGGAAGCATGCAAATCAAAACGGTATAAAACCTTGATTCTGTTTTAGACTACAATACCGAAATCACATACTTATCAAAAGTTGGAGAGCCGATAACAAAAGGATCTGTTTGTTGATGCATTTGCCCGATTGCGCATCATGGACACCCGAGAACGCCGGAGATGGTGGCGACACAACTGCCTACTAGATTGCTCAGCCTAGTTGATTGCTGTGTTCCACTGTGCATACGCTCTAGGTGAACTTACAGAAGTGCAAATGGCTGAATGTGTAGATGGGTGAAACGAGTGGCGCGGTGGAGGTACAGGAGCAGAGGGCTCGGCATGAGCGATAGGGACACCGTGAAAAACGCGGGATGTGACTTGGCTTTTATTCTTGAATTAAGGCTAACCATGGAAGGGTAATGTCGCATAATGAACATTTCAAGTGATTACACAGAAGGCTTATTAAGTGATACATTAGACACAAAGTTCACAACATTCTGTTCACTAGATAATAGCCGCGTGTTATGATAAGGTTTATTGGTCCAAAACGACCAGATTATTTGGGCGCAAAGACCACTGTCCTCGTTCCAGTCGCATAAACACTCAGTGTGCTGCACAAAGAACACAAACAGCATCGAAACATGTTCCACCAAAAATCGACTTCGAGGTTCAGATTCGGTTAATGGGATCGCCGGCATCCAACATGAACGAGCCGATCAGGTTCCATCATGCAGTTCCACTTAAAGCTTAGTCAACAACCCGACGACTCGTGACTTCTACACGCAGATGGCATCTCTGGATGGCCACTGACAAATTGTGACACGGAGTTTGAATTTATTGGGTTCCGCCTGGCGTACTTGCACGGCTACTACTAAGTGTTTACGAACACAAGCAATAGAGTTTATAAAGTAACCTCAGTCTGCTAGTCAGGTAGAGTGCACGAGTTGCGCAAAACAGTGGTGATCCACAAGATGCGATTCAAAATTCCACCGAAAACGCCTTGCTCATTTTGAGATCCCAGATGCAAAAGTCACCATGGGGTCCTAAAAGGGGTGTGCAAAAGGAAACATTCACTCATGAGATGATCTTCGGTGTAATGATAGGCGACTAATCGGGTGGTAGTTGTGGAATCGTCTCGTCTGCTTTTGGGTAAGTTGTCGATTTCCACCGAGAGCCTTTACGATAAAGGTTACGGGCATACAGAACAGCAGTAGTAATGTATAACTAAGCACGTACATTTTTTTCTCGGCCAACTTTACACACGCTCACACATTGGCCGGATTATTTGACTTAACCGAGCTGTAATCAAGAGGTTGTGATAATTAAACGATTCGACACCAGTATCCAATGCCTATAACATGCTCAGGACTTCATGCCACATTTACCAAACGGGAACACTGTAGTTCCGACATTGGAGGAAAATACAGGCTTTTAATTATGCAACATTTAAAAAAGTCAAATTTAGCACGCTCGGGCCTGATACAATTAGTTATTCATATTAAACCACACATACTAAGGCCTTATTCAATGCACCCTTTAATCTGTTGCGGGAAGGAGGAACTCGGCATAGGCCAAGACACGGCTCATTTTGATATTTAACGGCTATTGTAATACGGAACTATTAAAGAACGCACACCAACGAGACTGCCTTGAATGTTATAAATTAGGGAAATACACAAATGGGTTTGGTCCACGTTAATGCGATGGTGGAAATAGCTGCCACCGTGCCGAACGTAAGGTGCCATATTCGCAAGCCCAAGTCGCTTAGCAGTGTAACTTAGAAACAGCGAGAAGAATTGAGCAGTACTAAGTAGAGAGAAAACCTGAATGAGAAGGAAAATACGACTAGTTTTAAGGCCCCGGAAGAAGGATTGAGGAGACTGCTTACTCCAGCATGCTGTCAAACCTGGGGTTTGCAAGAATTAATGAAAGGGTCGCCAGCTACGTCTGTCGCCGGTGTTGCGACTGCACTTGTTGGGAACTATCTCAGGCACAAACGACGTCAATTTTATTTGCAGAATTCAAATTGGAATTTTGAATAAATTTAGACATTGACAAACAACGAACACAATATCCAACACTCCACTGAGACCAAGCCTTGCCCACGAATGAATAGATGGCGTCAGTGAAGATTGCTGTGTGCACACAGAACCACATGACTCATTCTGCTAAAGGACAGCTCTTTGCACCATGAGTCACCTTATTAATTATGTCTAGACTCCGAGAGGGCAGTAGTCAGGTACACATTGCTTTCTCTTAACATCTCCCACATTCGAGCGATGGTGTCTGTTGACTTTGTGAAAAGTTGCAACTAAGGTTTAAACATTACTCTTTGCTATAAATTTTCTGCATCGATGTGTATCGATGCTTAAAATGTACGTATTGTAAATGCTCACCCCAATAGCGGCATCGCTGACGTGAACGCAAACTGTTTTACTTGATGCTTGTAATAAAAGCGACAAGCATACGTGTTTTTGACAGAATGATAAAAATAATAATGGATGTACCCCTTATTTAGTCACAATAAGCACGTTAGTCGAATTTGTGGTAAACTCTAAAAAGAACATCCATTACAATGGAAGTTCCAAACACCATTGTGGCATTTCGATAAAAGGCTCAGCGCCTCGGACAAAGGCGGATTACGTCTTGAATCATGCACACCCACGCTAATCATATGAATAAATGGAGTCGCTAAGTTAGGAAACAAAGTAGACTTAGAGTTTGACACAACAAAATAAACCATAAGCACAAAAATGAAGATAAACGAAATGAGCACAAAGTGCCTCAAATACTGCAAGTAAAAATTCACACAACTGACGACCTATTGTTGATGTCGAAAAAAGATACTAGACAACCGTTCCTCAAGTTAATAGCTGTGTTTTCGACCATACACTGTGTTCACTGGTTCTAACCTCAAACTACAGAAACACAATTCGGAATCCGCACTGTCCGGCACTCGAACCCAGTAAAGGTAAGGACAGACCAGGTATTTGGAACTAAATTACGACGATTTTATGAACAATGAGGAAGCGGGTCAATATGTTTGCGGTCAGTGCAAGACGTGAGATCTGTTGAATGATTCCACGATCAATTCATCCAGCTAGGAAGCAGCATCGTCAAGTGGCGGAAATAATCGTGGTTGAGTCATGTTTAGCGTCCGCATTTTGTAGGTGGACTTATACGGTGATTACTTAGACTAACTTTAGAGGTTAGAGACTAGGAAGACCAATAAAAATAATTGCGCGCGTTTAGAATGGATTTCGACGCTGCTGGCGAGACAAAGTGCTTTAAAAGTCCACCAAACTTGATTTATTGCCTGTGGAAGCACGGTGCGCTCCTTCATTAATTCGTACGTACCATATCAATACAAGTAGTATGACCCGTAATTACCGAACCAACTTTACCACGTGTGGAGTTGGCGAATATCTGAAATGTCAACATTAAGCTACGGTAGTATACAGGGAATAAGACGCCTGCTTGGATTAACTCAAAAGGATTACATTTTGTATAACCATCGCGTGACTTCCGATCAGACAAATGGTCCTGACAGTTGATGGCCCTCTAAGAGTGCGACTGTATTTATTACACTCTAACATTCTTGATGAGGTACAAGACAGGCAGCAGGTCTTGAACTAACGACATTACAAAAACCCCAATCTTACACCACATTAAATGAGTTGCTCGCAAGGTTGCACAGGGTTGGAGTTAACCACAACTTGAGGACTAAGTGTTTGGTTCTTCAACTTCAACGTGCCAAACCATTGTGTGGCGATGCTGGATATGGGCCAACACAACGCAAGGCTACCCTTAGAAAGAAGCTCGACATCAACAAGTAATCGCAAGTGCTCTGATGTCACAGATTCGTCATCGTCAGTTGTCTCGCTACGTGCAATACTGGAGGAAATTTTCATACGCATGTTGACGAAAAACTGGTGCAATAAACGCAAATTCACTATCGAAATCTTAACACCGACGCTCCGTAAGAACCATACGAGGATGGCAGCATAAAATTTCTTAGGTGCTATACGAAATCTTCATCAGGGTTATACACGACCTGGGGCGACATACATGACGAATTCGTGTCACTTGAACAAGTTCGTTGAATCCCGTCGACTAAGCCACGTGTGGGACGGCGTGCAACGACGACAGTGGAAGAATCGTGCTGATTCATAACCACCAGCACTGTTCACGCGTGGCCTGACCCACCCCGCGCCCCTTCGTCCCCCTGACCCCCGCTGAGCTGCAATGGTCTGGCATCCTAATAATGCCACGGATGCCCCGCTGTGCACACACGAGAATCACGCATATACCAGTGTACCACGATACAACCGCACCTAAATGCTGAACCAACCATTTTGTGCCTTGGTGGTTCGCCCCCATCCTGGAGCCCGGGATACCGTTGGTCGCTGTAAGCTGCTACTCCAGCTGTGTGTACCCCAATGCACAAGGGGAAGCTCCACAAAACGAAGAAGTTGTTCTGTGATCCTCAGGTGGTCAGAAGTAAAGATTTTTAAACAATCTTTAGTGAGTGCCCAAATTGAGTCTCGGAATTTTGATGATGTGGGTTACGAAGTGATGGAATCACGGCCTCCCAAGGCGTTTCTGTCTGCAATTCTCTGTCTGAAATAGGCTGTACGGCAATCCAAACCGCCTTCTCATTCCTCCACTGCCACCATCCCAGAGAAATAAACAACCCACGCTCCAGGGACGACAGAATTTGGCAGCGTGCCAAACTGGGCGGTTGCGTCCGTGTGTGTGCGCTCCTGGTTGCACGGACGCGGGTGCTTGCGTGCTTACGGGAATGAGCCATCAAACAGTGCTTGAACGCTCAGCGGAGCGCGTGCACTCGCATGCTCGCTCCCGTGCGTCGTCGATGTGCCCTCAATTTGCGTGTATGCACGTTGAGCATGGACAAAAGCGTGTGCTTGTGATCATCCTCCACCAATCAATACTGTCGCGTGGGTGGAGACGTAAGCCATAAAGAACGCAACAGAAAGAGGACCGGATGGGCTCGCAATAAAAGGATCGCGCCAAAACGGCTACACTTGAGGGCAGGAAATATGAGAAAGAACGGCAGCATTGTCAATTCTGGTTTGATATTTTAATTGGACAAATATTTGCCGCCTGAGAAAAACAGTGGATCACGAGCGAACATCTAAGTAGATACTCAAGGCAAGGTAAGCCGAAAATGAGAGGTCCATTTATTGGATTACCAATAACATAAAATGAAGTCGAAAGAACACAAGTGATCACGCACATCATAATTAGAAGTGCATTCGTTTTGTTGATGCATCCTTTAGTAAGGAAATAAAGAGTAATGCCAATAACAATTTCGGTGCACGGAAGGTAGGAAATTTAGATGGCTTTCTCGGTAATATTAGTCATGGACACAAACAGATTAGGTTCCAAAAAGGATCCTAGTACTCTAAATGAACTAAAACCATTGTGCTAGATCATTATTATGAAAGGCGAATCGGGCAATGACTTCTGGGGCCGAAGTAAGGCTCTCCAAATTTTACAGTCAGTTTGTCAATAATCGTTGCCATCAATGCGGTAAATTTGTTTTCAGAATGAAAGCCCGAAATTAATTCCATGCCTCCTGCAAAAGACATTATAGTACCTTGTCAACACGAGTCTTATGGCTGAGTCCCCTCTAATGTAAAATTAGTGAGTATTGGTTAGGATTTATACGTGTGGAAGGACACAAATAAAGTAATTTAATGCTATATACTACGCCTCGGCAGATTTTCTGGCAAATTAACGAATGAAATTGGACGTAAACGAGAACCATTAAATGGGTAAAAATTTTGGTCCTGATTGGCTTAGGCATCAAACAGCGTTTTGTAGAAATGTAACAACTGAATGTTTTCACGGCTATGTGTCAATCGGGTTTAAATGTACCCGTTACGAGGCTGGCGGTCGATACGTAGTTTTGCTTAGACGCCGAAATTTAAACCCATCAGACGTGTTTACAATCACCGACAGCCTACCTGGGGCCAAGCGTGAAGGTGTGTTTTTTTGAGATCCTGAATGGCCAGAGAGTGTTTGAGAGTAGACAGTGGATGGGGTTATTTGCTTGTTGTTAGCTAATGGGACGCCAACAGAACCGCCTGGCTGTTCCCGGAAAAATCGCGGCGATGGAAGTTGCGGATGGTACGGGGGCGATGTTGTGGTTACATTCTGCAAAAGAAGATGTTTTACACTGACCACGTGTCTGCCTTTAAGTTTTTTTTCTGATGCATTTTCTCGCAAAACCGAAGACAAACCAACGGCTCCCCTGAAAACTCAATCCAGACGAAGAAAGAAGACTATCACTAGACACCATATCTTTAATAGTCTTCTGTGCTTTAAGCTTGAAACAAAAACCGACAAGTGTAGAGATGACGGGCGAATATAATGAACGATGGAATACAGGGTCAACCAACTTCCGATTCGGCACATCTGGCAGCCTGGGTCAGATCCACTATTCATTCTCGTATGTAAAGTAAATTACAAATGCCGTCCATCAATTCAATAAAATACAAATTCACCGGCTGTAAGAATTCAACCAATTTTCGTAAAAAAGATCGGCATAATAACATCTGGTTGAACGAATAATTTACACTGGAATTTGTGGTTTATTGTTGTAAAACTGATTACTAAAGTCCGCGTGGAATTAAGTCATTCCTAGTAATTATTTCTCCCGAACATGCATGATATGTAGCCGAGAAATGGTGGGATGAGTCTCAAGATTCATGAAGTGATACGTCGAAAATCGACGGAAATTGAGTGCCAGGTGGTAACGGAACATGGGCTCAATTGTGACCTAGCAATGGCTGTCCATAATCCCGGTTTCTGACTCACATTGCCATAGTTAAACAAATTGTGCTCTAATTTAGCCCAAGGAAGTCTGCTAAGACGAGTGAATAGTAGCGAAATTCTCGTCTACCACTGTACCTTTATAACTAGCCACAAACAAAATAATACATAGCGCGGTTCTCATTTAGAGAATTCTAAGCGTTGCAAAGGGCTCAGTCGAAGGAGTTTCAGGAATCAGAACACGCTCCATTCCATTATGTAGAAATAAGTAGGCGGAGAGTCAGAGTGGAAAAATTCGATTTGGCTGTTAAAGTCCAGTGTTTAAATTCTTCAATAGGTCTGGCTGAATATTAGGAGTTTTGAGAAATTACGTCAACAAAAGAAGTCGACAATCTACGCTTTTAAATCAATTCAAAATCATAACGCTTACGAATATAGAAGGTTGCAGCACTAGTTAATTCAAACCGCTCAGATTCCTTATTTTAGGTTAATTTTGCAAGCAAGGCCGTGAAAATCACGTGAATTCCACCCTCACAAAAGGCAAATTCAAATTCAACTATTAGACATCACAGGCAAACGCCCAAAATTCATACTTACAGAAAAAAAAGAAACCAAAAATTGTTGAAAAATATTGGTACCTAGAAAGACGACTATACGTTTCCGTATTAATGGCTAATAAAAGTGATGACCAACTGGTCTTTCGCGCGAAGGGATTAAGTAACACGTTTAGTTAGCTACTACTGCACATATTAACGCAATTCAAATTGCCTAAATCGCTCCATTCGAAATTGAGCACACAGAAGGCTGGCGGTTGTTTAGGGGGACAAAAAATCGCCGCGGTGTCCCCCACCTTTGACCTTCATTAACGCTGGCCCAACCTTAAGTGGTCACATAAAGAGGCCAGAAAACGCACATGTCCACAACGCACGCACGCGCACAAAGTGAAAGGTAGCGAGTCAGATGAAGACGTAATTACGTCTTCTGAGCCGGATCGTGTACCGGTGGCATGGCCGCAACACGAATTCCAGCCAAGACTTAAATCTGTTCCACTTGTGCGATGGACTCAACTACAACGTCACTAGACCCCGTACCGATGCATTTGAGTACTGAAGGTAGCGGGCAAATACTCTGCCCTTTATTAAGCCATACCCACCTCTTTGGTCGACTTCAAGTTACATTTTTTGGAGCTTCCAATGATTTACTCTGATGTAAGATGATGACTCAGAAAGCCTTCTGGGGAGGATAGGAGCAGTCAAAAATAGTCCCAACTTTCGAGATTGCTTAGTTCCTCCTTGCATAAATCCGCCTAGTTATCGAGAAATTTATCTTCATTTGATGTGGAAATTTAATATGATTTGATAAATTTGGTCGAATTATGGCGCTTTTGCTAGGACTAAAAGAACAAAGGTGAAAGGAAAAGAAGGCGAGTGGAGGAAGACATGGGGAAAAATAACAGGCGACGATGAAGGTAGGCTTTCCAAATACCAAGTTTCAGCAGCTATTGCAAACGTCACTTGATATTCATGGCAGAATTCCTCCCCACGAAAGGGATGGCTGGCTGGCTATCGCAATGGGAAGGCGCTGAATTCACAGGGTGCACGCACGCACACACACCCAGCGTGACTCATCGTGTGGTGTGTGTGTGTGTGTGCGTGCGTACGTACATCCTTCGGCCGGCGGCAGCGGCAGCAGCAGAGCGCGCAAGCAGAGGCGACATCGGCGGAAGCAGAGGTATGCAATTAGGCCGTCTGACAATTCGCTGCCGGCCTTTGGCAAGGGCGCGTGGTCGATCTTGCGAGAGGCGGGGGTGGGAGCGTGCTTGATTCTGCCTGAGGCATTTGTCGTACGCAAATGTGCACCAGAAGAATGAATACGGGCAGTTCACGAAGCATTCTTTGGCGAAAAGATTTTTGTGTTCGCATCCTTGCTAGGGCTGTGTAGATGGTCGCAGGGGCGTTATTAGGAGCTATTCGTGCTTAGGAACAGCAGAATTGCAGTGGTTAATGTGACCCTTTTGCAAGCTCGATGCCTGCTCACCGAGGTTCGGATGCAGGGTCGAGTTGATTAACTTTTGGCACCCCGGGCCGATGAGACCTTAGGGGATGTTGAAGACATTTAGGGTTCCAACAAGATGATGACAAATTATGATAAATGGCTTAGGGTCAATACAAATGTTTGAGGTGGAACAAATGAATGGATTGTGGTAACCCACAACTGCCTTCAAAACAACATCAGAAAAGTTCAGTGCTAGTTTAAATAAGCAAGACGTATTCCAGGATGGAAGTTCCACGGGCTCGAAATCGGAGTATGCTGGAGAGATTCATCAAAATCCAAGCAGTTCTCGTCATATGCGTTATTTAATTTAAATAACGGCTATAATGCGACTACTGCAAACACAAACAGCCTTTCTTTTAGGAGATAAATACGCACAAAAGCATCATGATTAGTCCTTTCAATACAAGGCTTTTTTAAAACACTTGATGATACAACGCCCGAGTAATGCACAGAGTAACTGAATGAGCAACGAACTTACAAATTAATGCGGCTAGGGTTAAACTGAAGAAAAATTACTGCGGTTGAGAGAAGAAAATTCTGGCCTTCTCAAGTATAAACGACCTTTCTTCAAGGAGGCTGTCATACTCATATTGTTAAACACTAATCCATAATTTGACCGATTTTTCTAAAATATGAGTGTATTCTGAAAAATAGATGGTTTCAACCTACAAGCTTTACTACACTTCGAAAAATCTAATTACGTTTAAAACACGGATATTTTTCTTGGTCTTTTGGAAGATCAAAGGAGTTAGATTTTACAATTATCGAATAAATTTTGAGAAAATCTGTCAACCAGGAAATCCACAGTAAATGTCTGACAGAGAGAATAACTAAAACTGGGACACACATGAAACATAAAGCTGTCCTAATGAAATAAATCCAGTCCACCACTCCACAACTAGATTCAGGCCCAGTTAATCCACAAACCTAAAAAACAGCCATCCCAGCTCTGACTGAGGGGCCACTAAACCGTGTCTCCAACCATGACGAGCCAAGTTTATAAAGGAGCAAACGCCCACGAATTGTCGACGTAGATAGGACAGCCAGTTGTTACTGTGTGCAGAAACAGTTAAAAACAAGTCATTTCAGTGAGTCATCCACCAATATTGGGTAATTTAATGAATGATGTCTTCCTGATAATTCAATAGCAACCAACTTACCCAAAGCGTTGGAATAAAAGGAAAAAAAGCCAAGTGAGGCGATGTCATGCTTCCAAAAGCAATGCAATTAACAAATTCAGTCCCTTAAAGTAGTAAAGTGATAAAACAGGAAACTAAACAAACCCAGTCAGCAAAGAAAAAAAGGTAAGAATCATAACAGAACATTCCCCACAAAATCGAACTAAGGGCAATGTGGCGCACAAGTTTATTAATAAGCCTGCTAAGCGCAATAAGGTTCCCAATGCACGACTAATTTAGTTGCAACAATAGTAGCATTAATAGTTCGAAATATTTTCATCAACTTTACCAAATATTCAGGTAAAAGACCCAAAATGACACACGCAAGTTTATTATGGAAAACAAAATGATGGAAAATAAAAATACAGAAAAATTGCACTTTTTGCAGAACAAAACTCAAGAATATAGGTAAATGGGTAAATTAAAGCACATGATTCAATTTTGAATTAAGGTTTTAGAAATTACTGTAAGGTTAAGTGACTAACAAAACTTTTTCTATAAAATTCACAGTAAAACATTCAACTTTATTGGAGCAAGTGTACCAACCATTGCCCCCAGTCTACACAAAGTCGATATTTTAAGTAGAATAGTGTGCCTTGGTGACTGACTTACATTGAAAAGTGAGCCAGACGGGGCGACCGGATCCAATGAATGAGTGTTTCGAGGTTCGTGCAGAGAGAGAGATGCCAAAATAGGGTGCCTTATGGTTGCAGTGCATACCGTTTTTCGCGGCGCAGTGAAAACGACGGTAGAAAGCTTGTTATGGGCTGGTTGCAGTGCTGGTCTGAGAGGAGAACGTATGCTTGTAGAATTCAATACAACAGCGTAGTCGTCCTCTGAACGAGCAGCCGTAGGAGTTCCTGTGGGTAATGGTGTGCACAAAATGTCTGGATGGTGCGCACATGACAGATGGTGAAAATGATGAACGTGTATTTGAGGAGCTGCAGTGGACGTGTCGAAAGATGTCGCCGAGGCAACAGTGTCAACGGCAGTGGCGATAGCCAGATTAAGAGGATCTGTATCTGCTCTGACCGAAGACATTACTGATGCATTGCTACTATAATGAAATAAAACTTCAGGTTAAAGCTTGCCACAGGTGATAGTTTACACCTATCCGGCGATCAAAATACTGTTTCACATACAAACTAAGATATTCGTAAGGTCACAAAGAATTCTAGAGCACCCACGTATACATTTGTAAAAATAAGAAAAACGCAAGTTTTAACAAGACATATTTCAAAAAGGCAATCTAAAGAAATTTCAGCCATCAATTTATCGTGAGAAAAAAAACCAAAAAAACCTTACCGCGGTGGAATGAGGAGATCTTTACCTACACTCAAACACCATGGCCACATGACCTAAGAATACCAGGCAAGGAAAACAGTTCAGAGCTACAACACCCAGGCATCACGTAACCATAAACTTAGGTGACAGAAACTCATTATAAAAAGAGTCCACACTTAGAAAGTAACCATAGAATGTGATATTTTTCAGCGTAAAATTCAATACGTAAATTGCTAAATAAAATAAGGAAATTAGCCCTGGGCACCACTAGCAGACATTCCTAGAAAATAAATACACAATCAATCCAAGCATTGCTACCATTAACTAAAAATAAGCTACCTGCTTATTCACAATGGCTACAAGAAAAAGTAAGAAGATGAACGAATCAAAGGGCAAAATTGTCGAGCTCAAGGTCATATATCGAAAAAGTGAGCACGCATCATTTCTAATTTTGACGAAGCAAAACAAACCACATGAGTGAATAAGATTGTCTACCAAAAGATCAATTTGGACCACATGATCAACAAATTTAAAACAATTTTCAGAATAAGGCAAAAAAAATTCTAAAAAGTGGACGTTCAACTACTTTTTTGATAAATTCTCCAATTTCCGTGATGTTGGAAAGAAACTTCTATGAGATTACCCTTAGAACGCTTAACTTCTTAGTGTACAAATTCATTTGGTAAAATTATGATATTTACTAGTTTTTCGTTAAATTTTTGCAGATACTATTAGATAAAAATTTTTAAGCTTTTTAATAAACGAGGGAATAATTTGCTTGAAAACAGGTGTCTGTAACTGAATTTTAATACTTCTGCTAAAGGCAATACAGTTGACCAAGCACTAGCGTTGTAACGAATTTGCATTTGCAAAAAAATTAATGTATCAGTGCTTATTACATCTAACAATATTCACGAATAAAAAATTTGATACCACCAAGATGTTACAATAAAGTGAGCACATTCAAGACGCTGAGCTCATGCTAGAAATTTGTCGTTTACATTTAACGCAATTATGCTTTCAAACATATTTGAAAAACTTTAATTATGAAAGAAAATGCAGCAAAATCACAGTAAGTTAAATAGTTAAAAGATTTTCGACGGCATGCTGCAACTTATTACAACAGAAGCTGTCATATAAGTGGTGTGATCAGTGTTTTTTAATACTCTTTAATGAGCAATATAGGCTCATGACTTATTTTCGACTGTAGCCAAAATGATAATGGACTTTGTTTTTATCTATGAATTCGATGCAACATGAACGCTATGTATAAATGTCATTCCTTTAGTAAATTCTACTAGAAAAAGAATAGCTGTTTTTACTAAGAAGAGCGTAAAGGCACCTGTAGATCTTGTTATATAATATCACAAAATACGCTTATGTATGGAAGCAACGTTGAGCAAGATATTTCCTACTGTTGTTTACAAAGATATTTCAATGTGGATGTGGATGAAACAGTAGTATTATTTGGTATAGTCTTGACCAATTAAACAAGAATAAAGGATCTTAGTGAAGAATCGGAAGTATTTTTACTTCCAGTTTAGATTTAATTGCATAGATAGGTTTACCAAGATCAAGAGATCACTTATTTAGTGTGCATGATATAAAGGATTCAACAAAGCCACCAGAATTTATAATTTTGTTCAAGCCACGCGTAAATAATACCAGAATAAACAAAAGTAAAGAAGAACAGCAAAACCATACCAGCAGTTTTAGATTGAATAGCTGTAGTTCTATACAATGAGTATTACGGTAAGAGTAAAGTAAACACTAAACGTTAAACATTAAATAAAAACATCAAATGAAATTCGCAACACGCCTAGCGATCAGAGGCTTATATAGCTATGTATCCGTTAGGTCGTCCGTCTCAGATAGCCGCACCATCAGAGTTAGCTACCAAGCATACGAGAGAGAATAGCAGAAAGAACCGGATGCATTCCATACCACCGCATCCAAATTCAGAGGGCTAGAGTTTTGGGATAGTTGGAGCAGGGGAAAGGGATGGCCGTAAGGAGAGTCGGCGTTGTCCTCACACTCACCGGCGTGCACTAAGGAAGGCGAGAGTGAGGGAGGGAAGAGGAGGATAAAGAACAGGCCAGACCGGCATGCTTGGGTTGAATGGCACAAGTTATAAGCAAGAGCTTCAAATAATGTTCGATCATAACAGTGCAGTAAAACAGGAGGCTATCGAGAAATAACACATCAAACGTTTTACCAGGCATCTGCATAAGTACAGCCAGAAAGAATATTGCTAATGTTACTCCTAATCGGTTATGATAATTGTTCCGTGACAGGAATGGAAATATCTGACACAACGAGATACCCGTTATCATAACAATTTAGGCTGTCACTAAGATTTTCGTAATGAGGATTGGTAAAGATAACCGACACTGTAATGAGGTCTACTGTCAATGCGAATACAAGTGTTATTTTAAAAAAATTAGGTAGGTCATCGTCTGTTATGCAATAAAGGATTCAATCAATAGTACAAAGGAAGTAAATCTTTGCGTTGATCACTAAAAAACAGCAACATTCGGGTGATATACACATCAGTCAATGCCTAAAGTCTGAGTTGTTTATCAGTCAGAAGTGATGCAGGATTGCTAAATATAATTTATGCGTCCTCCTAAACTACTTTGTCATGTTTTTCAAACGTGACAACTTATTCCAAAGTATTATTGCATAACGCCCACCGTAGTTGTTTGAAAGGGTAGATTAGCTGAGCTATGCCATGTAAGCAATAACCCCATGCAAGCATAGAAATAATTTACACCAACGTTAGTGTAAGTGGTCAGAGTATTTACTAGGGATGACATTTGATAGCAGCGTTTTGAATTGCAAGCAAGTGAGACTGTGTAGGCTTACACAAACATTAGTGAAATGAGGAAATTTAGAGCTGTCTGTTTTATAGTCATTTAACTGAAAAAGCACACCGAGACCTGATATCCATTCCCAAAACTGCGGAAGAGAAATTGACTAATTTTGAATCTGTGTCATAACGTTCGATTCATTTCGGAGGATTACAATTTGGAAGACGAGCCAGGCATTACATATAATAAAGGAAACACTTGAGTGAAAGATGATTGGGAAATGCTAAAAAGGTCATAAATAAGGGTGTTAAAACGGTAAGCTTAAGAGGAACCATGTTCTACGGCATTGTTAAAACTAGATTCTTTTACTTAAGTGAATCGTTTATGTAATGAAAAAAATTTTAAGAGAGCAGTAATTTGCGGCTTTTATCACTGCTAGGGCTGTTGAAAATAGTCTATTATTATTATAAATGATTCCGATTTTAGGCGCATTAGTTTCGAACATTTGACGATATATTATATATATTATATTAAAACACCAAAGTATCAAAGAAAAAAAATCATTAAAACCTCGTAGACAATCCTTGCTAAAGTGTTAATCTGACATGTCATTCTGTGTATTTTCGATTGCAAATTTTTAAAAGAACAATGGCAAAGTCGTGGTAAAAGTATATGCAATGGATATGTCACAATGCACATCGTCAACAGTTTGATTCACGGTGTTCAGATTAATATGGATGCAGATATAGGAAATATCACATCGAAAAATGGAAATTTGAATTTATCGTATTCTTCCAATGTATAAATTCAAGTTACGAATAGGTGATCAAGTAGCAAGGATTCCGTTTAAAATGGACGAGGTATCTAAACTTGCTCTCTTCAAATTTTTGGCTTTATTTTGTTCGTTTTCTCGATTGTCGATTCACTTAGTTTCAAACTACCCATTGCTTTTGAGAGTGTTATAGCAATTCCCATTGAATAATTCATCTTTGCAAAATATATTAACTAATACCGATGTTAATATTAGTTTTTTATCTTAAAATTTAATGATTTGCACTTGGTACATCAATCTTTCGAATGAAATCATTCTCACCCACTTTTCTGATTATATCCATGACTCTTCATGTTTGCGAAAAAAATTAACTACTTGAAAGAAGGCCAAAAATTAATACTGGTTTATATTATCAATCCTATAATTGGTTAATCAAATATCTGATTTCTCAAATGCAAAATCTTGCTGATGACCTTGTGGTCGCGGCCTTTTCAAATTGATATTGGGTGGGTGCTTCTGAATCCTCTTCGTGAATATGGATGGTGACGACAAGGACGCGGCGCCGGTACTGTTGTTCATGCATCAATTTAATTCACCTTCTAGTTTGAACAACCTGTACTGGTGGAGGAGCCCCTCGATTTGATAAGACTCAGTCTTGATGAAAAGGTGTTTGTAAAAATGCGTCACAACAGGGAGTTGCTTGGAACACTTCACGTATGTTTCGAGCAATACGATTACTACCGCTTTGGGTCTACCCGAAAGATAACAATTTTAATCTGCATTACTGTTGATTTTTGGGCGTGTCTAAATCGACTTTTGCTCTCCAGCCATGTTTTCAAGGACGTATCCGAGTGCTTACATATTTGAATGGTCGTTGTCGATATGCGACCTAAGAGGCTCTATAAGATGTGGAGACACTTCCCAAAAACGCTCCTTTAGTCGCTAACTGTTTGTTATCTATTTAGGGCTTTGACTCACACCTTAATCTTATCATTGGGAATGTCGAAGAGACAATAACATCTTTAGAGTTGGATGAGGAGACTTATGAAGAGATCTACAAGGTAAACTCCCATACTTTGTGATCGCCATCTTAGACTTCAAAGCGAAGTATTCCCTTGCTCTTTGTTCGCGGTGACGGAATCATTCTCATATCCCCTCAACAGGAAGAATAAAATATGTTTAATGTACGTATATATTTATAAAACAAAAGCTGATTTTTCGCTACTCAGATGATGAGTGCCATTGTTTGGAGCTGAGTTGTCCAGCCGTATCCCATTCCGTATAATTGAATCCGAGTCTTTGTATTTCATCTGGCTTCATAAGCTTATTGTCAATTCGACAACGCAGGTAGGCGGCTGACTCCGCTCGACATTTTTCGCTGTTCCAATCGTTTTCTTTCATACAAGCAGTCCATAATTCCCGCATATCACGGCAAATGCCGTGATGGTCTAGTGGGAAGCTACCTTTTTCTGGCGGCTTTACTCGAATTCGCGCGTTTGAGAAGGCACCCGCGTCTCCCATTCCGCAATCTGAAAAAAAGTAATATCCAGATGGTTTCTCGCTTACGGATGTCTAAATTAGTAGTTATGTTTCTACAAAGTTCCAGGCTACTGTAGTGTTAGTTCGATGTTATACCCATCTACTAAGTGCAGAACACCGAGCTACCTGTACTACCATACGGGTTACCTTATTTTCGGTATGGTTTTGGTTAGTAACCTGAATATAAATCAGAGGAACTAACTTATTTAAGCTCAACAATTCCTTGTATGGGTATTTCGTTAAATCCTATTGTAACTTTGTTTTCATTTCGTCTGTTCTACAATCTGACAGTAATCAGACATAGCAGTCGTTTAATCCATATTTAATAGATGACGAAGGTTTTTGTCAGTGAATCTAAATAGTAGCGGTTTTGAAAGCTGTTGAAGAGGTTTACGTGCTTTTTAACCCAAACTATGGTTCCAATTCTAGGCTTACCCTAACTCCGCTACATATTTAGCTTACTTGAGCGAGATCAACAGCTAAGTGGTGTCCTCTACATTCTATCTATTCGATAAAAAGACAAATGTTTTCAACGCTAAATATCAAATGTAAGCTAAAAAATGGAGGGATAACTTTTATGTATACTTAAGTACTTCAATAGAACTAAGGCATAGTACAAAGGTGACGTTTAAGACCTAGTGGAAAACTTCTGTTTTGTTGTGTCACTCCCTAGACCTTGCTGATAACCACCCAGACGGCCACTTTTCCCTAAAATACAATTAGTGTGGCGACGGTAGACCGCAGCGCCAGATCTCGCATAGTCTAAATTTATGTATAGACATGCGCAATTCCACATTTCGTATCGCACAATACTTCTGAAAATTTATTCTGAAGTAGAAGATTACTTTGTGTCACCACTTATACCGTAATTCAAAACATTGAATAGGAAGCAAAGTTGTCACTGAATTTCTAACGTCGGACAACATTTCCAATCTAATGTGCAACACCTTGTCCATTTCGTTTTCACACTACTAATTTGCAAATCTAGGATTGTGGTTGGTAATCTCGAAACTTTAATGTTATTTAAATCAGAGAATGACAACATACAAATAACCGAAAAGTCAAGAGTGGGAGTGAGCGCTGATCCTTTGGAGGATAAAAGAACATTCGGCATAATCAATTCGTCCGGACAACTAGAGATAGTAACTACCAAGGAAAAGGCAACAGATAGCGACACAGAGCCAAAGGATAGGAATTCTTCGGAAGACGAAGTAAGGTAATGACGTATCTTTTTCTAGGAGTCAGGTATGTTTTTCGGTTGGGGGTCGATCGCAAAATAGCTGATAGAAAGGTGCCTGTGGTCATTAAATGTTAGGGGAAAATGGTCAATCAAACAATCACGAACCATGTCATACGTGACGTAACCTCGAAACTCATTAGGTAATTCATATTTGTGAACATAACTTTAAAGGACTAAATTGGCTGAAATCTGTTATTGAAGCATTAGCAAACCGAGATAAAGTCGAAAAATATGCCCATAAACGTTAGCAATCAGTTTTGGTCTCACCGAGAGCGGAGACCAATTTTTAGCGTCCTACTTGGAGGTTGGAAGTAATTACGTAAGATTTTAGGAAATATAGCAAGTTGTGGCACGATTGCTAGCAACAAAAAAAACTGAGTTTGCAATGTGTTTAAGCAAAGGAGATATGAACAACACGTAGTGTTTAGATTTGGCGCGACACGGCGCAGCTGGAATTAAGAGGTGATTTGAGAACAGAAACGGACGAGAATACACGGCATGAATGCCCAGACTGAGTTGTATTTGCATCATCGCAAGTCGCTGATGAATCACCAGGATCGGTTGAGTGCTAATCAGCCCGAGTTAAGGGACAATACATGAAGTATTAACGGCTGCTTGCTTCATTGAGGGTCGCAGTTTAGAAAATGCGGTAACTTATCGAAGGACGTTTAAGGGATTCGATGTGCATCGCGCTGCCCACTTTGCGAAATAACGATTTGTCAATAGAAAAGCAAAAACCTACCTTTCGAGGTTTCCAATGTCATTATGACTAACCCAAAAACTTTCAAGAACATTACTTTCAAATTCATTTCAATATGAGCAGTAATAATAAAAATGAGGACAAAAAATAAAAATTTACCGTATCGTGTGGCCGAGAAAAAGGCTGCCCAGCATTCAAATAATTTATTTGATGATTTCGGAGGACAGAAGAACCTTTGAAGGATTCCTCAAATGACTCAAAAGTTTACATGGAATGCAGATTTTCGTAAATGGGCAAAATTGCTTCTGCGTTATGTGAAGATGTCTAGAATCGCCAGGTCAAATAAACTTCCATTATTATTTAAATGCATAGAACTATGGCTTTTAAATTTACCATCAAAAGCAAATTTATATGAAACCTCAATTAACTGTAATAATACCTGAGGCAGAGTCAGATATAACAAATCTATAGGCAAGTACATAAGGTCATAATTAAGGTACATGAAATACGGATTAAATTACTTATAATTGGGCGAAGGCGTATAGGCTATACACAGTATTTTTCTGGAATTAAATTACAGACTTGTGGCGCCAAAATCCAGTACTTAGAAATTCAAGTGCCAGAAGAATATCTATGAAAAAAGGTCGAAATTACTCCGTTACAAAGGAAAGGCCTTCGGAGCATATACACCAATCAGACGCGATAAATGCAGCTAAGGAATTCGATCGAAACCACAAAATTGTCACAACTCCACGAATTACTGAACAGAAAAAGGCCATAAATACAGCGAAAACCTACAAAAACTCAGAGCGTTTTAAAAATACGTCATTGTAGGGTTAAAAGCGGGCAGAAAAAGGAACTCATTGCTAATAGTCGTTGTGATTTAAATACCGTTTTCATTTAGACATTTTGTTGGAAAATGAATGAGGCAAAAATACTTGCGAAACCGATACTACGGCCATCCATAAAGTTTAGTGACATTAGAAAAGGGTTTGTTAGTTCAACTATCGCCTAAGTTAACGTCTTTTATGGCATGTATAAACCGCCATCGTTGGTTTAGACTTAGTGAAATGACCTAGTGCACAAGTGCACACATTTTGCTGAACTGAATATTAAAGTGAGTATGGACGTAGTGAAATTGTAATATAGGTAACGTTCGATGGGTCCAAACAAGATAATTCAAAAAACGGTGTTGGAAAATTACTTCTACCAGAAGACGCAAGAAAGTATTAGAAACTGCAACAGTTTAATTAAATTACCCAAACTAAATGAAGGAATAATAGGACGATGAGCCAAGCATACAGATGTATTATTGAGGTATGGTGTGTAGTGTGGCGTTTGAAATGGGCGCAGACATGTTGGACCACCTGGCCTCAGCCAATCCTGTGTCCCCTCTGCGTTCCAATGGCATGTGGGAGGATAAGCAGCCAATCAGAGAGGGACACGACTGAGGAGCAGTATATAATGAGCGGCCTGGCCAGAGTGGGGGATTCGGATGGAAGGCGCCTGACGTGCGGCTCTGGCTTGCAATTGGTCAATAAAGTCTGTTCTGTTGTGCCAGACTTATTCATACTTGGGCTCGGGTATTCTACATTAGTGGCAGCGGATGCGTTTGAATAAAGCAAATCGAAACCCAGCCCTTTCTCTTCAGTGGTCAACAGGGGCAAAGAACCTTGAATGCCAGCTAAAATTGTCGTGACGGTCATTCGATGTTTAATAAACTGGATCAATAGACATTGCCCAGGATTAGGACCACTGCATCTGAAGAGGCTTATCGTAATAGCAGATTAGCTGGATTTTTGTAGATTTAATGTGGCAGAATAGATTGTGACTTGTGCTACCAACAAAAATCTCTTACTAAGTTTCTGCTACCTTCATCTGCCATGAGATATTTATTTTTTAAGGCACAAAAATTTTATTTTTTGACTTTTTTAAAATATACGGCTTTTAATCATTAGGAAATTACACGAGCAGACCGAATGACAAACAAAGTGATTTGTCATAGGCACTTTTAATGGCAATGAATTGCTAAATCGCATTTTCGGCGAATGGCCAACTCTGTAATTAAATTTTGTGGAAGACTAGAGCTAAACATCCACTTAGATTTGTATACGATAAAATTTATTGAGTCGTTGGATGAACCTTATTCATTAATTTTGCTAGACGTTACAATTTAGGAAAGTGGTTAGATAAATAAGTAAAAATTATTCGCCAATTGCTCTTAAATGACTTCTATCAACTAATGTTTGTTCTTATTTTATTATGGGTATTGCAGCGGTTGGCGGGTTTTCTGAGTAAGAACTCCAGCGTTGTTAAATAAAATTAACCGATTTATCGTCTTTAAATGAAATAAAATTGACAAACAATGGCAACACTTAGGGCGACTCTTTAGAATTAACCATTAAGTCGCTTATACTATTTTTGGGTACCAGCCTTGTGTTTTCTCAAAATTTGCTAATAGATCAATAGTTGCATGATGTTGATGTGAATATTGTTTGCTAACTCAGCATTGGTTATCTTGTGTGATTAGGTTGTAGACCTACGTCTTTACACCTGACAAATTTATATGCGTTTCTATTATTTGTTAGGGCTTTCTTCATTTTATTTTTTTAATTCTCAATCGTGTTTAGTTTGGACATTTCTTATGAAAGTTTTGACAAGCTGAAGTTGGGCGACTTTGTATAAAAACAGGTACTTGCATTCCAAGCCACGAAGGTGGCAAAGAAACTAGAACTTGGGCACGGGGGTCTGATCATTCACGTTGGGATTTAAAATATAGTCAGCGGAGTGAATCTAGTCAGTGTGTATGTGGTTGCGACCAAAGATCAGTGAACGCGAGTTTAAATGTTCTAGCTCAAATATGTTGAAGAACAAACAAAAATCAATCATAAATTATTTACCAAATTATTATTTTGAAAAATATTTTAATATTGATTTATTCTGAATCACACTAAAAATACCTGCTGCTGAGTTGCGAATTTTGGTTTTCAGATATTGGACGAATATACTTCGTCCTCCTTTTTTGGGTGTCTTTTTGGAATAGTAAATTAAATTAATAGTTCTAAATACCTTGACTCATATTTTAGGACCTGAATGATTTGACACATTTTCTATGAGCTTGTGTCTCAATGTCGTTTCTGCCTTAGGCTGGAAATTGGATTTATTTTGAATAGTAGGAAGCCCAGGTGAGCAATTGTAAGAAATTTTAAGAGACATAGGTAGTTAAAATAAGTGTGTCGGTTCTAAATATATTCAAGAAACATTAACGATCAAAACACTAAACCAGTTAATCACTCATCAAAATGCTTATCCACTAAAAAGATTTTTTTGAGAAATAGCATTTAAAGATCATTTGATTTTACGGCAGTTGGCTTCAGACGTCAAACCATGCTTGATTAAAATGATTTATTCACGTTTTAAATATTTATTTCATCAGCTAGAGATTGTAGTGGACTGACAGCCGCCCCGCGCGAGTGTGCGTGCATGAAGGCCCGTGTGTAGCGATGACTCATCCCCTTTTGTTATTGATTTTTGTCAGCATTCGTCTGTTCGCGCGCGTACTCATACGCAGACAAAGTCACTTGGTTGTTTTGACACCAATAAACCAGTCGTGTCCGCTCTCGCCCCTTTTCCACTCTACTCGAGTTGTCTTGGGCTATTAATTAGAGGGTTGTATGGTAGTGCTAAGACCAAGCTACTACAAGATTAAGAATTATTTTCATTTGTGCTTATTAAATATTCCAAAAATTATGCTACAGGAGCTGCGTAGAGCTTCTATTCGATTAAAAATATAAGTCAGGAAGAGATAAATCTATCAAATAATATGCCATAAATAATTGTTAATCACTTATGTCATTCCACAATACAGCAAACGACTTTCAGGTAAAAAGTGTACCTTTGTGTTACCCGTAAAAAAAACATAAAAAAATGTCATCCACATAAATGGCTAGATAAACAAATTAACATTCAGTGCAAAAAAATTGCAGAACTAAAACATTTGGAAACTATTAAAAATAACTACACGGAACACACTAAATTATTGAAAACTGAAATTTGGATTATGTTCACTTTGAAAGCACTCAGAATTTCAGCTTACCGTATTTGACAACAAAAAAATACGCAAAATTACTCTTTAATGCTTCTTGACGCACGTAGAAATTTGATAATATTAAGTCTTAGATTTGTTTACAGCACATAAATCACAATTGAATTTTTTAAGTAATTAATTGACACAGCATTCTTTGATTTTTTTAAATTGTTCTCTAATGGATCATTTTGTAAATAAAAATGACAACTCCTGACTTTAAAGTTGTTTATTTGTTTAAACAAATCGGTAGAATTTATAGCGGCTTTGATGTAGTTATCTCTGTGTCATTTGGGTGTTGGTGGTGGTTCTGATGGAGTTCCCGGATCTAGGTGCTCAGTGCGCCGTTAAATCGTGTCGAATGCTGGGTAACTTTACGCAACTTCTTATTTTGGTTTTGAAATCAAATATGAAATTCTAATCTTCGAAGTGGTCCAGAAATGTTTCACCAATAGCTTCACCGATTATTTATTGGTCAACGTTATCGTAAATCCCGGTTTAACATTGTATTCTGTAGATTCTAGTCAGTAGCTGTCTAAAAAGTTAGGTTCTTTCAAGTTAACTGCGGACTCTTTGTAATCTAATTTAATGATTGCATTCTTGTTAATATCCCTATAAGACAGCTTGTCTGCTTGTTTGGGTGGTGCCATAAATTTGTTGCAACTTCCATTAAGTGCTTATGATAATTCCACCTCACAGTAAGCATGTAAGCACATGATATTTATGTGTACCTAGATTATATTCTCATTATATTTTCACCTTACGACTTTGCGTCACGAGTGGTGCAATCTTTTATCATTAAGTGTACACAATTTTAATATTCCTCTCGCCTTTTTATGTGATTATATTTCAGGTAAAATAACAGAACCTCATTTTCAAACGTTGTTATTAGATCGTTTAAAGCCCCAAAAATCAGAATGTCGTGATTTATTCCTTATTTAGATTTTTTACCAGTGCGGTGTTCGGGCTGTCAGTTGGTGTTCTGCAAAGACCACTACTGTTTTGATTGTCATTCCTGTCCCGTCGGTAATTCTAGGGATCGACAGGTTCCAGTTTGCCCTCTATGCGGTGCTCCGGTTCCTACTGGCCCAAACGAATCGGCTGATGTCAAAGTTGGTCAGCACATAGATACGTCATGTAAATCCCAGCCTGCACTGGCACTCAAGGGAAAGGTAACTATGTTTGGCATTGAATTTGGAGAACAATAGCGTGTTTATTTACGAACTTTAGCACAGTTTCGAAAATGCAAGCGATCCTAGGTGGTTATTTTCGGTAACTATGATTCTACTTTCAACACACAGAAGCGGCCATTTTAAATGTTGTAAATACTTCCAAGAAGCTCTGGTAAACCTAGAAAATTACATATTATCAAGAATGTTGCAAATGTTTGAGACTTTCATTCGACTTCCTCTTTTGCCGTATTCTGAAGTTTAATGAGCCTTTCTGGACCGAGTACTTATGCTTGGTTGTTTTATACGTGGTAAATATATTTTTGCTTTCGTCACAGATATTTAAGAATGTCTGCTCTTTGCCCAAGTGTAAAAAGAAGGAATTAGTTCCTTTCCGCTGCGAAAGATGTCATCTCAATTACTGCATTAGTCATCGTAATGAAATGGACCATAACTGTAAAGGTCCCCAAGATGGTTTCTCTGGCGGCAGACAAATGAATATTGCAGGAACCGCAGCGATCAGACGTGCCGTCGCTAAGGTAAGATTAGTGTCCCCGGTTTTCAAACTCCGTTGTTCTCATAGTACTTTTTGTCATTTTTTATCAACCATCCCTCAGATTTTGGCTTCCAGGCTAGTATTGCTTACTGGTTACTACATTTGTTAGTAACAATTTAATCGTACCTTTCTATAAACGGCTTTTTTCTAACGTGAAATGATTAAGAATTTCTAACCATATTAGCAACCGGCCACAAATTAATTGTAAATATTTTGTGTGGCTTTTGACATCATCACCGACGCACAAAAACACCAGTGGTAATTGAACTAATGCCACATTAATTTGCTGTCATTCCACTATCAGCCGTTAGCGTTACACTTAGATCAGGTCGTGTTTGTGCAGATTTACTATAGTACTAGGCCTACATTTGTTGCACTTATTAAGTATCCTGTTTTGGTAATCAGACGTTAATGACACCAACGTTTGGTCCCCTCGTAATGATTGGTAAAAGCTTGGCCGTCGAGACCAACAACCGAAGTTGCTGGTAAACACCTTTTTTCATTCTTCCTAAGAAGTCAAACACTAATAACGCTGCAGCAATTGCTAAAGCTCAGCAGGAGGAAGAAGACAGGCAACTCGCAATGGCTCTCGCTGCCTCAATGGAAGCCGAGGAACAGGAAAATCGACAGCGGATGGCGACACAACTCGCAACAGCAGCTGAGCGGCGACAGCGTACGCCTGCTTATTCGGCCAGCGAGTGCAACGTTAGCTGAGGAAGGAAGTATACGAGTTCACAAGGCTGCAATAATACCCTATTCGCGTCTTCGCGCGCAACCTAGTCTATATTATTTTATCTTTTTTTTCCTTTTTGATCTTCCAAATCCGCTTATTTACTTGTTTTTTTAAAAAAATTACTTTTCTAGACGTTATTTTTGGAACTGGGGTACCGTAAAGGTTAAGCGCGGGTTCCTGCGAAGTTCATCCTATGTAGTTAGGGCTTAAAGTGCTAAATGGAGACAACTAATCCTAATTTTACAGCCAGCGGGCAATCGCTAAATATCTTGGGACAAATTGATGAATTTCTCTGCAAAATCTGAAGATAGTGTATTGGATGACAAACGGGGGCGGATTAGGATGAGTCTGTTGTGAATCGTGTTTATTCAACGATCAACCTTTCAGATATCCGAATGGTAGAAAAGGTTGTATCGGCAACGACGATTCATCTCGAACGATTTCCGAAAACGAACAACGATGCCAGGTGTCATAACTACTTTCAGCGTACGACAATCCGTCTCATTTTTATGTTCACATGGGCCACATTTCGACTGCAGGAACCTACGGCCTACCTTTCAGAATCCGCATTGGAAGAAAAGATTAGCTGGATTATCTTGCTAAGGGAGAGAAAATTCTCAGTTCGACCCACATCGACAGCCATATCCCATTCACGCGAAACCTGCGGCCTACCTTTAAAAAACTCCGGTGGACGGAAAGGTTCGCCAAATCCTCTCGCTAAGGGGGAGAGCTGGTGTGAATCGTGTTTATTCAAATCCTTAATCCGATCGATTCGCCTCCGGTACAAGGCTCCCCTTCTCGCAGCATGGCGACAGCCGCGCAAATCCTTAATCCCCCCTTCATTCACACGCACATGTATCATGGATTAACCTCACACCTAGGTCTTGATGTTAGCGCATGTATGACTCACATCTGATCTAAAAGTACACACGCGCAAACCCCACACACGACACAATGACAGCAACGTGGTTGAGCTCTGAAGTAAACGGTTGCGCCCCGTCATCTCCTGTCTTCTTCGCGGTCATCAGGCAAGCGCAATCGGGCCAGGGTAAATGCCGTGGCCCCGGCGTGGTCCTAGGACCACATGCTGGGGCTCACAACAAGTCCTTGTGTTCAAATAAACGCCCCACATGTGAGGTCGGGGGTTTATTGCTCGGGAAGCCATAGAACCCTCTGCTTTTCACGTAAACCTATCGGTGTATACCGTTCTGCACAACCGACAAAAATAATCAAGTTGTGGGTACCAAAGAATCAGCATTTCCTAGAAATCTCATCTCTGCAAATTATTGTTGCCCAGAGTAGGTCACTGCGAGTCATGGAAGCGGTGCTTTGCCGATGACCTGAATCTACTAAGGTTATGTAAACTACAGACTCTAAGGCCGGATTTTTATGAATGTATTTGAAAGCAGGTACACAGCATATTTACAGATTGCGCAGGGCGCACATTTAATTATCCTCCCCTTTCAATCCAGTGTAGAGAGGTAGTGGTCCCTTTGAATTGCCTGCAGCTAACACTCCAGCGAACTCCGGGCGGCTGGGAACCGGTTTTCGTGACATTGCAGTCAGGTGCTGCATGAAAGTATCAATGGGACCTGCGGTAGATGTGAAAAAAATGTTTAGGTAACAATTGTCAGTTATCCCTGGGTGGGTGATTTATGTTATCAACCAAAAATAGAAGTCTGTTCAGCCGAAATGCACACATTCCATGAAAAAGAATTTCTGAGAAACGATCCTCTCCAAAATTACAGAAAAATGCAACATTTTGAACGTGGCAATCAGGTTGTTTCAGGGAACGCGTTTAAATCCTGCAAAGTTGTTCCTATTTCGAGGTGTTAACCTTGGCATCGAGATCTTGCATCATTCAGACGCTGAGTCCGTTTGGACAAATTTCCTGCACCCTTTCCCGGGTTTACAAATTTGATTAGACCAGTGGCCTGATCCTTTCCTGTGGTTACGGAAGATTAAGCTCTTACTGAAACTTATGTTTACTCCCAAGAAGGTGTTTTACTGTTCAACCATCAATGAACTGCAAATCCAATATTTTCACAGATTCTGCTGCCTAGTATGTTGGGATCACCTGCGCACTATCGTATCTTTGAGGTGGTTATTGATGGATTCTCTAGCCGTGTCGCAATAGTCAAGAAGGGACGACTTCCAACAGATGCTGAACATCGAGTTATTTGTCCCAAAACGGCATTTTTGACCATACGTAAAAATTGTGCACACGCAAAATGACAATACTTTGGGAGGGAAGTATCACACGTTGCCATAGTGTTGACACTGCTTAGCAAATTTTCTCCGAAAATTACATTGACATAGGATCTGAAACTAACGGTAGTTGAAACGTCGTGTGAATAAGAAAAAGATGTAACAAATTCAGTAACCAGCAAAAAAGGGTTGAAATACATAACTGTTACATTCAATTTTAGTTAAAAGGCCAGTCACCCACAAATATGATTCGATGATGCATTTTATATAGTCTAAATGGCGAAAGTCAATTACTGGAATAAGCATGTAAGGTTGCGCACGACAGTACTTTTTAGTTGCGAGATTTCTTTCAATACGGACTACCCAAAATGCACTAAACTGGACATGTTTTGATGCTGCAAGTGAAGCCAATATTTCAGCAAGCTGCCAAAAAGCCCAGTTCATGTTTGATCGCTGAAAAGTGATTGAATTTGGAAGTCCTTCCAAGGTGAAATCCCAAAATAGCTTGAGTTTGGACAGTGTCGGTGTCCGTGTAAACGCTCTCATCGGGGACCAAAAAACGAAAGGCATACAGGCGACAACTTAGTGGTTAATGAATGCAAAATACAAAGGCAATCGTTCGCAAAAATAAGGACTTTCTGTAGCTTAGTTAAATGTATTGAAATTTGCGGGTGCCATCTAATGGCGTCTACGGGTCGGACGTGCTATCCCTCCATAACCGTCACCGAGGTCTGTCAAAAACCACGAATCTGGAAGCACAAGGCACTGACGCTCACTTTACGCGGCGTAAATAGAACTAGATTTTACAATCAGGTATTGTATTAAATGTGCAAAAAACTGTACTTTGTTCAGTCTCATGAAACTATGTCGAACACAGCACTAACAGGTTTCAACTTCAAGGTATTGATTCAGCAAACAACCAAAAATAGATGCAATGTAATAAGAAAAAGTGAGATACTTTTAAGAGCAAATGATAGTGATCATGAGAACGTTAAGATCGAACTTACAGGATGCAAATGTAATGTTCGAGCCAGAATTGCCTCCAAAGGTAATTCTAGAAGAAAAATAAAATATATTTTTCCAGCTGAGGAATGCAAAGTTGAATTAAAAAAAGAGGACTTGATTTGTGCAGAAACATCATGAAACTCGAAGAGATTGGCAACCTACTTGCTATCTGAAACCGAAGAGGTAACAGAACTTGGATTGGGCTGCGACGTTGCTAACTTCCGTGCAATTTCAGTGAGCTGTTGAAGAGGGCTTCCGGGTGTAGCGTTTCCACTAACCAAGAGGTTAGTAGCCTTTTGAACGAGTTTAGATAAGCGTTTGTTAGCCAGACTGATGGAATCCAACCTCTTTCTTAGATCAGTGGATAGAAGGCTATGCTCCACCGAAAGATCCGCATATTGTAGGAGGAGGTAATCCAATTCCAGTGCCATTGCCACGGGCAGGCTACAGACCAAATCTGAAGGAGCTTCATTCGCCACTCTACTTAAAAAATGAGATAAAAGCATTGAACAAACGAGAAGTGGTCGAGGACAGAGAATTTGGTGTAAACAGTCTTGCCTATTCTAGAGGATGCTTACTAGATAGAATCAAGGGGGTAAGGGAGGGATGAATGTAAGCAAGCACAACTTAACTGTGATTGAATGGATGCGGAGATCAAACCAATTGCTTTTTGACATTCAAAATATTCTCTTGGCTCAAGAAAGTCCTTTGGCAGATGCTCAAACAGTTGAGCAGCGATCTTAAATACAACACGAAAGCAGGGTGCAAAGCGCAATTCAACATCAAAGTGGGACTTCGAATAACAAAAGGCCTCATTCGACAGGACGAGAATACTCAATAAGTTCCAGTTCCACACATATAATTTCAATAATTAAGAGTTTTTTCCAAGAAACCAAACCGAATGCTTGGCATGTTACGGCACATCGACAATTGCCTAGAAGACCGCTATTCACGTCAGCGCAGTAGTGAAGGAAGACCACATGATTAATACAAACACTAGCCCGGAACCCAGTCATGTAATGCATGGACAAGAAACCAAAGTCGTAAAGGAAAGCAGAAAGTCCGCTTCTAGTATTAAACTAAATTGTGCTGATGAGCATAACTACCAAAATGCAATGAGTTTAATCGAAAGGCTGTCACTACTGCGTGAACTACATGGGCTGATCAGGTAGATAGGGATATTTATCACCCCAGGGATCACACATGAGTTTAACTAATTGAAAGACGTTTTTTCAGTTAGATATAATGCAAAACACCATCCATAGGCGGATTGTGCAGAGCGGAAAACGCTGACGTACCTCGATATCACCAAGAACTGTGGCACCATTCCTTAAAGGCAAATACCGTGTGAAGCGCTCGACGAGCTGTAAAGCTGCAAAAGGTACAAGAGGCGCACAAGTTAGGTGCGAGTACGAAAACCTTCGATTGCAAAAGTTAGTCCTGAGCGCCAGAAGCAGACATAACTGCTATTGTAGGATAACTTCCGAGCCCAGCAAAATCCGTGCCATGAATTTGGGTGGTGCAGCGAATTTTCACCATGTAAACAGAGGGTCAGAATGACACGGAAACCCGGAATTTGATTTGTCACAAAATAAAAAAGCATCAGAATTGAGACTTTCAGAACTTTTACCAACTTTGGTGTGTGGTGGCGTCCGGATCTTTACAAATATTTTTCAGCTCAGCCTGGACGCCCGCGTTTTAAGATGGTGCAACTGATATGGCAGGACCGGACAAAGGGGCAACAATAGTGATGCTGGGCATTCCGAAAAGTTGTTCTTAATGAAACAATGAATAGAGGTACGATTAATGCGTCGATTACAAAAGCGCAACATACCACTGATTTTGGGTGCGACCGGATAGTTTGAACTGACAGAGGCAGGGGCAAGACAGGCGGGACGGAGGAAGTTTTTAATGAAGGCAGCAAGTCGATAGTGATCCTCTGGTGCCTGAGGTAGGTTGGCGGCGACGGGTAAAACCGGTGAGTGTGAGAGGGGTGCTGCTGCGGCCAATACATGCAAATACATCACCGAGCCGTGACAGAGAAGAAGGAAGACGTCACCGGGCGATTGAGAGCCGTCGGGGACTGGTGGCCCGCAGTATTGTTTGTGCGCCAAGACAACGCATCTGCCTGACGGTTTAATTCAGAGACTTGACGGTAACTCAGTTACAGGGATCAGTGTTGCTTAGACAAGCTAATGATACCACAAGTTGCGATGGGTAAAGTATGTGTTTTAATAAAACTTCGTTTTCGTCCAAACCTATTCATTCAAGCATCTAACATTTAAACGGATTTTCTTAAGTATAGCTTCGTCTTACTTTCAGCGACAAGGGACACTAAAATGAGCTAAGACAGCCACTCGGAAGGTTTGTCTTATGTGTACAATTGTTACTGATACCAGAGAAGTAGGCGGATAAGCATAAGCATTCGTGACCAAAAAGACCAGAATTAACACGGCGATCTGAATAGGCTCAAAAACATGTTAGTTCACACCGAGATTTTTTGCAACGAGTCTTATTAATGTGAAAAGTTGAATCAACAATAAAAAAAGCGACAAAGCCGATTTTGAGTCGTGTTAAAAGTAAATCAGTAGCACATTAAAAATTATCTACACCCAGATTGTAACGATGCGTCAATTGGTCTAATTCCTATCAGTGCATGCATGGCTGCACTGGTTCACGGTGACGCAATACAAAAACTCCATTCACTTATGACTTATACGGAAAAAGGGTAGCTTAGGGTTATGCGTCTTTTCAGGTCCGAAAACTGACCCGGTGCCGCTGGTTCAAGAAAACCCAGTGAGCCACATGGGAACGCCTCCGCAAAGTGAGCATGAAGGAGTGGATAAGTTCAGGTAGTCACTAAAGTGGTAACAAACATGACATTCATTCATGACCATGACTATTAAAAAAATTGAGGATTTACGTGATGTAACCATTTCGTCAATCACACAAGTGTCAATGACCACGCTTCCTCCGACTTCTACTTCAAAAGACCTTGCAAGAAATGAGCCCCGGAGCAACTCAGAAGCATATTTGAGCCAGTTTGAGGGAAAACAGTTCACTTACGGCTCAAATCAATAATGTTAAAAGGCACTGTCGGTAAGTAAGCAAAGCATATTAAAAGGCAAAACTACGCTTAAAAGCACTACGAATGTCCCACAAACCGATTAAGTTCCACAATCCTACACCCGACAAACTAAGAAACATCCTCGTACATTCTTGTGAAGCACACTGTTCCCCGATGCAAGGTATTTGAAGAATCACGGAGTGGCAAAAGGATATTTCATGAATGGAACAAGCTTAATGTCTACTGAAAAAAACTTTTACCACACCTAATACGACGTCATGTCAGCAAATTGATTATAGAAAAAACCAAAGGCCAAACAAAGGAGATAACTTAAAATGGACGCTAACCATACTGACCTTGAAAAATATCGCCGCTAAGGTGTACAAATGAACAAATATAACTACAAACCCTGAAACAATCGAGGCGTACATTTTGAGTTACTTATCTGTTTCATTACCGGTTATTCTGAAATAGAGGGATCGATCCGAAACTTTCAATTTTGGGTAATCACGAGAAAAAAGCACCAAATTCGAGTGCACTTCCCCAGAAAAACAACAAACTTAGCACCCGACAGCACTACATAGCACTCCATAAAAGTTTTTGGAACATACCAGGGTGGATTGCTTACCTCCTAAAACGAACTGCGCCAAACAAATGGAGGCCCGATTGTTTACAGCGGCCATGGTCACTCTAAATGCTCCAATGCTGTAGCGAACCAATACTAAGGTAAAAAAATTTCGGTTAGAAAGTCATTTAACTAGAGAACCTCAGAAATAAGGTTTTAGTAAAACTAAGTAAATGTGAATCCAATTAAACAGAAACCCACAGTTTCAAGTCTTTATGGCTGCTGAATTCTCACATGAAACAAAATTCGATCATACTTCGTTTACTTTAAGACATTTTACAGCCCAGGTTAATGGAACCACGCACTATTTTGTGTTATGTGTTAATTTGCACTCGAACCATACCAGAATCATGGCGGACCTACATTTTATGAAATCTACTTATAATCCTTAAATCATCCTTTAGACCTGAATTTACATTACTATCAAAGATTACCAAAGTCAATGCCTTATTATTATAAGGAATTAGCTGATTAAAACAAATAAGGCCATTCGAAGCGACTGAAATACACCTTTAGCGTTCGCGACCAATAATTCAAAGCATGGAAGCTTCAATAGTAAATCTTTTTACAACTCAAAGTTCATCTTGAGAATTTGCTGACAGTTGGATCGTATTAGGGAACACATGAATACATGTTATGGTCTCAATCCAGAGCACTTGGAGCCAATTTATCCAAAACACAAAGACTGCATGATAGTCTAGAGCCAAAGTAGAACTTTTGTACACTAACGAACGTGTTCTCTGGAATGGTCAATTGCAGCATAAATTTGTTATCTCGAATTCTCACATGTTAAATGCCCATGGTGTTTACTGAGGAAAGTACACTGGAACTGCTGGGGTCATCGGTTAGATAATATACTAATTTCGAGTTTTATGTAGCTTGAGTAATAACGGGGGATTATAGGACAGAAAACAAGCCGTGAGGTACACAGTGTCAGTAAACAGAAGCACAAGGATGTCCCACTCACGGTTATCAGTAGCTCTAGGGGTTACCCAATTAATTCCGAGAGTCTTGGACAGCCCAGACGGCGGCTCTTGAAATCCCGTTTCCCCTGTTTGTGGGCGAACGTAAAGCCGGTCGGCTAGATCTAAGCTCTTCAAGAATTCATGCGCCCTCGCCTCGTGCAACAGCTCGACGCCATACATTGAGGAACTGGAGGAGACGTTGGCCTCTTCCTTCATTGGAATCTCTTGCACGAGAGTGCTGGCCAAGTTGAGATTACGCTCTGCTAGACGCATTACGGCTCGAAAGATTGCTCGACTATTGTTCATGGGCACCTTTAAGTAAAGTGCCGTATGCGGTCCACCGGAAATCAGCTATTAAAGTGGATACAAGAGGCGTGGATACAAATAGGCAAAAATATACAGTACGATAGTCTACGGTCGGCGATATCTTATTAATTGTTTAAGTGCTTTGGAAGAAAGACTGTGGTTAGAATGAAATAACCTAGGAAGTGTCGTGCACGTTTCTGAGCAAGTTGTGGCTAACACAAAGACCCTAAGCATGTTCCATGTTGTGAGAACAAGTCAAGTACGATAGATAACACATGACCGGGCGGGTCTATAGGATAAAAATATTAGAACGAACGGACCTGTGAAACAAACTACAGAGCACCAAAAGAATTGACGAAGATTTGAACTTTGCATTGGCCAAACACCCCCATTAACGTAAATCACGTAAATTCGTAAATACAAATAGCACCATAAATAGTGCTCTGGTAAAGGGAAATTTGCGGAAATGTAGTTAGCATTTCGTTTGGTTCAGAATTCCTTCAGAAATGAGTCTAATGTGCACCTTCGCATAATTGATAAACACATCCCACAAACTAGCTCTTGAAAAATTCGAGTAGACTTGGTTCCATGAGGGAATTAAAGACTACTAACGCCTTGTTGCCTGAAACAGGATTCAAGTCAAGAACTGTTTGTTTAGAACTCCTTTCAATACTGGTTTTGTTAAGTAAAATGGTCGCATATTGAGGTATGACCATAATACAAACAAAAAATCCAGCTGCGCTTGTCACCGGCCTCGGAGTAATATTTGCCTACAAAACTGGGTGCGAATGGCTAAAGCGTAGTTACAAGTCTTAGTGTGATGCGAATATACAAAACCTTACATCAATTTCTTCGACCGCCGAGCCGGTAGAAGTGGGGTAGTCAATGTCCAAGAAGAACCATTCGCTACTGTCGATTGGTAGGTATCTATTAAAATTAAACATATATACACACAGCCATTACACAAAAAGTAAACTTCCATTGGAAATAAATTTACCCAGCTTCCTGGGGTGGCTGTGCCAGTTGCTCGACGAGGCCAGGCAGCCAACCAGAAAATTTTCGAAGCAAACCCGAACCAAAAACAATTACACGTCCAATGTTACCGATTCCCGAGCCTGGTGCTTGTCCTCGACAGGGTAATTGAAGAACATTTGTCGACGAAAATAATCCAGGAAGACCGGATGAATTAAGATCCAAAAACGATGTCGAAACTGCTTCTGTGGAAAATGCTTTCCAAACGGCTTCCAGGCATTGATCATTTTCATACCACAAAGAAAGTATTTTTTCCTCCGCATCAATAGATAAAAGAGAAATCTAGAGTAGCTAAGGATCATGACAATAACATACTGGCTTAGAACTAGAAAAAAGATCGAAGGATATTCGACAGTACTCCATAATAGCTTCCACAGTGAACGACCAAATATTGCGCTGGAGTACAACCTTGGGCCTCATCGGATTTGGCTGTTTTGAATTTGAAGGCCTATCAAAACTATACATTTCACCAACGGTTTGGCAAAACTTCGGTGTTCGGTAGATCATGAAGACGGTTTTTGTGATGCTTTCCGGGGCCATTATCCGAGTTGTGCGACTAAAGAGAAGATTGGAAATAATGTCAGTGTAGTCATGATTGTGCTTTTTTTGCTCAAAAGATATTATTACTGGCTCCGATTCCGCCTTCTACCAGGAGGGCACAACACCAAATTTAGAATAGAGACATCTAAGATTAAAAAACAGCTCACGTTTTAAAATTTCAAGGCCAAGAACATGCCTGCCAAATTCACTAATAAGTAGTTTAAGCATTCAATTATCGGAATGAGAACGAAGTGGGTAAAAAGAAGAATAAAATGATTCAAAGGCGGTTATTGATGTCACCCACATAACTAAAAAATAACCTGTTAAAAGCAAATAAATGGAGCACAAATTAACCCACAAATAAGTACACTACAATAGTCAAAAACTCCAGCCCAAACACTTTTACTTACACACAAAAACGCAGACTGTGTGGATATCGTGTTTGTAACTAATTAAATATAAAAAAGCAATTTTTAGAACCCGATAAACACATACAGGAATGCCAGGAAATTCAAAGTCTTTAGTTCCTGTTTCGAATACGGTCAGTGACTGAGTTCGAAGCAGCGCAAATACGGAGAACAGGTCTTAAATCCTAGTCCGATTTCCATAAAAGGCGGAGAAAGCATTAATGGATTAAAACAAATTTGTTGATGAGTGAGCTAAGTTGCTAATTATTTAGTATTTTGCGCTTAAGATGCCCAATAAATACTACTTTGGGTTTTTAATGCATTAATTGTCAATATTTTACCTTATTACGCTGTAATGTTACGTTAAAATTGGAATTTAGGAGCTGACATTTAATAAATGAAAAATATTAATATCGTTGTTTGGCCTGTTGGAGGATATTCTGAAGTGAGTAAGTGAAAAAGTTGGAATGTTAGAAAGTATGTCCAAAACTCTTTGACAAAGGTTAGATCAGGCATTGATCTATTTCACTCATATAATGAAGCTGGTTGTTTCGCTCTTACATAAAGAAGTGGTGACTGTACCTGCAAACAAACATTTTTAGAACTCGCTATAAACATATATGGAACTGTTAAAATGATTGTAGTAGTATTTCATGAATCGCCTTTTTAACAAGCGGTCCTCGATGGCTGGTGGGAAAGTAATTACAGGCGGGACGTAAGCCTGTGGAAGAGTGAACGGCAGACCTATAGGTTTGCGAACAAGCTAGTGTGGTCTTATCCTACTGGTGAAACGCGTGCTTATCAATATGCGTTCTCAGTAGCATCTTTAGCACCTGATGTGTTCTTTCGACTTGCCCATTTCCTCTGAGATGAAATATTATAATGCGGTTCCTGTCAGTGCCTAACAAATCTTATAGATCCAAAAGTATCGAACGTTTTTTGACTATCTGCTGGGATCTGTGTGGACTTGATATGGTACCCTATGATCGGCAACCCATCCAACCAAAAGTCTTTCTTGTAGAGACACGGCATCCATTTGATCACTTGGTGAAATGGTCAACCATTATGAAGATATGCTGGTTGCCGACTAGCCTTTTTGAGAATCTCTGATGTCATGGGTTGGGGTGGGTTCTGGCCACACGAGATTGGTACCAAGCTTCACCACTACGTTAGCAACCTTCAAAAATATCGATTATGTCATCTTCTATGGCTGGCCACCAACCGCGCTGGTTAGGTTGCTCAACTTTTGCCGGACCAAGGTGACGCAGACTAGCATCTAGTTCGGACGCAATTTGCTCTACGGCTACCTACACGCAAAGGACATGAAGGCTTAATCTTAGAATATGGAATACCATCTCTAAAACTGGGATTATTTCCTGACGGCCATGGAACACGTGCTTCGTTGCTACTAACCGCCACCTCCTTGTCGGTTGGCTTGGGAGAGCCCGTACGTTGCCTATCGCATATAAAGCTTGTGCAAGGGTCCTCCAATTGAGCCATCCACCGATTCTTAGCTATAGTTGAATTGGCAGCTACAGCCGCTGTAAGTTCCTAAATCCTAGATTAGGCGTCTACATTTTCGTGCTCATTACCTGGCAGGAACTCTACTCTATGGGGGAACTGGCTTAACGTCTTCAGTCACTGCCCAATAATACCTATTGGCTCCTTAAGGCTTCATAAACACCTTGAAGCGTGATGGTCCGTGTGCACCACAATTTCATTACTCAGAGGATAGTGTTTGTGGTGCTCTAAGAATAACGTTTTGACCAGCATTTCGCGTTTAGTTGTACAATATTTGCGTTTAGCCTTCTATAAGCCTCTGCTGCCAAACACTATAGGATGCTCAAAGCCATCAGCTTGAACCTGCAAAAGTACCGCCTAATCACCCAATGCAACGCGTCAGTGTCCAAAATAAACAGGGGATGGTCTTTCCCGAATTTGGGTAAGGCAAGGACGGGGGCTTCTATCATACGGGTCTTGAACTCTCAAAATGCTTACTGGCATTAACTTGTCCACCTACAGCAGCATCCCTTGTTCTTAAGCTTGGGAAGTAGGGACGCAATATTCTGAGGCCGTTGATAAACCTACAATAGTATGTTGCCAGTTTTTCGAAAACTACGTAGCTCCTCCACATTCACTGGAATTGGTCAGGCTCTAACTTTTGATGTTTTTGATCTGGATTCGTTCTAATCTTTTTCTTCGATATATTATGGACAAAAACACATAACCAAGTCCCTGAGCACCTTCATTTGGCCGGGTTCAGGTTCATTCCAGCCTGGGAGCGTATTATCGTTTGCCAGTACTCAAAGGTCTGTCCAGAACACCAATGCAAAATGTACCTTGACTGACACAAAACCCACTATTTCAGTGCACAAACAAAAACAAACCCTCGCAGAGAAATCGTGGACTGTTTGAGCCAAGGACCTTAATGCACCCACTTAAACTTATCTTGAGCCATCTGCAAAGATGGCTCACAAAGATAGAAGAGGGATAAGAACAGTCGGTGTAAGGACAAAAATACACGTGTCGAAAACGTAGTTATAGCCAATGCTGACCATCCAGCACATGGCATGCTGTATTTTACTTTCAGCGTACTTTACGCTTACCGGAACTCATAAAGGAGCTACATTTGGGGCAAAATAGTTGAATACTTCTGATTTGTTACTTGGCAAACCGGCTCGAGAGTGCTATGAGAATTAAGATCATCAGCATAATTTATGTGGGTCCGAGTGACTGCATAGACTTATATGTACTGGTTTAGCTCGATTAATGCTGCTGTGTCGCCGACTTTTACCAGCTACCATTAATCAAACTGCCGACAGAGGCTCCATATACGTTATAATTCCCCGCAAACCTTCTTGTTGTATTTCCTTGGCAGCTCTAACCCCTTTATCTGATTTCGGTGCTGCACAGGGCTCTCTATTTTCGATGGCTTTCTAACAACAGAATAAAACAAGTTGGTGAGACGCATTACGCTTTCGATGGTCCTGACCCCGAATGAAAAATTGTCTCATGAAATCACTTTTTAATTTTGTGTCTTCATTGACGCTCTTAGAGTCCGATCTAAACAAATTCTTTGAGTCACTTACAAATGAAATTATGAGCTTTATGTCATAATGCAAAAAAATAGCGGTCATGTTTGGACGAGTTAGTTGTGGGCTTCTAGCTAGTTACTTTGTTTCCATTTCCTCGAAGTCTTTCTCACCTAATCTACGCGATAACTCGCTTCTAACATTTTAATACTTACAGCTAACGTTCTAAGTCGGATCGGTCATCAGACATTCGTGAAGGCTGGCGAAAGTTCCAACGCTTTGAAGGAATTTAAATGATTCAGTTGCCTGCTTTAAATTTGGAAAATAAACTAGACAGTACTTAGTTCAATCTAACCTAGGTCCCGTCATCTGAACAAACAGACTGAGGTCAAATACGCCAAAACTACAGTAGATGCAGCTTCAGATGCTGTGTATTCCGTTTTACTTTAGTAGATATCCGTTGGTCATACGCATATGACAATGAAGAGCTTCAAAGACGCGACTTTCACCCAAATTTACTCAGTGTAGAGCAAACTTCGCGGAATGTCGGAAAGTTAAGTAATCACCCAGCCAGCGTACCAAGCCAATAAATTAATCTGGGTGGCGGTAAAAGAATAGCTAAGACTGGTGTTTAGAACAATAAAACGAAAAATGTTATGGGATTCTACTTACAGTCGAAAGTACGTTCTTTCCCCGACATAATATTAGCTCATGGCATTTCTGATTACAAATAGTAATAAAACCAAAATTGATGTTCGTATGCTGGAAAACTTCACAAAATGTCAAAAAGAGTAGGTAAGCTCTTTGTTGAACTCTTTCGAAATGGTTAATGTAGACCTAAATCACTGGAGTGGTTCTCGCATAAACATCATGCGATTTAATTGGGGAACGGTCTTGAGGGCTTAACAATGTCGCACTTGCGAGGTTTCTAAAATTTCGTTTAGTTATAACCAATGAAGTGGGATTTTGATAAATAGATGCTTTGGAATAAGCAGTTGGAATAAGGAACACAAACAGATGAGTGTTTGACAGAGTTAGGATATTTCCCACAAATTTCCGACGATCTCGAAATAATGCCATTTAGGTTTAAGTATTCATAAAAATGTTGATACGCTAGATTTAAGTGGACATATTTTGGCATGATTTCACATATTAGAGCATAAAGGTTCAACTTACTTTTGGCTAAAGTAACTCGGTGGGTGTCCAGATCTGTGCTAAAAAAATAGTTTATACTTTCTATGGTTACATCAGGACACTACTTCAGCACATATCCAACATTGCCCTTCCTTACTTTCAGCGAGAAAATTTAAATAATTTTAAAATAGCAAAATAATCAACGCTCACCTATTTCATTAACCAATTTGAACTAGTCTTGGATAAAACAACCCATGCTTTAGACTTCACCCCGTGGAACTTTTGTTAGCGTTTGGTGCACTTTCGTGTTTAGGCCTGTCGCTGCATGGTGGTATCTTAAATATGTCATTTTTTACAATCCACTAAAGGAATGCGAAATCCCATGCGGCTGTGCTAGAAACAGAAGTCACTGGCGGTCAAAACACGA